CTTTGCTGGTTGACCCAGTAGTCGACGAGGCTTTAGTGGTCGAGCCTGTAGTAGAAGACACTTTGGTGGTTGAGCCTATGGTCGACGATGCTTTGGTGGTTGAGCCCGTAGTAGAGGACGATTTACTCGTTCCCGCTGTGGTGGTGGATGACTTGCTCGTTCCTGCGGTGGTCGAGCCCGTAGTAGAGGACGATTTACTCGTTCCCGCTGTGGTGGTGGATGACTTGCTCGTTCCTGCGGTGGTCGAGCCCGTAGTAGAGGACGATTTACTCGTTCCCGCTGTGGTGGTGGATGACTTGCTCGTTCCTGCGGTGGTCGAGCCCGTAGTAGAGGACGCTTTGGTGGATGAGCCTGTAGTAGAGGACGATTTACTCGTTCCTGCTGTGGTGGAGGTTGATTTGCTCGTTCCTGCAGTGGTCGAGGACTTGGTTGTCACACCGGTGGTAGACTGTGTAGTGGCTCCAGTAGTGGAGGATGACTTAGTCGTTCCTGCGGTGGTCGAGGACTTGGTCGTCGCACCGGTAGTAGACTGTGTAGTAGCTCCGGTGGTGGAGGACGACTTGCTCGTTCCTGCTGTGGTCGAGGATTTGGTTGTCGCACCTGTCGTAGACTGTGTGGTAGCTCCGGTGGTGGAGGACGACTTGCTCGTTCCTGCTGTGGTCGAGGATTTGGTTGTCGCACCTGTCGTAGATGCGTGGTAGCTCCAGTGGTGGAGGATGATTTGCTCGTCGCTACCGTGGTCGAATTGGTCGTTCCTGCCGTGGTGGAGGACTTTGTTGTCGCACCAGTCGTAGATGCGTAGTAGCTCCGGTGGTGGACGAGGGCTTAGTTGTTGCTCCAGTGGTAGACGATGCCTTGGTTGAGGTCCAAGTAGTCGATGGCTGAGTGTTAGAGGTCCAGGTATCTGCGACGTTGGAGTCCAAGTTGTCTGGGGTGTAGTGGTCCAACTTGTCTGGGGTGTAGTGGTCCAACTTGTCTGGGGTGTGGTGGTCCAACTTGTCTGGGGTGTGGTGGTCCCCAAGCTTGTCTGGGGTGTGGTGGTCCACGGTGTCTATGCCAAGAAATTAGTTGAGGCTTCACAAAGGCATCGCCGGCAGAGCGCTGCCCCAGCTGAGGCTGAGAACGAACTCGCCACGTGTTTACCAGAACCTGTCTTCAGGCTGTAGGCGAGAATTTGGACAACTCACCGTCGTGGTACCTGGTCCAGCATTGCTGCTGGTAGTCTGCTGCTTAGCTGACGTGGTCGCCGCAGCGCTCGTGGTCTGCTTGGTAGTCTGCTGGGGGGTGGTCTGCTGAGTCGTCTGCTGAGTTGTTTGCTGCTGAGTCGTCTGCTGAGTTGTCTGCTTCTGAGTCGTCTGCTGCTGAGTCGTCTGCTGCTGGGTCGTCTGTTGCTGGGTCGTCTGCTGAGTCGTCTGCTGCTTAGTTGTCTGCTGCTGGGTCGTCTGCTGCTGGGTTGTCTGAGCTTGAGTAGTTGCAGCCTTTGTCGTTTGCGCTGCGGGAGTGGTCTGAGCCGCAGCCGTAGTCTTTTGAGCTGCGGCCGTGGTTTGCGCTGCGGCCGTGGTCTGCGCCGCTGCCGTAGTCTTTTGAGCTGCGGCAGTGGTCTGCGCCTGTGCAGCTTGCGTACTTGCTTGCCGCTTCGCATATCTCTTCCCTTGGTGCTTGGCGCCACTATTCTCGGTCTCAGTGACCGTCACAGGTTCGTCGGTGACACTAATGCACTTGCGTCAGTCTGCTGGCTACAACGGAAGGCTGATGGTCTGACTTACGTGACAACTGCGGTCGAGTATGAGACGGTAACTAGGTTAGTATGGACATCGTATTCTGTGTCAGTAATTGTGGAAAGGGGCCCATGTTGACGCCAATTCGCCTTGCAATAATCCTGGGCTGGCCCATAGTGAGCGAGCCAAAATGGTCTATCATCCCGATCCCGCCCCGGAACGTCTTCCCAAGCGTGTCCGCCAAAAGGGGCGCCTGAAACGGGCCTCGCGATGCTGCTGATTAGTACTGCACTGATAACGAGCGACAGGAACGTTGAAGGGCTTGCCATCTTCGAACACTGTTCCTTCAGGAGCACGAAACGAAAGTGGAGAGTCGCGAGGAGGATTCTGAACCTGTGCAAGGAACCGAGTTGATCTTTACATGGCGATTCCAGAAGTACAGCCAAGCGTTGTTCACCATCCTCATGAGATGGGTCACCTCAACACTCAGCGTTCTAGACAGCCACCGAGGACGATGTCTCCTTCGAGCTGAACATCTAAGATGCATAAAGGTGGCTACAGCGGCAGCGCTCTGCATGTCTGAACACCATCAGGAAGGGTTTCCAAAGGCAATGAGATGCGAGGCCAGCGAAGGTCGGCTCAAGATGGTGTGCTGTGAAGCTCTGCGGCGAGCACTAGCTCCCCATCCGGGCGAAGTCGCGGCATTTGGGAAGCAGAGATACTGCGAGAGTCCCATTGCCGTACCCACCAGGATGGTAACCAACGAACAAGATGCCAAGTCGGGAGGCCTTTGACTTTGGGCGTTCCTGAGGATGAGTAAACGTGGCATCGGATGCCCTGAATGGTATGGCGGCGCTGAACGGAGTTGAGCGAAGACTTTTTGATGTGTCAAGGTGTGATAAATTTCTTCTGCGAGGACGAGACCTCGAGGTTCCCCTCGGATGCTCGGACAGCATGGGCTTGGTTGTAGACCCATCATGGACGTCTGATGTCGATCCGAGGACTGAATAACACACCTCCAGACGTGTGGGACCACAAATAGAACGAGTAAATGCTGCGTTACATTCATGGAGGGAATTGATCCCTCTGTCGATAGGATTTCATGTCGATGCCAAGCGTGTCGACAAACGTGAATCGAAACGCCTCAACCGCGACATTTTTGACGCCAAGAATGAAGAAGAGGGAGGGCTTGCTGACGACAAGCAGCCTAAGTTGACCGTCGAAAGTGTGAATAAGCTTCGCCCGTCAGGAACTCTTGGTACGCGTGGCGCGGGCTGGTCCTGGGGTCCAAGCCCAAGGGACCGGGTCAAGCCACTGCTACCTACATCGTTTGGTTAGACTTACCAGACGCGTCGACAGCACCAAATCAGCTACGCCGAGTGACCATTGTAGCAACACCAGATACTCAAACTTTGATCTCGTGAGCATAGGCCCGTCTCCTCCGTCGCCAGATCGATTCCGTGGTCGCGACATGCTGCACGAATTTCTTCACATGCACCATCACCGACAAGTTGTTTGTTCCGCGGACGTCATCAAAGCTCGAGTAACAAAGGCCGAAGATCGCCAGCTTGACAGCTGTTGCCGCAAAATCCCACGTTGGATTGTACCATGCTGTCGGTGTTGGTTTGCGTTCATGGAGGTTGAAACAATGAGGCGAATTGGAGAAAAAGTGGAGCCTTTTCAGTCTTGGAGGAATCGCGTTGCCTTGTAGCACACCCTCGTTCTTCTGGCAACCACACCACCTCAAGAGCTGAAGCCGAGACCTTAAAAATTTTTGATCCCTTGACACATACAACGCTTCTCTCTGATGACGCCACTCTACACCCATTGACAGCTGCCAACTCCAAAAATCTGCCGGCTGCAGAGCTCTTCGACGTCGCATATGCCTGCCCAGGTACCAGCAAGGTGGTGACAGCGGGGTCTGCCCACATTTGCCACGAGGCCGCCCGATTCGCACAAGGCTGGCTACACACCCACTGGACTGGTAGCAGCAGAGCTAGCACCGGAACCGAATAGTCGGGAAAAGTTCGACGTAATGTTCTGGGCCGTGATGGACGATCCGTCAATGGTTCTTGGCATTCGCACAGAGCAAGAGCTCGACCGTCGCCCACCACTTTGCTCGTCATTGCATGGTGTAGTTACAAGGGCAGTATGACAGTTTCTCAGAGCAAGCAAGATCGATTTGAGAGACTTTGTCGGCTACGCGTGAGCATTATGACCCAACCGGGCACCCTATGCACCTGCTTGTAGGTGAATGTTACGGCCGAGCACACACTTTACTATTTTTCGGAGCGGCGGCTGCTGTGCTGACACATGCCCACCATGGCCTGTGACCTCGGAGATACTTCTCCGTGATCGCTGCCAGTAAACGCACTTGGCCGTAAGGCTACTCAACAGCTTCATTTGCCCACCCGTGCAGATCGACTCAATATTTTCACTCAGATCTACGCATAATGCTCCTTTTGGAAGGCAACTTTCGACGCAGACGATTGTTATCCGCGGACATGGCCGGTTCTGTCGACGTGCGAGCTGAGAATAGGCCATCCTCCACGAGCTCATGCGCCGAACAGGTAAGTAACAGCACCTCTGGAGAATTTCCCCGCTGTCAAATGCAATCGATCCCGCGGAGTTCGGCACGTTGGATGCATTGACCATACCAAAGTATGTGATTTCGTCGGCTCATTGTGCCATTCCATGCCTGCTGTCCGCCAGCTCAACCATGCAATGCGAAATGCCGTTCCCGTCGGACTCAGTAGGCTCGCTCATCTTGACCTTGTCATTTTGGCCTAGCTGCACAAGCGAAGCGCTCGGCTTAGCTGAAGCACTCAGGTTGATGGCGAGGATGGGTCAAATAACTGTCTTTCTTCACCTCGACGCAAACCCAGATCTGTCTGGACTTCAAGCCTCCAGGACCTAGTGCTCCACATACCACCCCAAATCCACCTCTTTGCCGTCAACCTCATCCTCCAGCTCATAGCCCATGAACCCATTACCCATGAAGCGAAATCGGTTGGCGGCCCTATAGCGGATCTCAAAGTCTTCTGGCCGTGGGTTCTCAATCATTCTCTGGAACAACAGCGCCGACCCCGCGAATGTTGCTGTGACCCGGCCATCTATCCGGTTGGACTTATACCAAGACCTACAGTTCGAAGTCCACACAAATCTCTTCATGATCTCGTCACCATACCTAACGAACTCATCTACCACTTCTTGTCGCGGGACAATGGACGCGATGTCTTCTTCGAGCATCTTGCGCATCCACTTGATCATCCAGTCGGCAGCCCACTGGAGGGAGAAGATGAGGGAGCCGTGGCCGACCGTTGCGTTTGGCCCGGTGAAGATGAAGTAGTTGGGCATGTTGGGTGCCGCTACTGACTGTAAGTTTGTTAGCCATAAATCCAGCCTTGCATGAGATGGGTGTTCGACTGAGACAGAGGGGAAGCGAAAGGCTGGCTGACTTGACATACCATATAGCTCTCCGGCTCATCCTTCCACATCTCCCCTAAGTTCATGCCGTCCCTTCCAACCACTGGGAACTGTGGACGTTGACTAACGTCAAACCCTGTTGCGCACACAATCACATCTAGCTCGTGGTATGTCCCATCCTTCGTCCATATACCGTCCTCATCCACTCGATCGATATGGTTCATCGTCAACTTTACATTCTCCCGAGTAAAGCTTTCCAGGTACCCACTCCCCGGCGTCACCCTCCTGCACCCCACCGGCCAGTCTGGAATCAACTTCCTACATAACACCGGATCATTGCCCAACTTCTCGCTCATCTGTTTGGTCGCAAACGCTTTCAGCTCCTCCTGTGCCGCACTCTCCTTCACAAACACCCGGAAGCCACGGTTCACGTTTCCGATAATAGTCTTTCTGTACTTCTTCAGCTCCTCCGGATTGCGAAACCTCTCCTTGTCCTCTGGCCTGTACTCCGGATTCGGGCTCGGGTCATCGCTCCCAACAAGCTTCGCAGGTGTATGTCTGCTAACAATCCAGGTAGGGGTTCGCTGAAAACTCGTGACTTGCGTGCCGGGTAACGCAGCCATCTGAGGCAGAATCTGAATTGCGCTACTTCCATTCCCGATCACGCCTATGCGTTTCTGGGAGTAGTCGAAAGTATGGACCCAGTCGGCGCTATGCACGCGATGGCCCTTGAAGGTCTCCAGGCCGGAGATGGTGGGCCAGCGCCAGTGACTCAATACGCCGCGCGCGCTTATTAGTATATCGGCCCATTCAGTTCGAAGTCCAGTTGAGTTGTGCCGCACTTCTACCCGCCACTGGGATCTGCTCTCGTCCCAGTACGCGCCTTCCACAGTGGTGTCGTACTGCACGTGCTTGTCGAGACCCCACTCCTTGACTGTGCGCTGGAAATAGTCTCGGATTTCTTCTCCGGTAGAGTAGAAGCGTGACCAGTCCGGAGACGGGGCAAAGGGGAAGGCGTATATGTGGCTGGGGACGTCGCATTGCACTCCAGGGTAGGTGTTGGCTACCCAAGTGCCACCAGATTCGGACTTCGATTCAATGATGGTGTGGGTGATATGGGCGGCAAAGGGTGATGTGGCGTGGGTGTGTTGAAGGCGATGGGCGAGGATCATTCCCGAGTAGCCCGCACCGATGGTGAGGACGTGCAGGCTGCGAGCGGGCGTGAATGCTGGGCTCTCTTGCATTGGTGTTGAGGTTGTGTTAGAGGCCTTGGAAGGCGCTTGGCCAGCATGGTGGGTGCCATTGAGACCGGAGATGGTCGACACTTCGTCGTTCGTATGGTTGATGCCGTTGGGTACGGGAACTCCGTCAGAGATGAGAGTCACGTCAGATACGGAGCCCTCATTGGGCTGCCCGGTGTGGTCACGGGCAGGCACGGTCTGGGACATGTTGATGAACAGAGTCCAAGACGTGGGAAGGGATCGAAGAATCAAGACAATACTGTTCAGTAGTTTCCCGGGCAACGGTGCAGTCACGCTTTATCGACTCCTAATGTAATCAGATGATATTGAAACTGCTCACCTACCTACCCAGTACAAACCCATGTTGCGGGGTAGAATGGAGGATTTGGAGAAGTCGCCGTATGTACCTAGGCATATCGAAGGGAGAAGAGGCCTGTCTCGCGCATGGTTGCCTCTGGAGGCTTATCATGGGCTTGTCGTCAGCATTGCCGAAGATGCAGTTTTGTCGCTGATTATGTTGAAGGGCGACAGAGTGATGACCATGAGGACTTCGGTGGCGCTGTCATGATGCTTTGACTTATCTCCACCAGGGCACCTTGGCATCCCGCGAACTAGGCAGCCACTAAGATAAGCCAGGTACTTTCGAGCAGCGGAATCAGACATGTTGGGGTTGTCAGTCTGCATTGATGGAGTGTTCTTATCAAAGCGCACCTGTGCAAGTACACATGAAGCTTTTGTGATCGAAGAGCAAGACTCTAATGCGCGATGTGCGCGTACACGTCTCACAAGCCCAAAATTCCCTATTTGCGCCACGCTCGCTGCTTGCTTTCTCCTAGTAGATCCTACCTTACTTCCAGGTGTGTAAGGACGTTTCCAGGACTGAGCAGATTCGTAGAATGCTTTCCACGTGGGTGCGACGTTTTCGTGAGCTTCGGGCCGTTATGTTTGCGGTGGCGTTTCCTTCGGAGGGTTTGGCACAGCATCAGCGTCGTGATGTCCAAATTCAACAAGATGCAGTGAACTTTTGGCTCGCGTTGGTTGTGTGCCTCCGGTATCCCAGTCCACCTCATCTTCGTCGAATATTGGCAGTGTACGTGATAGAGGATCTTCGCTCATGCTCACCTCTGTAGGCGCTCTGATCGTGGTATTTGATGAGTCCGACTCAGGAACCGTCGACTCGGGATTTGTACTTGCCACAGCTGCAGGTGGGTGGTAGATAAATGCCAGATTTCGAGCAAGGCTGGCACTTGGCCGAGCTGTCGGCGGAGGCAGGCGGTCGTAGTCATCATCACCATTCATGGCTTGATCGCGCATGTGATCAATTTCAGTCTTGAGAACGCCAAGTTGCGATAGCTTGTTGTCGATCTGCCCTTTCAGATCCTGTAGTTCTGCGAGATCCTCATTCCACTGTTCAGGATATACCTCTTGGTTCTCTTCCTCCTGGTCGCTCAGGATCTCAGCTAGTCGATCTCGTTTACCGCGCAGGGCCAAGACTTCATTCTCTAGCTTATTCATCTGCTTTTGCTTGTCGTCCATCTCCTCAGCGGTAGGATCTAGTGGGTCATCAAGCGCACTGGAAGCGGCTTCGGTGCTGACGCTGGACTCGCCACGGAAGTCGAGCTGGTGCTTTTCGATCATCGACGGTAGAGATTTTCGCATTCTCCTTAGCAATTTAGGCGCTGCTCTGGTCATCTCTTGTTCTGCAGAGATTATCATCTGATCGAGCTCGTCCAGCCGCTGCTCATCCCTCTCGAGCGCTTCGACTGCATCGAAGAGGTTTGAGCCACTCGGTATCGGACCAAATAATCCGCGACTGGTGTAGCCCTCCAGGCGTCGGATTTCTTTGCGACCCTGGACGCATCTTCGTCGTAGATCACACGCACGAATGCGAAGGCCGACTACGCGCTCGTGTTTCTTGATGAAAGCTTCCCATTGATTCATCTCCTTGACGTTGCTGGACGTCTCCGATGAGTCGATGGCGTTCTCCGGCGCATTCCTTGACGTGACGGGTCCTTGACTGCCTGTGGAGTCAACCCAAGAAGCAGTGTGCGCATCGGAATACCTGCTCAATGACTTGCCAGGCGTTTCGATTTGCTTGACACGCATAGGGTAATTGGCACTCTCGGTGGAATTGTAGTCTGGCTCGAGCGGTAATGGGCGACCAGTGTTCATATCTTGCGACACATGAACATTGGTAGGGCCCGAATAGTCTCGAGAAACGCTCTTTTGTTGCACTGCATGGGCGGACCGTGGATCCGAATCATTAGAGAGCTCGGCCATTACGTTCGCCTTAACCGAAATTGCGCGGTCATCGCCTGCATCTACGCTTCAATGGCTGATGGGTGTTGACAGGTCGCTTTGTGAAAGCTGTGACACGTATCTGTGGAACTGGGAAGTCGTCAAGAAGGAAGGGGGACAGAAGTGTCATTGTCACTAGCGCGCCTCACTTAAAGCACAGAAAGTGGCCATCCTCGAAGAAGGCGAATTGCCAAGTGGTGGTTCAAGTGGGGGCGTTGTAGACAGCCGGGATCTCACGAATAGCTATGGGCGAGATAAGAGTGCCCAATGTACACAACTGCTCAGGTACCCGGACCGATACAGTGTGATACGCAAGAAAACGATATGAAATGCCAGCCTCAGAGAACAGGGAGTGGAAAGGGCCAGGTGACTTGCGACAGCCTGGCTGAATGTACCCTCCGTCATTGGTGAAGGTAGCGTGCCTAGCACCCGTAGCTGCATGGACCGAGGCAGCAACCTTAGGGTACTGGGCCAATGCAACTCTGGCGCTACCGATGACACCCCACAGGCACGAACCGCGACTTGCTCCCTCCATGTCATCTGGCCTCTACAGACGACCGGCTATTATTACACCTTGTTTATATGAAGCCGTCTTTTAGCCACTTCGCTAGTTCTGCCCACAGATACTACTACTGCTCCTATGACACTCTCGCGATTCTCGTAGGTATGGCCACGTTTCTTTGATCGTGCAATAGACAGAATCGCGGGCGATGATGTCGAGAGTTCTTGATCCGATTCGGAAGTACTCTAGCTCCCCTGGTTAATCGGTAGACCGCTGGAGGTCATAGTCAGGCAGCATCTCAAATGGCCTCTGAGAGGAAAGGGAAAGGTAGACACGAAGAGGATGAAACGGACTTGGCCACGTCAAGCGCAGCGCCCGAAAGTCGGGTGCGACCGAGTACTTCAACCACAGCTAGTCGACACGACAACGCGCGCAGCGACGTTCCCCGCTCGTCACGTGGTGGTGGCGAACGTCGAGCAGAAGGCCGACAACAACATAACTCGACAACCTTGTTTCCTCGGAACAACAAACAGGAGCATTACTCGTATTCCGAGTCTGATGAGTCGGAAGGGTACATCCCGAGGCATGCTGAAGCGCTGATCAAGCTCAACCCTACGCAGAACAACTCGAAGTGGCGCGACTTCATCAAAAACAATCCTTTAGCCCTGGAGGATGAAGACGACAAAAGGTTCTATTTCGCAGAAGCGATAGATGCGCTTAGGAATAGCGATGTAGCTCGAGCTCAATCATGCGTCAGAATTGGCACGGTGCTCCACTATGTGGGAGGGAAGAAGCCACACCAATACAGGAGACTCTTTGATATCCTGGCTGGAGATGTGGCTGATAAGGGCCAGTCCGACGCTTTCGAAAGCAGTTGCACCACTTTCTACAATGATTGCAAGGCTAAGTCGAAGTCGGCAGAGGCAAAGACAACAGGCGCACAATCTGCAAGCAAATCAGGCGCGCGGACAACGTCTGGACGTGATAGCACTCGCCATGATGTTAGCCGACATGATGTTACTCGACAGGATGATACTCGACAGGGTTTTCGAGCTGCTCGACGTGCAGATCGACATGATGATCTTCGACCACCTGTCAACTTCAGTAATCTCAGCCTGGGACGCACACTAGACCCTCAGCTACTACCTAATCACAGAGACGATGAGGATAGCCCAGATCTTCCGCATGGTGGTCGCCCACTTCCTCGTCCGAGGCAAGATTCCGTCACAGGCACGAAGCCAACCATAACAGGCAGTAGGAACCGTCATGATGATGACCCCGGATCAGTTGCAGGAGGCGGCAAACCAAGCCAGCAGCCCCGTCACAATCCATCAGCTGGCGGACGCGAGACCGAGATCGAGTCAGGTGAGCTCGACAGAGAACCTTCAATCACGGGTCCGAAAGCAAGTGCACCAGATGAAGAATCGCTGGACCCGCGATTCATCAGACGAGAGACGAGGAAGGCTGGCAATTTCTTCAAGATAGGCAGGATTTTTGCTGTCTTGGAACATGTGGAAGAAGCAAAGGATGCAGATTATACTACTGAGGCAAAGTGGGAGACCAGGACTCGATTTGGGATGGTTCTGACACACATACGACACTTCGCTGTCGTTCGTGAGGGACATGGATTCTGCTGGGCAGTTCCCATTAATACCTATAATGGTCAGGGTTTGAAGAAACGAGGCCTTCGCCCCGTCCATATCACAGCACACGCAATAATTTACAGTACCTCCCGCCCACCTCGACCGTTGCCACAGGAGCCTGCAATGTCGAAAACACCAATCGCAATCGACCTCGGCCAGAACGCTGATGAGTTAAAGCCATCGAGCCGCATCAATTTTGCGCAGGTCCACACAATTCAGCACAACGTACGTGCAATGAACATTGGCAGGGTTCGGGACAGTTCCTCAGCCTACTTCGATGCTTACTGGCGGGAGCATTTGCTCCGCTAGACTTGTGCTTCGCGCACGATGTGCGAAGAAATCAGTCATGCCGTTGCTGACTGTTGTCTGGATCTGTCGAAGCCCTGACAATCAGTCCGCCGGTTCTCTTCATCCAGGAATATATACGTTGCATCATCAGCCCTTGCGGCCTCCGAGATGCACAAACTTCAGAATAAAAGTGGCCTCAACACAGCCAGCCTCGTTCTGAGACCCTGATATTTCGCGGAGCACAATACGACGGTATACACCGTGTACCTCAGCCACCAACCTGAATGAAAGTTTGCGTCTACTCTGTGGTCGAGCGAACTTCCAAATCTTACGAATCTTATTACTATATCAGCGGTATCTTCCACAATGATCTGGCAGATCATCGAAGCTATATATAGCCGGGCGGAACTGCTTCTTCTCTTTCACGGGACAGGTTCACTATTCGGATTTCCTTGAAACAAACGCTTAACGGCCGCACCGTCTGATTATCACGAGATGCTTTGTGTTTGTGGCGAATTAATGATGGCACGACCGCACATACACGCAACAGATCTCTTAATGTATCACATTCTCCATCATTGACACCTTTCTTGAGCGACTGTCACTGCTTTCAGAGTACCTACAACCTCTCTGTGTGGTCTCTGTTTTATTGCGTGAACAAAGTGGATGGTGCACGTTCGATGGCTGGCTAGATCTACTGATATTGCAACAGTCACAGGTCTATGGTGAGTCCTAATGTGATGACTTTGCTCGCAGCCCGGGTCGAATGCTGCTTCTGCAATGCGGTCCCAAGTTGCCTTCTGAGTGGAGACTCTGGTTGCCCCGTGCCTTGCCTCCTGGACCAGTCCAGTGCAAGTAACATCTCAGTGGCCCTTTGGACGTCCTTAGCCTTGCCGTGACAATTCGAATGACCAGCAGATCGCTGTCTGCATACAGGACCGAAACGCTCGTGAATGGTAAGCAAAACGGACAGTTGACATAGCCCGGGTGTTCACATTCGGTGGTGAGTAGTGAGGCGAAGGAGCTTCTCACTGGTCAGATGATGAGGGATTTCATACATGTCGGGAGGCATTGGACACTCGTGAGCATTGTGAGAGGTCTCTGGCTGTGGTCGCCTCTCATGCCCTAGGCACATAGAGGCGTTGATGGCGACCGGAGCCAGTAAGTCGTCCGCTAAAGCTGGCGTGGAGACAGGAGATGTGGCAGTGCTCTCCCGACTGACGACACCCATCAGGTCCGCAGCAGTGATGTGTGGTATGCATCTCGTGCCACATCGTTTCTGTCTCACAGGATTGGTTTTCGGCTAGACGCGCATTGTTCAGGCTACCAATGACCACAAGCTGTCTTGGACTGGTTGGTGCCGAGTGATAACCAGTGTTCTCCGGTGTTTCGAATAGGCACCAGGTCCTCTGCTCGCAGCGGAATTGACATTATCGCATGGCCACGTGTCCGATGGGTCGCCCCGAGATGCATGAATGCCAGGCATGTATTGCAGTGCAAAAGAACCGGGGACGATGCCCTAGCCCTGGTCCAGAATATCAGCACATGCCGCTTCAAAAGCCGTGTCTTACCGAGACCTCGGTGGAGCTGCCGTCGATGGACGAGATGCGTTTACTTTGCGGCAGAGTCATTGTCAAGATCTGCTGACCAGATCGAGAATGTATATCGCTGACTATCCGCACTAGCTGCATCATAATGAAGCTTGCTGAGGGCTTCATGTGTTCCAGATGCAATCCGCAATGGGTACGGGTGAGCGGACTGCACGTGCAAATGCTGTGGGTTGAGTTCGAACCTCCAAGGGTGCTCCCACGCTGTATGCTACCGTACATTTCGCTATTGACCTGAGAAATCCATTCCTCAGTCATGGTGCTCATGGACTGCTACATCCATACACTGCGCTCAATCATGAACTCAGGATCGTGGCAGGTTGCATCACCACATGTGTACGGGTCGCATTGCTGTGAAACATCCGAACGAGAAGAATCCGGCGTTTGACATGAATGTCTCCGCAGAGCCGCAACATATCAGTAAGTATCATGTGACGGACGACAACCCTCACTGATTTGGTCAGATAGCACCGCAGAGCGACCTCTAGAGCATGGAACCATACGACCAAGCCAATGAGGGTTTCTCCAGTCTGCACTTCGTGCATATGACAACGGGGCGGTCTGTGTGGCTTAACCACTATCGACAATCCGGGTATTCGGGACTGAAGAGCACAAAGACCACATTTGAGGTATGACCATCTAGATTGCCGTTTCGTTACACTCTGCCCAGGTGTCGTGACTGTAATATCCGAGACGGTATTGCTTCCCCTTCTTTCAACCAGATTATCCCTCTAATGTGCTTTTCAAGATGATGACAGTATCTCGTGGCAAGCGTGCACAACCTCATACTCGTGTCGCACTTGGGTGATCTCGCACTGCGTTGTTGAGTGATGACATCACTGTATTCTCAGCCTACCTATTCATAACTTACCCATTGGCCGGGCACTATGCGACGTGCGTCGAGTGTGAAATGGACCAGCTAAGTCTTGTGGTGGAGTCAATGACCGGCGGAACATCTGTGCCGCATCATGGAGACACCCCGACGTGCTTTAATCCCATCAAGGCACGAGCGCTGGCCTGCTCATACTGCGAAAGCTAACACAAACGAGTCAACTCAACGCCGGAACTGGCTGCGGCAATCTCGCTAGAAGCCGACCAAGTTCCGCGCCTTACGAGCAACCCAGTGCTTACGGTGAGATGGATCCACACCTATACACATGTGTGCACTTAAAGTGTGGATCCTCGCTCGCGACCTACACGAAGTCCAAGAGATCCCTCTCAGGCGCCCGCAGCACGAGATCTGGCAACCCTAAGCCACAGGCGAGGCTCTCCTTGTCATGACAACGGAAGATCGACCACTGTACCAAGAACTTACGGTCTCGGAACCAAAATTTCTGCCAAACCTGCTTTAGCTACTAGGTAGACGGCAAGCAACGGACGGACCGGAAGCCACGGGCACAAGTCGAGCCCTGGACGACATTGCTTATGTCGCGGGTGAGGTAGATGGAGGTCACCTGCCCTGCAAAGCTCTCCTCAGATTTGCCTCCCCACGTGTTCATCGCGCAGCTCCAATACGGCCCGTGGCGTTAGTCCAAATGCTAGAACTACTGACCGGGCTTTATTAGCTCGAACGGATCCAAGACATACGGCAGTAGCGCTATCAGCATCCCAAGGTACCTCAGTGATGAGACAGGAGACAGCAAATAAGCAACGTGCTTCGAACACACAAGGCAACCGCCCCCACTGTCTGCGGAGGTTCGCACTTCAAACAGCCCTTGCGACGACAAAGGTACTGTGCCTCAACATCTAGAGATGTCCTAAGACCTGCACTTTTAGTCTTTCTCGCACCCGCTTATCGTGTCCTTGTCAGATCAGTGGCAGCGATACGTATGGCAAGTGCAAGGAATTTAAACAAAAGGTATGAAATGCAAGAGCGTATCTCCTCAGTCCCTTGAGCCCTTCTGCCTCAGCCACTTCCTGACTCAACCGAAAATTCTTCGGCTGTTCCTTCCTTGACCGAGATCAACAGAAGATGCAGCCTCCTTCAAGTTGCTAAGTACCTCCTTGCCCTGGCTTTTCCCCTCCCCTGTCGCAGCGGCCCACCGTGAACCCGAAGCCTCTCCGCTCCTGCCTCGTCCAGTGCTCTCAGCAGTAGCACTTGGAAGGTACCTCAGCCTTTCTCGCTTGTCGAACAGCGGTGGGGCCGACAGCCTCGAAATGCTATCCAGAATTCATTCGAGAGTAGATCCGGTAGTGATCACAGCGCCGATTCAGTACCGAGACGTTCTCAACGAGCTTGTCCCGCTGCTTTGAGAACATGAAGACTGCAATCTACCATCATGGACTGAGACCATGGTGGAATCTTCACCGTGGCCTTCTGAGCAGGCATTCCAGGTAAGAAGATAACAGCTTTGTTGGAAAATCCAGCTAAAGCGCAACTCTCAGTGCTATCACGAAGGTTTGCTGTTCTCCCGCGTCGTTATTGCGCTTTACTCTGCGCCACCGGCACATCATCATCTCCTCCACTAATGTTCATTCTAATCATCTTCCCCGGATTCAACAGCCCTAATGGATCAACCGCCAACTTGACCTTCCTCATCAAATCCACCCCCTCCACACCCAACTCCTCAACCACCATGTCCCTATACTCCAGCCCAACCCCATGCTCCCCCGTGATCGTCCCCTCCATCCCAATCGCCAACCGCTGCACCCAAGTGATCACCTCCCTTGCCTTCTCCTTCTCCTGCTCCCCATAGAACACACTCGTATGAAAATTCCCATCTCCCACATGCCCAAGACAGTTCCCAATAAGCCCCGACTCAGCAATATTTCGCTTCGCAGCATCAACCGCCTCCCCCATCATACTAATCGGCACCGCCGTATCCGCACTCAAAAACCTATCCCCCGGATCCTTCTTCAAGCTCATCATGCTCCACAACACCGTTTTCCGCGCCGCCCAAATCGCTTCCCTCTCCTCATCTGTCTTCGAGAATTCGAACGTTTCACAACGCGCTTCCCTTGCGAGCTGCCTCACGACCTCGATCTGTCTTCCCACCGCCGCTTTATCCTTCCCATGGAACTTAAAGAAAAGCGTCGGTTTCTCCGCAAAGTGCTTGTCGCAGTACCCCCCATTATTCACAGCCTTCATAGCAACATCGCAGAGGAGTTCCATCGCGGCAACGGGCATATCGCTCTGCACGACTTTCACGGCTGTGGCAACAGCAGCCTGCGTGCTTGGAAACGCAGCCACTGCGACGCGTTCATTCTCGGGTTTCGATGTTAATTTGAGGTGCGCTTCTGTCACCAGGCCTAGTGTTCCCTCGGAACCGACGATAAGCCGTGTGAGGTCATACCCCGCGCTCGACTTTCTGGGCCGGTGGCGCGTGCGCACGATAGTGCCATCGGCGAGGACGACGGTGAGGCCCAGCACCCACTCCTTCATTGTGCCGTAGCGGTAGGCGTTGGTGCCGGAGCAGCCCTGCGCGACCATTCCACCGATCTGTGCGCCGGGGCCCGGGTCGACGGGGAAATAGAGGTTTTGGGAAGCGATAAGTTCGTTGAGGTCCGTGTAGCTTACGCCCGGCTGGACGGTACAGTCTAGGTCAGAGGGGCGGACGGCGAGGATGGAGGACATATTTCGGCTGAAGTCGATGCATACGCCGCCGTTGGTCGCGGCGAGGGTGCCTTCCAGGGAGGTGCCGCCGGAGAAGGCCGTCATGGGGATCTTGCGGGCGTGGCAGATCTTCGCGATGGCGCTGACTTGGGATGTGTTGGAAGGGTAGAGGATCAGGTCGTAGCGGTCGGCGTCGCCGTGCGGGGAGGCGGACCATTCGGTGGAGGAGTGGTTGAGGCAGGTGGTGGGGTTGGTGTCGATTTGGGTGTCGGTTAGGAAATTGCGGAATTCCTGAAGGGCTTGGTCGATGTTGGGTTTGGTGGTGTTGAATTTGAGGGCTGAAGTCGAGTCGGTGGAGAGGGGCAGGGTCGAGAGACTGGACCTTGGGGGGTCACTTTTTAATTTCCAGTTTTCCAGATAGAGGTTGCAAGCTACTACGATCATCGATGCATGGATGAAGAGTTGCCACCAAGGTGTGCGTTCAGCCCTGACTCGCCTAAACTCCCGGTCCAGAACCTTTGCTGCGTTCGGGCCTCTGAGCTGGGCGAGGAGTTCCTCGTTGATGGGCTGTGTTGGTGGCGGCGGGGGTGGTGGTGGTGGTCTCGAAGCGAATTTGCGTGATGCTATAGTCCATGGTGGCGATTTTATGCGGGCACATTGCGCTGTTCGAAGCCAGGGCATCATCTGTAGAGGTCGAAACGATTGCATGGCAGCGGTTGCCATCACTCGGTGCTCTTACAGAGAGGATTTCACGAACTGGCTTGCCCTAAAGAAGCCCTTCTCTCACAGCACATCGGTCGACCTCGACCATAGTTCCATGAGACGTCCGTCCAGCTGGAGCTTTTGCTGCAGCACATGCCTTGCACTCTTGAGGTCGATGTTGCTTGGAGTGCTACGTTGACGTTGAAGAAGCACTAACGGTTGAAATGGCGTGGCGAGTGGACTTTCTCCTTCGGATATGATATCCATACCCCGTACTTCGGGCTGAACCCCGTCCGCCAAGGTAGTGTTGACGGTACGGTCTGACTCCGCCGTACCCAGGGACCGACATTGTCGACTTTCCTTCCACTCAAGTAAAGTCACAAGCCTGTCAGCAACAGTTAATATCCGCGTGCTGGGTGAATGAAGATTTCGACTCCGAAGCGAAAACGGCATGGCCGCTGAGAATGTATGAATGTCTAGGTGTATCTACGTTTATATTCACCACTCCATCCGATCATCACCCACAAGCCTCACATCGCACCTCTCCTGACCCCTCCACACTTTCGCTCCATCATTACATCTCGCGACCGCCGCCCTCAGATCAGAGACCAGCCCACCTGGCCCGGAAGCGTAGACACTCGTTGGGCCACGCACTGTGCTGCCGACAAAGTCAGTGACCAGCTTTGCTAGGTCCGGATGCCGCGTTTCTTGTCGTATTGCGTCGGCTGAGCTGGGCTGGTGTATTGAGAGGCGGCGAGGCGGCGTTGATGAATTGCTAATGCTGGAGGATGCAGCTTCCTCTGCGGATGACTGCATAGCGTCGTGGGCTGACTCGGAGGATGAGGAGCAGCATGATGCTTTGGCTCGTTCTTGCACGGCGATCAGACCGCCCTTCTCACGCTCGACGTCCTCCAGATTCGATGCAGCGCTGGCCTTGTCCTCTCGCGTGACGAATATCCGGATGGCCAGGTTCATTCGCTTGCTCGCCGCCATTAGGGTGTCAAGCTCGGGCCGTATCCATTCCATATCGTTGCGCCGTCGGATCGCCCAGACAAGCTCGATCCTCCGATCTCGTCCGGCTCGAACTGGAATAGGTAATGTCATGAGGTGAAAGAGCACAGGCAGGACGAATGTGATGCCGCTTCCGCCTGCAACCAGGAGGACGTTGACGTCTGGCTCGTGCGTGAGCCTCTCAACGTGACTTGTGCCGTATGGACCTTGCAGAATCACTGCTGTTCTTGGCGTTGGGTTCTTGTTGCGTGCTTGTGATCGTAAAGCGTCTGGCAGGACCGTGGTCGACTTCGAATCATCTCTGGAATAGCTCTGACTGTCGTTGAGCTCGAGGACTTTCCTCCTTGCTATTTCAGCAACTTTGCTGGTCTCTCCACCTTTCGCTCGGAAGACATATGTGTGCTTCTGTCCCTCCTTACCAATACCAGGCAAGCTAAGAGGTGTGAAAGGATGACTCTGCCAAATACTGCTCTCAGGGAAGCAGAGATAGAAGTGCTGGCCAACCTCCCAAGCAGCATGATTGTGTACGAAGTCCAGCCGCACAACATCCCCATTCATCTCATCCGGGAAGTAGCTGACCTTTGCCTGCGCTGCTTGGAAACCCATCCCCGCGCCATCCGGCAGATACTGATAGTGCAGCAGAAATGTCCTCACCAGTCGTACAATGCGGTCAAGACCCCAGACAGCCAGCGACGCAATGATGAAGCAGCCAAGCTGCGCCCAGTGACCGTAGCAAGCACCCAGGAAAACCATTGCCATAACATAGTGAACCTTTCGGAAGACCTCGTATCCGCCTGTTCGACGCACTGTGCATGAGAAGGAAAGCACCAGGATCAGTGTGATCAAGACCATTGCAACAACACCCCAAATCATGTACGTCTGCTTGATAAAGTTGGTCCAGACTTTGGGCTGTGGCTGGTAGAGCTTGGCTTCGACAACCGTCCAGCCGATTGTGTGGACAGCGGACTGTATGTAGATGATGTAGCCGATCCACCGATGCAAAGGCTGGAAATTCTGGTACGGGATACCAGTCAAGAGTGACAGGAGGGACTCTCGAGTGGCCAGGAGGATCGATAGCGGGAGCAGCGCATAAGCAAGGATACCGATGCGGTCGGAGAATGGTCCTAGGCTGGTGCGGGTATTGTAGACACCGGGACTGTTCTTTACGGGTGTGACCCATGTCTCATAGCGGTAGCCCACAAAAGTGAACATCGTCAAGTAGATGCTCAGCATAGACACGATCAAGACTTGTAGCCTGGTGACACGACCAAATACTGCCCTCAAAGCAGTATCCGGAAGCAAACAGCGTCGGAAACTCGCCTTGACAGCGCTAGCCAGTCGGCTGGCGGAGCTTTGAGCACCTAATGACGAGGTCTCAGCATCACCCTCCCGTGGAGGCGACTTGCGCGAAGGAAGCAAGTGCCGCATAATGCCAAACCCGAAGAAAAGCGCCAGGAGCACCGCCCACATGATGCCGACGAATACTACACCCTGATCATGGGCACCATATACAACATCAAGATAGTCACCTGAGTGGTCTTAGTACCGTAACGTGTTTGGGAACATTCGGAACTCACAGCTGCCAGCATCGACCACACATGGCACCACTCTGTCCGCATATCCCCAGTGATGCGAGACTGAAGTTGCCGCTGCATGATCCTGAATGTGCTGTCGGACTACCAGCGTGGGTGGCTGCTGAACCGTCGAAGCCATGACCTAGGTTCGAAGTCGTTGAGCTGGTCCAAGGAACGGTGTCGACAGCCTGCAAGTCACTGACAACGACACGAAGCCGGCATGAGTGGTATATAGTCGCCTCGCCCCGGGATGGGCAATGCCATCGCTGAATAGTGGAGTTCATGCCAAGGCTCTTGAATGAGCAAGTTTTCTTCCTCGCCAAGCCATCGGCATGAGTATAAGACGCTCCCACTGGCTGTCATGCACGAGGCGCATGCGTGAGGTCCTCTCAGTGGATTTCGGGGTCGGTTTTAGTGCTCTCAAAACGAAAGGCCTATCAAAGATACCGAGTAGTAAGGCCAATTCACTTCTGAGCACGTTTTCCAGGCCCGGAAGGTGGGATCGGTGAATAATGTTGCTCGTATCTTGCTCACCTTCACGCTCCTGTCAATTCTTATAGCCCTTGCCAATTCTCGAACGACGTTGGGTTTGACTCTACCACACTCGACTTTCGTACCATAAACTTGCAGTACCGACAACCAAGACTAGCTTTCGAAAATGGACCACGGAAGCATGGGTGAGGGCGACGGCCCGACATGCAAGATCTCTGTATGGTCGCACACCTCACCTTACTTTGACCTAACCTGCTGACAAGACTCCAGATGCTGTGGAATTGGTACACTATTGACGCCTGCTTCCTCGCCGAATCCTGGCACGTGACGAGCTCTGGCCAATTCGCAGCGTCCTGTATCGGCGTCATTCTGCTCGTTATCACGCTTGAGGTACTGCGACGGCTCGGCAAGGAGTATGACTCGCACATGTACCAGCAATGGCATCGTCAGGCAGCAGCACGATTCTCGAATCCAGGACCTCAGGATTGCTGTGGTCCAGAGAACCCTCCAACGTACCCGCAGCAGTTTGCCACTTTCAGAGCGACGCCACTGCAGCAGACTATCCGCTCGGTGATCCACATGGCGACGTTTGCGGTGGCGTACTTCATTATGTTGCTGGCCATGTACTTCAATGGGTACATCATCATCTGCATCTTCATTGGTGCTTTGCTTGGCAAGTTCCTCTGCGATTGGACCAGTATCAAGATTCCTGTGGGAGGTGCTGCCAGCTCCGGGTCAGGGCCGCAGGCCAAAGGCGAGGAGGAGCTGACTTATTGCTGTGGCTGAAAGATTTCAGCGCGTCAGAGTGGAGGTCGGTACCAATGGGGTACGGAAATCTGGGATCAGATCGACAGGACAAGCCTAGTCCGCCCAGTAGTCTGCATGTAGGCACATGGACATCTGTTGCGAACACCGGCTTGCATGGTAGATATCGACTGCTTTCAGAGCTTGATGACACGCAATAAGGAGGTGCATCCTGCGAAAGTTGGAAGCCATAATTCTTCGTAGCACATGTTTCAGTGACGAGCAGAGAGTCCACCGCTGTCCTCAATGCTCGACACAGTGGCAATCGAGGTCTCGTGAGGCTCACCTACGGTGTTCGATACGATCTTTGCCTTGTTGGTTGCCTTCATAATCAGGTCTTCGACCTTCTCGACTGACTCGTCATCATTGGCCGTAGGCACATGTTTCGGACTCGTCAGAGACAGCAACGACTCAACGTTCTTCTCGAGACGTGCACTTTTTGGCAATGCCGGCATGGCTGAAAAAGCGTTGGACAGATCTGTGCCGCTCTGAGCACTCGATTCAGTAGTTTCCGTCAAATTGCTAGAGCCAGAAGCAGCAAAATGTCCTTGACGTAGCCTGTGGTTCCAGACAAGAGCACGCCCGTGTAGTCTGCCGAGTTCAAGGGCCTTGTCGTACCCTTTCTCGATACCAAAAATTTTGCCCTCGACTAGTCCAGCATGCGTACCATCAGCAGCGCCGGCATCAAAGCCTTCTTTGTAGAATTGATCCTCGATGTCGAGGACATCATCGAAGAGATCATCCGCCATCGGAACGTCGTGTCCTCGTTCAGGGGTGGTCAAGTGAATGAGAGGCAGTGTGAGGAGGAAACTTCGAGAAAGTGATAGTGGGAAGGCGTTTAGGCTTCTCCAAAAAAGGCGTCATCCGGGGAAGGAGCATCCCTGGGCGACATCCGCTCGAGACCGCCGTGGGTTTTTATGACTGCAATTTGTCGGTCAGAAGTAATCTTTGACAGTTCACACTGACGCACACCTTGTTCCAGCACCTCGTCGACTCTGTACACCCAGACTCTCTAGAAAGATTTGCCAGTCCCCAACACCCTCAAGCCCGAAAGCGACAGCAGAAATCGTCTGCGAGCACTACAGCGACTTCCACAGCGCGCCGGCGGTGCTGCCCCGCAACATGGCTACGAAACCAAAGATCTTGCCAGAGGAAGGCAAACGAAACATCCTCATCACTTCGGCGTTGCCGTACGTCAATAATGTGAGTTGACGCCACCCCTACTTTGGCTCGAATGCTAATAAAACAGGTCCCGCATCTGGGCAACATAGTGGGCTCCGTCCTCAGCGCCGACGTCTTCTCGCGCTACAACAAGGCTCGTGGCCGACCGACATTATACGTCTGCGGCACCGACGAATATGGCACAGCGACCGAAACACAGGCACTGAAGGAGGGTGTCAGCCCAGAGGCACTGTGCGCAAAATACAACAAGATCCACGCCGAGATCTACGAGTGGTTCGAGATTGGCTTCGACATCTTTGGACGAACTCCGACGCGGCAACACACAGAGATCTCACAAGCAATATTCAAACAGCTGCACGAGAAAGACTTCCTCGTGGAGCACACAAACACACAGCCATTCTGTGAAAAGCATGGCAAGTTTCTCGCAGATCGCTTCATCGAGGGCACGTGCCCCAAGTGCGGCTACGATGATGCGCGGGGAGATCAGTGCGACAACTGCGGCACTCTGATTGATCCGCTCGAGCTCATCAAGCCGCGCTGCAAGGTCGATGGAGCCACACCAGTTGTCAGAGAGACCAAGCACCAGTACCTGCGGTTAGACGTGCTGCAAGAAAAGGTGGATGAGTGGGCCCGAAAGTCGATCAAGAAAGGCGGGTGGTCGAGAAATGCGGCAGTCATCACAGAGTCGTGGCTGAAGCAAGGTCTGAAAGAGCGAGGCATCACAAGAGATCTGCAGTGGGGTGTCCCTGTACCGTTACCAGGCTACGACAACAAGGTCTTCTATGTCTGGTTCGAGGCCTGCATCGGCTATCCTTCTATCACCGCCAACTACACCGAAGACTGGAAGAAATGGTGGCACAATCCCGAACAGGTAAGCCTGTACCAATTCATGGGCAAAGACAACGTCCCATTCCACTCCGTCGTCTTCCCAGCATGTCAAATCGGCACTGGGGACAATTGGACACAACTCCACCACCTCTCCGCAACAGAATATCTCAACTACGAAGACGGCAAATTCAGCAAAAGCAGAGGCATCGGCGTCTTCGGCAACAACGCCAAAGACACAGGCGTGCCAGCTGACGTCTGGCGCTACTATCTCCTTAAGAACCGACCAGAGTCAAGCGACACACAATTCGGCTGGGACGCCTTCGTCGACGGCAACAATACCGAACTCCTCGCCAAGCTGGGCAATTTTGTCAACCGCGTAGTGAAGCTCGTCAACTCGCCCAAAGCCTATTCCGGTGTCATCCCAGACTTCGACCCGTCCAACCTCCCCGAATCATTTGACTCCCACCTCAAAGATATCACCGAACAAATCCAACAATACCTCAGCGAAATGGAAGCCGTCAAGCTCCGCCAAGGCCTCGCCACCGCCATGCGAATCGCCGAAGCAGGTAACGGCTTGATCCAAGCACATCGACTAGACAATGCACTCATCGCTAGCGATCCCAAACTGGCTGGCGCTGTAGTCGGCACCGTCATCAACCTCATCCTGCTGTGCTCCGCTGTATTCGAGCCCTACCTCCCCGCAACCTGCGCTTCGATCCGAAAACAGCTCAACTCGGATTTCCTCTTAATCCCCTCGGAGGAAGACATCGCGAGTGGTTGGAAGCCAACATACATCAAACCCGGCCACAAGATCGGCCAAGCTGAGTATCTGTTCAAGACAATTGACGAGAAGAAGAAAGTCGAGTGGAAGGAGTACTATGGCGGTAATCAGGCTGAGCGTGAGGCAAAGAAGGCAGAAGAGGCGAAGAAGGCTGCAAAGAAGGCCGCAGATAAAGAGAGAGCTAAAGCGAAGAAGGCGGCAAAGAAGCAGGCCGGCGCCGGCTCGGGCGAGGGTAGTGTCGAACAGAGCGCAAAGGGAGGCCCGGATACGGCTGCAGCCAACGGTGTTGACGGTGACGTGGTCGACAAGGTTGTGGATGGTGTAGCACAGGTCACGATACCTACCTCGTGAGGGGGACCGATGCTCATGAGACTCTGCTACGATCTGAATAATTGAGCAATGGTAAGATGACAGGACGACTACCGCAAGGTATGCGATCATCTAGGGGTGTTTTGTGGCTCAAAAAGTCGAAATTTCATTAGAGCAAGATCGAGGTTCAACACCAGATGAGACCGTTTGTGACGAGGACGAGATATCAAGATCAATGCATTGACCACAATTATTTTCCTACCTCCTGAGGGCAACTGTCCTACCGACACCCTATACATGGTCTTGCTGGGAGGTAGGCTGCTCTACCTCCGCCTATCTCCATAGGCAGCTGCGGCGTTCTTTTGTCCCCGCGTAAATTGTTTGAACTGCAACACCACGCGACTAGGCAACACCAGCCCTCTTGTCACTCTTTTGCCAATATCTATCGCGACCTTCATACTCAGAGGATGCCATCTCCAATCACCTCATCCATACGAACACCAATCTGAACGCTGATCTTACTACACACCTCACACCATGGCGGGCCTGTTCGGCACCCAGGCCTCCACCAACACCAACGCCCCAGGCGACATCTCAAAGGACGTAGCACTGAACCAACCCCCCGACGACAGTATATCCGACATCCGCTTCTCACCCACTGCCGACTTCCTCGCCGTCGCCTCCTGGGACAAGAAGGTCCGTATCTACCAAGTCGATAGCAGCAGCGGCCAGAGCGAAGGCAAGGCCCAGATCGAATTCGATGGCCCAGTGCTAGCAACTGCCTGGTCTGAAGATGGCTCCAAGGTCGTCGGCGCCTCCGCAGACAAGACCTTCAAGATGTTGGATCTCGGCTCAAACAGCATGACGCCTCAGAGCCTGACCGCCCACGACGAGCCCATTAAGTGCGCCAGATTCACAAATATCCAGAACACGCCCGTGCTGGTCACGGGCTCGTGGGACAGTAAGTCTGCCACACGTCTATTGGGGATCTCAACTAATGTGTTTCTTCAGAAAAGGTCAAATACTGGGATCTCCGCTCCGACAAACCCGCCGTCACAATCGAAAACCAAGACCGCGTCTACACCCTCGACACCCGCGGCAAGCTCCTCGTCATCGGCACCGCCGACCGCTACATCAACATCATCGACCTCAACAAGCCCGAATCCTTCTACAAGACCATCCAATCCCCACTAAAATTCCAAACCCGTGTCGTCAGCTGCTTCACTCCCACACCGAACGGCTTCGCCATCGGGAGTATCGAGGGGCGGTGCGCCATCCAGTATGTCGAAGAGCGGGATGCCTCCAATAACTTCTCGTTCAAATGCCACCGCGAAACAAACCCCAACAACAAAGACCAATCCAACGTCTACGCCGTCAACGCCATCTCCTTCCATCCAGAGCACGGCACCTTCAGCACCGCTGGGAGCGATGGGCAGTTTAATTTCTGGGACGGACAGGCGAAGCATCGCTTGAGTAGGTCTACCCTTTTTCTCATCTCTACCCATCTCATATGCGCCCCGGCACGGAGCTAACGCACAAGCAGAGGGATTCCCAAGCGCAGGCGCACCCATCACAGCGACAGACTTCAACCGCCAAGGCACGATCTTCGCGTATGCACTGAGCTATGACTGGTCTCAGGGGTTTCAGAAGAACACGGCGCAGCAGCCACACAAAGTAATGCTTCACGCTGTCAACCAGGATGAGGTCAAGCCGCGACCGAAGGCGGGCGGGAAGCGTTAGGAGCAGAGTGGCGGAGAAATGCGCTAGGAAACGCAAGCCGGGGCAGGGAGTAGCGGCATGGGCTGGCAGAGGCAGCTAGGGGAAGTGATGCGCTAGGAGCCGCAGGGCGGCGGTGGACGGCTGCAGCCTCTGCTGGGCCAGTTGCCTAGACTGACAACGACGGGCAGAGGCACAAGGGAGCAGCGGAGGTCTTTCTGAATTGGGGAAACTCTTAAGGTTAAGGTCTCGAAAGAAGCTCACGGACAGGCAGACGCGGAGGCAGAGTCTACAACTGGACTAGGAGGAAGGGGAAACGCATCAAAGAATGACAAGATCACTTTAGATCAAAATAGTCGATGGCCACAGACCAGCAGGCCAGAGGACCGGGATCATACCCCCCGGACCGTTGCTAGGTAGAATCAAATGAATGGAAGCAGCAAGCCCACGTAAGAACACCTTTTGAATGCTCGAGTATGAGGTGACTACTAAAAAGGTATGTGGCAAAGATGCTAATCCGTGATTCCCGTACTGATCTGCTGCGGTACCAATGCTCGTACCTCCCAATGTCCCACGCCGTAGACTCCCATCGCATGGCCTCGTTTGCTTTTTCGTCTTCCGTCCAATTCCTAGAGTCCAAGCAGTGGATGCGTAACTCGATTTTCGGATGAAACCCCCTCAACGCACTTCCCAACACGCAAACTCTGGTCTCGTGCAGACCTGCGCCCTCGGCGCTGATGAGCAGACACTCTCAACCGCTAAGCAATGTCCATGCCCTCCGCATCGTCATCTCCCTCACCGCCATCTTCGCTCTCGACCTCACTTCGTCGTCTCCTAGCGTTCGAAGCTTGGTGTACTGGCTCGTCTAGCTCATCGCCACCGATGACTTTGCCTTCCATGTCGACAACATGGCACAACTCGATGAGCCGGGCATGGCTAAGTGTTTTGAACCCTTCTGTTCTGACGACTCTGCCCCAATTCATCATGCAGAAACGCGCTGCTCTCTGGCGCAGCCACTCCTCGTCTGTGCGGCCCGCACGATCCCAGATAACGGCTGCATGGTCGATGTCGATTTCTCGCGACAGGCGGTTAACGCAGAGCAGGCGGAGCTTGGGCATGTCGTAGAGGTTGGCCATGACGAGCATGCCGGCCACGTCAGTGAGATCTCGGCAGTATTGTGATGGTGCGATCGAGTCTGTGTAGAGATAGTATAGGAAGGCGCGCACGACAGAGTATGGTTCGGGGATGTGCATGCGGGACGTCTGGTATTCGATCATTTTGGAGGAGTACAAGCGGCGGAAGTGTGGCCAGCGGGCGTGCAGGATGATCTTGTGGACATGGATCAGAGGTGAGGTTGACGAGGAGTCGGAAACGAACATCTGGCTGCCACTCGTGTTGGTGGAGTAGCGTGCGGCTGGTGCTTGACCAAGGTCGCCATCAGCGGACATATCATCATCGTCGTAGTCGTCAGCATTTGCTGTGATGGTGAAGTCGGTCATGCCACCCTCCGGTGATTGGTCGAACATCGATGCGAGATCTGCACCGAGTCCGACAGTGCTAGTCGCGGTCTGCTCGGCTGCTAGGATGCGTGTCTGCTCGGAGTTTGGGCTGACGAGATCGTTTCCCAGTAGACCATAACGCTTGAGATCTATTGAGAGGACTTCGCTCAACTGCAACTCTTGATTAGCATTGGCTGTGTCCTCCGTCGGCGATCCCATCAGCCAGGCTTGAGTGCCGTCCTCGTTGATGCAGCAGTAGTGCCACTTGTAGCCCGGAGCAAATATCTCTGGTCCTTCGACAATTCGCTGCCAGCGTAGTGAGTCGAGCTCCAATGACGACAAGTTGCACTCGCTAGGTCGTATTGTTGTCGTTGGGGTAACAAAATCCAGAAGTGCGCCGGACGAGCAGACGTGAAAATGTGTGCCTGTTGACTGCTGCGGTACATTCGGACCTGAGACGAACTTCAGAGACGAGATTGCACCCGGAGCATTGGGCTTCTCCCTTCTAGACGATCGAATGTGAAGACTGCCTGAGTTTGCAGGATATGCATCGAGTCGATCTGACCTTGGGGCGAATCTGTCGTGTGTCGAGCTGGTCGCCCTACCCATCGAAGGAAGACGGCGACCAGAGCCTGAGAGTGACGCTGACCCTTTCAGGTCAAGCCACCAAATCTCTGATGACCGCTCCATCTCATGACCGAGACCACCGAGTACCCACAGCCGGCCTCCCCATATCCAGGCAGAGTGGTCAAATCGCTGCACAAAGCTCCACGTCTTCGACCATGTCATGGTCTTGAGGTCTAAATAGCAGATGTCATCGAGGATGTAGTTAGTCTCGCCCGTGAGTCCGCCAATAACGAACAACTTGTCCTCGTAGACGACGGCCGCGTGTCGAGCTCTTCCTTTTGGGATTGGGCCTTGGGTGTCTGGTTGAGTCCACGTATGGGTGTTGAGGTCGAGGATGACGACGTCTGATAGGTACTCGCGGTGCTCATTCTCGCCGCCATATACGAGGAGCTTGTCGCCCTGATACAACGAGGCTGAGTGGCCCATTCGAACGCCAGGGATGTCTCCATAGTTGTCGACTAGTTGCCAGTTAAGATTATTGAGATCTAAGCGGAGGACGTGATTGTAGACTTCGTCAGTGAACTGGTCGAATCCACCAAAAGCATAGATCTTGTTATCGCCGCAATATGTTACGGATGCGTTGACGAGACATGCTGGCTTTTGTCCGGTCGTTTTCCAGATCTTGGGCTTTTGGCCTTCTGGGGGGCCTCGCCTATTCTTGGCGGGACTTGTGGGCATTAGGTACGTCGTCTGTGTTGGAGTGTTTGAGCCTGATGTTCGTGAAGACTCGGCGACTTGAGGAAAGACAGGTCCTGCAGTAAGTCGAGATCCGAATGCTGTAGGCGTGGTCGGAGCCGCCATGGCAGAACAGCATATGGGTAATGGTTCAATTCAGGGTAGGCAAAGAGTATGGGCGTAGTAGGGATGTTAGAAGAAGCTGCAAAAGCATCGAAGTAATGTGGTAGTACAATTCGCGTGACAGTAGTTCTGAAGCAAGTGAAGAGTTGAATCGGTCAAGTCAATCGAGGAAGAAGAGATGATCGTTGCTTCACTTCACTTTCGAGATGAGGCGGTCGTCGTCGCTTCCGTCGGGGTCCTCACGTGACCTAGGTTGTAAAGGCCGAATTCCAGAACTTCGGGCAGGAGCGCTTCACGTGACTTTCAGAAGATCCGATTTTTGGGGAAGCAGGCACGTTGCTGGGGTGATGGCGCTACAACGAAAAGATGTCAGACCTGGTTGGCCGGGTCGCACAGCAGTACTTGACTCGCGATCTGATCTTTTGACCTCTTCCTTCCTTCCACCTACATTTCCGAACTCTCAAGACCACCAAGTCTTACCTCCTCCTGCATTTGTGTACGAGTATAGCTTAAGATCCATTAGATCATACTCAGTATTGATCGACCCTCCGATTGGACAGCTCTTACTCTGCACCTAGCTCGGTTATTCAGTCAATCCAGCGATTGCTAGCAACAACACCACACTAACGACAACATACCAACAGCAGCATCACCGGGACTCATTCAGTTGATTATCTTGGGATATCATTGAATCGCTGGACCCCAGGCACAGACTTCCTTCGACAAGTTCTGATTGCTTAATCGACTACCTACTAACTTCTCGAATTTCTTCGTTGATCTTCGAGTACCCCACAGGACAACGACCGAAACATTGACTTGTCAATTCGGTCACACAACAACACAACCAACAGACATGGCGACTGCACAAGTATCAACGCCTCTCAAGAGCCATCATGCATCTTCTCTACCAAGACCGCTGGCGGCCGGATGCCTCTGACGCCTTCTCCTCGTACAAGAACCACGAGCGTGACATCCAACAACTACTCTCCTGCCACCCCTCCTCGAGACTCGATCCACAAGCAACGCGATCCCTCACTCTTCTTCGCTCGATCATCGTCTCGAAGCACTCCCAAGCTCAACTACGCCAACTCTCCCAAGTCAAACATCGCTCGCAACAAGCAATCTCCCAAGTCGCTCGAGCTTGGTGTCTCAGACTGGACTCTGACAGGCACTGGGCCTGCAACCAATGCTACTCCTCAAAAGGCCAAGAAGGACAATGCTCTCCGCACAAGAGCTGGCAAGACAACCATCAGACTTCCTCACGATGCTGCCGATCGATTCATTCCCAGCCGGACTGCGAGTCAAGGCCTCAAGACTGCTGGCTCAGCCAAAGGAGATGAGAACAGACCTAAGACAAGCGAGGGCTCGACAGTGCTGGCTACTGCTGCCAGTGCGTTCGACATCTCTGCTCGTGGTGCTGACTCAGACATCACGTCTGCGCTGGAGAACCTCGGCCTGGAAGATGAGGTTCCTTCCTACACAAAGAAAGATCTGGACTCGACAGCATACGAGGAAGAGCTGGCCTCTGCATGTGGCATCTCCACCAACCAGCGTATCCTGGCCTTCAAGCCTGCGCCTCCCGAGTCGTCCAAGCCCATCGACCTGCGCTCTCAGTACAACCGACCTCTCAAGCAAGCCAGCGCACAGTCTGCTCAGTTTCGTCGTCGCATCCAGTCAGCACCAGAGCGTGTTCTCGACGCTCCTGGTCTCGTCGATGACTACTACCTCAACCTGCTCGACTGGAGTACCGGCAACCAGGTCGCCATTGGGCTCGAGCGCAACGTCTACGTCTGGTCCGCCGACAGTGGCTCCGTGAGCTGCCTTCTAGAAGCTCCTGCCGACACGTATGTCAGCAGTGTCAAGTGGTCAGGCGACGGTGCATACGTCGGTGTTGGCCTCGGCTCAGGCGAGGTGCAGATCTGGGACGTCGAGGAGGGTACCAAGCTCCGCAGCATGTTCGGACACGAGACGCGCGTTGGCGTCATGGGGTGGAACAAGCACACTCTGTCTACTGGCGCCCGCAGTGGACTCGTCTTTAACCATGATGTTCGCGTGGCTCAACACAAGGTCGCGGAACTTGTCTCCCACACTTCCGAAGTCTGCGGCCTCGAATGGCGCTCGGATGGAGCACAACTCGCTACTGGCGGCAACGACAACTTGGTCTCTATCTGGGATGCTCGATCGCTAGCTGCTCCCAAGTTCGCTAAGAAGAATCACCGTGCAGCTGTCAAGGCGCTTAGCTGGTGTCCCTGGCAGTTGAACCTTCTCGCAACCGGTGGTGGTGCCAACGACAAGCACATCCACTTCTGGAACACCACTACCGGCGCTCGCGTCAACAGCATCGATACCGGTTCTCAAGTCACCAGCTTAAAGTTCAGCAACCACTATCGTGAGCTCGTCAGCTCGAGTGGATTCCCAGACAACTCGCTCAGCATCTGGAGCTATCCAACTCTAGTGCGCAACGTGGAAATCCCTGCTCACGAGTCCCGTGTCCTCCACAGCTGCTTGAGCCCGGACGGTCAGATGCTCGCTACTGCTGGTAAGTCGTTTCGTTTCATGCATGCATGCATGAATGCAGATCTGATCAAAGCTAACTCTTACTAGCGGCGGATGAGTCCTTGAAGTTTTGGAAGGTCTTCGAGCGCAAGGCTGGCGTGAACGCCTCGGCGGCTAGAGAGGGTGGAGTGGGCAAGGGCAGCAACATGGCTAAGCAGATGACCATACGATGAATGAGCTACCTCTACCTACGGCTGCAGGTGGCGAAGGGCACCCCGGATGCTATGACGTGTCTAACGGTGATTGATGAGTGCTTTTCTTCAGCCAACTCAATGTTCAGAGGCAGGCAGATACCATAGTACCATGTGTAGGTCCATAGGTACAAGATCGTGTCTACCCAATTGCATACAGCCTCCTGAATAGTCGCGCACAGCGCGCTCACTCGTCCACGCGCTTCTTCCCGCACGGGCTGACCCTACGGAATACTGCTTGAATGCTGAAGATTCCACCATTCGAACCAGCGCATCCAGATCATGAGCGAATCAACAAGTACAAGTGACATCTTGCTCTGTTGATCCTTACAGTCGGGGGCGACATCCTCCAGCTGCTGTTGGCTCGAACTCGTCTGCACCCAAGGCCTTGGGCGCTTAGATCCCTGTCCGCTGTCTCTCCGCCCCACTGAGCTTTCCCCGCCAATGACACACCGATAGTTGTTGCTTTCATGCGAATTGAGCGCGCTTCATCACGCTCTACTATTGAGCGGGCTTTCTGTGGAAAAGCTCCGTATGGTGCGTTGATGACTGGCGTCCGAAGTGCTGGGACCGGTTTGGGAACGTTGTTGGCTGGTCCGCGTTTCTGAAACAGCTAGTTTGCTGGCATATCATTCATGCCATGGACGAAGCTCACAACTCGCATCTTTTAGCGGCAGCAACGACGACTGAGCCTGCCCTAAGCTAAGGGCTTCCCGCATGCCGCACTAGCCTGCTGGCGAACACGATGCCGTTCCTGGAGCTCGGTAAGTGATCGCCGTACATGCCAACTGCACTCAAGAAAACATGCAAGGCCGCCTGCCAGATTTGTGGATGCGCAGCGCTCTTTCTCTCTCTTTTCGTGCGTTCGATACTGTTCGCAGGAGCGGCAGGGTTGCTGTGCCTTCCAAGAGCGGTTGCTGGACTTCGCGCTGGCTGCGAGAGTGTACTCGTTGCGTTCCCATCTCGTGCAAGCTGAGCCAATTCACCTACCAACTCGGCCGCAAACACGACCGTACTGACCGGTTTGCGACCACGACTATCTACTTGGGCAACATACACAAATCTGCCTCGCCAGAAAAGTCAATTACCTAGGACAGCACCGCATCGCCGGCAAGGTATTGCGCGAAGCATAGCATTGCAACCAAGCTGCGATGCTTCACGCCTGACGAGGCGCATTCCGATATAGCAGCATGGCCGCTGTTCTACGACCGCTGAGTGCCACCAATACGTTGGTGTCCGTCTTCTCGCCTTTTTCGAGCCAGCACAGCCCGACCGCGAAAGACTCCTCGCCGGATGCGACCATGTGAGTCTGCAAGATGTCCCCCACTGACTGCTTGTACTGACTGCGTCCCAGGTCGACCGATTCAGAGGCTCTGAAGCCACCTGCAAATCCTGCCGTAGAGGCACTGAAGTCACCAGCAACACCCGGCGTGGAACCGTCTCCGGTGTCTGATAGCGGCACAATATTTACCGATATCGACGATGGTGTGACCGAAGCTCAGGCGTCGACATCGCCGCCAGATGAGAAAGTGCCAATGAAAAAGACCGAAGCCACCGACAGGCGCTCTACACAATCGCCGTTCGAACGTTTTCGCAGTCCATCATTATCTGTGGGTAATATAGATGACCTCGACGTAACATTCGCTGACGCCGCTAGCTGAGGACAAACTCATTGCTTGCCTACCAAAGCAGCCTCAAGTCGGATGAGTCCGAGCCTCAGTCCGTGATTCATGTTCCGTCGGGATTCGGAAGCTTTGTAAGTAGCTCGTCTTCGCCTCAAGCCGGGCGCTGACTGTCCATAGCCTCCAAGGAAAGCCGACGAGGACTCCGAAGGTGAGATCGATTCTCAGTCATCAGATGTCCCTGAAACTCCTGAGCGGCCAGACCTCCAGAGAGCAAGAGGTGACTCAAATGATTCAGTACGATCCGACCGCACGGTGAAGATGCCCCATCTTCTAGGACGATCGCACGACGTACCGCTGCCACCGACGCCCTTGCAGACGGCACTGCCGATGACACAGGACTGGTCTTCGACGCCACGCGCCCAAACACGATCGGATCTGGGAGCATTCTCGCGCCCACCCTCGAGTCTTGCCTCGATACTGGAGAAAGATGATATTGTGGGTGACTATACAACCGACGATCCTTCCGGAGTAGATTCGGATGTGTCACGACGGGCAGATCATTACTTCCGCAGCACTGAGGACGAGATCGCTGCTCTCAGGACCGCGCTATCGGAATGCTGGACGCTATGCAACACTCTGGCATCGCTATCATACATTCATCGGGAACGCATTTTCGCCTTTCCTCAATCAACTTCAGCCACTGCTGACAGCTTGCATCTGCACCATCAACAAGCATGGAAGTCGTGCTGGAAGCTTTGCCAGAACCTCTACGACTCGGTATCGCCAACATCAGCACCCTCAAGCTACTCGAGCCCATCTCGACCAACCCTAGATCTGTGCCGAGAGTTTTGCGCAAGCCTATTCGATGCTCGAGCCCGTGACAACGAAACGGCCGATTCGGTCCTGCGAGTCTCATTCGAACTCAACAATCATCTCTTCAATACGCATGACCGGTCACTTCCAGAGGCTTTCCGAGAACGGACTTTGGATTTCTACATCACACTTTGCCACCGGCTCATGAAGCAGAAAGCTCGTATGCAGGAAGAGAGTGACTCTTTGCTGCGAGCGTGCTGGAGCTTAGCAGAAATGCTCTTCTCGTTGAGACAAAACGCTCGCGAGGGTCGCAAAGCAGACGAGGAACTCCTCGGCTCGGCCGTCCAAGCATGCTGGGAACTCTGCGATTTGTTCAGAGAAGGATGGACGCAGATTCGGCCGGAACGTGGAACGCCACGACCATCACAGACTACTTTCACGCAAGCATTCCAGCAAGCGCGTCGTGCTGGCTTTGGCATCGGTACTGATGATAACGGAAACCCGGTCGACACCTCGAACGGCGTGACCATAATCGGACTGCCAGAAACGCCGACTACGATATTCGAGGACATCACAACGGTCAACGTGATTAGTCCGGATGATCCTGAGCCACAGCCCAACATCCTGGTCCTTGGTGCTGATGCGCCTGCTGAGATGGGTGTACATAGTACGTCTTCCACACCTGCGCCGCAGCAAATAGTCGTGATGCCAAACCAGCATCAGCAGCTGCAGCGTGAGCCAGGCATCTTCACACATATTGTACGTGGTGGACACGCTGCTCCGGCTTCCGCCTCCATGCTTGGCCTTGTCAACACCATCAACATGGGACAGACACCGATGAGCGCCAACGCCACCACAACAAGTCGTCGATTCTGGAGCAGCGCCTCGTCCGCTGCATCAGCTGCATCAGCCTCAGAAGTGACGCAGGGTGGTGGCTTCGGATCACGGAGCGCACACGCCACCACGCGTAACCCGCCGCTTCCTCAGTACACAAACAGTCACAGCAGCACTATAAATCCCAACACTCGAGTGCAGCGACAACCGGCAGCACCGTCGTCGACCAGGACACTCACAGCAAATAGTGTCTCGGCACACAATAATCAACAGCAAGCTCAAGCGCAGAAGCGGAATGCCGTCACACGCTCGGGTGAGGATCGGGCACTCCTGCTACTGAAGCTGCTTCTGATAAAAGCCGCACTACTGACCAATCGTGGCTTCCATCCAAATGCCAGCGACTCAAAGCTGAATTCGCTGCCGCTGTTCGCCAAGTCACTGCCAGATACCGCCTTCGGTACTCAGGTGTGGCAGGTGAGTCTGCTCGACAACTACCGCAAAGCCGTGCTCAACGATCCCGCCATGCGAGATCTGGATCTGAGTCGGCTTGTGGTGGTCAACAACAATAAGAAGGGAAGCGAGGGAGACGACAAGGACCAAGATCTAGGTGAAGTGGTGGTGAATGTCAACCCAGTCGAAGTCGCCCTCGCGGTGAGAGGCATGACGGCTGCGGTGTACGGTTTTGGCTGGCTGAGAGATCTATACCGATTCGTGTGGGGCTTCTACGTGGAAGAAGTGCTCAATGCCAGAGGCGAGGAAGTTGCTGCTGTGCAAGGGAAGCTTGGGCAGCAGGGAAGTGGCGCACCGCAGGTATCAAGGAGGAAAAGCTCAGGCAATCAGCCATCACAGAGTGGAGGAGGAAAGGCCGCTGCTGCTGGAAGTACAGCTGGCATTGCGTCTGGTACAGATGATGAGAGTGGCGAGAGTGGACTAGAGGAGGAGCAGCATGTTACCGCTTGAGACGGATTGCGGACGTGGTCATTGCGACACGAGAGGATGAACACCAACTTGAGCAAGTTTACGGAGGATATACCCCAAAACCTCAGAGGTTCTATATGCGGCAAGATACACGATCCCAACGACTTCTGGGCGTGGTCAGCGGCATAGTGGAGAGGACAAAGCAAAGACGGAGATACATGTCGCCATACATGGCTGAATGCTCGGACGTCAGTGTGGCGCTACCTGAGGTATGAATATGATCTCCTTGAATCACAACAACGCACCTTTGCTTGTCTACCACACTAGGAGTGCTGCGTATCCCTCTTGGCTTGCTGATCGCGGCTGCTCGATTGCATGTACAATGAAAGGAGGGGTTGGGTCGTGTGCGGTCGACGCCGCTGATGAAGGCGGCTGTATCGCACGCACCACTTCTGCGTGTGTGGAGGTATGTATGGACCGTGCTTTACGGGCGGATGATCACTTCAGCCACTGTCATGGACAACGTCCAACGGCAACATCAATGCAGCAACATGATATAAGGATAAGCTATGCTCCTGTTCTCTTCTCTCTGTGCCTTCATGCTCCAGAGCAAAGGCACAATCATTACACAGATCGTCCGGCCAACATTGACAGTTTCCACCACCAGATACACACCTCGTCTCTTCACCCAACAGCAACCATGTATCTCAACACCTCCCTTCTCGCCACCTCGCTCCTCCTCACTACTACCGCCCTCGCCCAAAGCGCGTCCGTACAGTGGGACAACTTCGGCCATATCCGTGTCTATTCGCAAGACGAGAAGGGCAGAACCCTCGAGGCGCGATTCGACGGTGGATGGAGTGGGCCATATGATGTTGGCGCGATCGCCAAGGTTGGTAGCGCGATGACTGCGGTTGCTTGTGATGCGGGTCGCGTGAGTTTTGCTCTCTCTCCTTGGTTCCTCCTGACGGATACTCTGGGGACGGTGGGTGGGGGAGGTGGTGGCCGCTTCGCGGCCACCGACTCAACGCCACCTCAGGCGAGCGAAGCGAGCACTCCATAGGGGGCGCCGTAGGGAAGGGAGGGTCGGAGTGCAGGAGGTAGAATGGTGACTGCTGGTTCGTAGGGATGGGTAGATAGATCGATGTAACCGTTGGCGCTGGGCAGTGATAGCGTTCTTGTGTACCTACACAGAAGATGGCTAACGTCGTTCGTTTCGATCACAGATACGTTTGTACTATGAGGATGCTAAAGGGAAGTACCGGGAGCACGCACAAGATGGCGGCAATGGCTGGTATGACGGAAGCTTCTCTAATTTGGGGATCACCGCTGCTTGAGATGAATGGTCAAGAAGATGGGCGGATGATGTTGTGTAGGCAATTGCCGATTTGGGGGCGTCTAGCGCGACCGTGACAGAAATGTCAATAAAAGTTGGACTCTGTATCTTTCGTATCAAGCTGTATTGGGAACGTTTGCCATGCAGTGAGAGGTCCTGAAGAATCTTCAGGTCTCGACATCCGCTTCCTGTTGTGCTTTCCGAGACCGACCATTCTCTACCCATCAACATCACCTGCCCTGGAGGACGGTTCCGGCCCTTACGCATCTGCTCTTTACGAAACAGAGTCCGAAGTGCTCCCACTGCTCACTCCGGCACCAGCAGCACCTCTCTTCTCGTCTTTGTTCGCGTGCTGCTCCAGCCCGCCTTCGGATGCAACACCATCTGCTCCTCCCAAAGTAGCACGCTTCCGGCCACGAAAGCTGACCTGGCCCATCTTCCACCACCCTCCCATCACCCACCCCGGGTGAGCTGCGCTCAATACAGCGACGCAGATAACCATCATCGTGCTGTCGAAGATCATGAACAGGGTTTCATTGTTGGCTAGCTCGCCTTTGAAGCCTTCGGAGAGTTCCGCCACACGGAACGCACAGCGGATTAGGATTGTGATGACTGCGACGCCGACTGCGATTAGGAAGCCTTTGAAGCGTTTGGACTGTCGGAGGGTGACTTTGTCTGTGGAGGCGTTGTCCACGCGCTCCGGGCGTTTGCGGATGGTGTACATGAGGTGAAGGCAGAGGACGGCGAAGAGGGTGGTAGCGGCGACTTGCGTGGAGAGACCGGCGACCATTATGTTGACGCCGGTGTCGCGGGTTTCTGGTGTTGAAGCGGTGGAAGCGAGGGCGCCGCCTATGGCTTGAAGGAGCAGGGAGAGGAAATCGAAGGTGATGAATGAGAGCGTTATGGTTCGTGGTGCGAGGAGGGAGAGTTTGGCATGGTTGTTGCTGTATATGGCGATGATTCGCGAGAGGGAGAGGTAGAGTGCCGCTGAGAAGAGAGCTGGGGCGATTGTGAGGCAGCAGAGGTACTGTGGGTAGTTGTCTTAGAGTGTGTTCTGGTAACATAAGAAGAGGCGGGGATCTGGGCAGGGAAAGAGGTGGTCTAAACGGAGGAGGAACACGAATGCAAATGCTGTAGCAGGTATGTCGTCACAACGGCCAGGACGAGAGACTGAGGGAGATTGTTCGTACCATAATGAACCAGCTGTCACTAAAGACGTCCTGATGCATGCCAATACGACCACCATAGCCAACAATCTCGAGGATAATGCCCACAAGCATAGGCCCGGTGAAAGTCCAGGCACGGTAGCGGATTCCGAGGAAAAGTTGCGTGATGAGGCCAACGCTGAATGCTGCGAGGAAGAAGGCATTGCCTGCCACGCTTGGCAAGTAATTAACATATCCGTACCAGTCCAGGCACCATTGTTGCTGGTCGCAGTTGGGCGGCAGCAGGAAGGTCTCGGGCGTTGTGCCGTTGACGACGGGTGTCGACATCGTGGCTGGGCCGGGAACTGTGGCGGACCTTTGAGTGACGAATTGCGGGTGCCTTAGGTCGAGCTCGAAGAGTGAGTTGTGCTGGCTATATATTCTTCACGTATTTGCGACGCCAATACGGGATACGTGACATGGGAGCATTTAGACTTTTCTTCGTCTATTCCAGGAGTGGTGTTTGCGTGAAGGACCCACATTGCGGCATCGATGGAAACGTCGTTGCCTGGCTGAGCACGGCTCAGGGTGCTGGAAGCGGCATGTTATGCCTCGTAGAGGCAGGATCGCGACCCGGGCGACTCAACGAGATCTCACCGAGCCCCGACGAGACGATGGTGACTGCACCGCGGGTTCGCCGAACAATGGAGTAGTGGAGCAACCAACGGTGCTCTGAGCGCCATGATTAATATCCGAATCTCTACCACGGACTCTCGCTAAAGCAGAGAAGTCGTGGTGGAAGGAGTCAAGAAGATTTGCGTGCCCAATGGGAGTAGGCACTCCAGTGCCAAGGAAAAGAGCGAGGCAAGCACAAAGGTTCCAACTTCCATGCACTCGGGTTGCCGCCTCGCTTTCTACACATCAAGCACGAAGTTGATTGCTTGAGTTTGATCCCTGATCCAGTGTCGTTTGAACAGCCTCAATCGATGGCGTGGTCCTTCTTTGCTCCGTGCCGAATCGGGTCCGTTCCAGATCGTTCGCTATCTATCATAAAGCGCATCTGTAAGTCTGTGCGGTAAGAGCTTCCAATGGCGTGACTGGCTTCTTTCCTGCATCGCGACCTTTCATCTCATATTCGGTCTTTGGCTTGGAAGCCACCATGACCGCCACCCATGAGCAAAGTGCTCCTGCTCGAACTCGGGTCCTCGGCCAGAAACAGAGCAAGTACGGCTGTATCACTTGCAAGAAACGGAAGGTGCGGTGCGATGAAACGATTCCGGCGTGCCTTACATGCGTTAAGTCTGGTCGAGAATGCGCAGGCTACAAGCGTATCTCAAAGCTGCAACATGCTGCATATCAAGATCTTGTGGTCTTAGAGCAACCGAGTATCTCCCCGAACGGCTCTGCGACTGCCCAGCCTATGATACGGCTCGTCATAGATTGCCTGTCGTCGGATCCTCATCGGCTATATAACCAAGCGTCCGGAGAAATTTTCCAGACTATACTGCCTCAGCTTGCCGCGACATGGCCATGTGTTAGCGCTTCAGCAGCAGCCCTTGGTGCCGCCTACGACTTCTCCGTGCTCCGTCAAGATCGAGCTGATGGCAGTGCTGTGGCAACGAAGTACTACCTGGAGGCACTTCGGCAGATCCAGGAGGAGTTGAAACAGAGTGATGCATCAATAGTGCCTCTGCTTTTGGCTGCGGCACTGTTGGCTGCGGCCGAGAGCGTCCAGGAGCAACAGCATTTGGCCTTCAATCATGTATCAGGAGCCTTCTGCATGGTGCATCTCAGGACTCTGGGACGTGGTGTGCTGACGAAACCCGCACGGCTGACCGAAGGCCTGGAGCCTCTCATCACCATGTATGGCGAGCTCGATCAGCATATTTCGTCCTGGTCATGGGGTCGAATACCTGGGTTTCCACCGATGCCAGTGCCACCACGCTTGCAGGATCTACGAACGATTGAAGATCTCATCGAAATGCAGCCAATCTTGCAGCAGCACTGTTTGCATCTGATCGGAAACGCAGCACATTCAATACCTGATGCGAAGCAGATTTGTGTCCGGCACGAGTTGTTCAGCCAGCAGCACGACTTAGTCGCAGGCCTCAGACGATGGCTAAGTGCTTGGCTCAACCTTGTTGACAATTCACACGCAAGTGTCTCCCTAAGCAGTTTGCGACATTTACAGATTCTTCGGATCCAGATGCTGAACATATACATCGCCACATCCAACATGAAGCCGTCATGTCAGACCTCATACGACGTATACGCTCCTGATTTTGAGGAGATCATTGCGTTGGCTGAACAGATTTTGCAATCAAGCTCCGAGAGCACGAGTTCCGGTTCTTCTCCAAGCACAAGCGCAAGTTCTTCAACTATGTCAACGCCTTTTGCGCTTGTGCCAGGAGTAATCCCGGCATTGAGCTTCACCGCACGCAAATATCGGGCGCCGATTGCTCGCCGCACTGCGCTCAGACTGCTGTCACGAGCTGGAATTGAAGGACCCTTTCACGCGTCATTCGAGGCTCGAGTGGCTGCGCACTTGATTGCATTTGAGGAGCAAGCGCACTTCCTTGACCCTCCATTATCTGTGTTTGACGATGCATTCAACGTGAGTTTGCCGCCCGCTGGCTCTTCCATGCCTCCCGAACGTGACAGGATTTGCGTGGCGTGGGTTGTCATGGAGGTAGACGAGGATGAGTCGTCTTGCGGTCCAACCAACGATCCGGCACACACTGAACATCACCATCATGATCACGGCCCGAAGTTGCAATACGCGAGGAGCAGGAGCAGATACTTACACGTCACGCGGGCTCGAGGGCAGCCATGTATGCTTGGACCGAGGCCTGGCATATTTGGTAATCCAACGGGAGGCTTGGTCAGAATCATTGATGGAGATGGGCTCTGTGCTCTAGAAGATCTCGCGAATTTCGAAGGACAGCGAAAGTGGGATCCAATTTCGACGATGGAAGTTCAGTATAGATGATAGATACCTGTACATATGTTCCCGCCTTCAAACTATTGCACCAGTCGTAAACATATGTCGGCACGATGCGTGTCATCCGGCTTGGGTTGTTTCAAATGACGTCGCCTGGCAAGAATTGGGAGGGTATTTCGATCTCGATGCCTCCAGATAACTCCCATCTTGACATAATTACATGCCACTTTTTCACGAGCCTGGTCATCAACTCTCACTGCCGGCTCAAGAGCTACGTGTAGGATGCGGTAGGCAGCTTTGATGGCCGACTCGCTGTTTAGCTCGGCCTTCTCGTATGTGGGCTGGGCGTTTCTCCCAGCGGTACAACCTTTCTTTCTTCAAGATGTACCCATCACTGACCAGTGTTGACAGCAAGCGACGAGATTACTGCAGTCGCTCTACTACCGCCTCACATACCCTGCCGGCAGTCGCCAACCACACCTGGCGAGCCTCTGTACGCGGTACACCACCGCCGAATCCGTGTCATCGTCCTTTGCCTCTACCTGATCTACACCCTCACGCAGGCGCTGTACGATGTCAAAGTGGCTGGCGACTTCTACACTCTCCTCGGCGTCACGCCCTCGAGTCCCGAACGCGAGGTCAAGTCCAAGTTCCGTCGCCTTGCCGCCATTTTTCACCCAGACAAGGTCCGCGACGAACAGCAGGCGGCGGAGGGGGCATTCGTTAAGCTGAAATTGGCGCAAGACACAATCCTCGATCCCGCAAAGCGGTTCGCATACGACCGCTTCGGCCCTGCCGTTGTAAGCCAGAACAGGCCGGGCCTCAAGACGACGACAGACTATGTGTATCTGGGGCTACGAAGCAAATTGCCAGAGTATATCGGAAACGCAGTCGTGCTGGTCGTGCTCAACTATGTCTGGCTGAGCAAATGGGGCCAGTTCTGGCGGTACTATGCTGTTGCGGTCATGGCCTTCCTCGAGCTGTACTTCCTCACGCATACGTTCACTCCCCCGCCTGCAATGGCGAGGGCAAGTGCAGCTGCCTGCGCGCTGTTTCCTCAGCTGCTGCCACACCATTTGCTGCCTTTTCAGATCCTGGCAGTCGCTAGGAAGCTGTCCATGTCGCTGAATATCTTCATTTCTCAATTGGCACCACCGTCAGCCAAGGTCGCTGCGGATCCAAGTCAGCAGATTCTGCAGCAGGTGGCTCAGTTGAGCAATATTGCGACGCGAGTCGATGAGGAGGCCACTGGACTGCTAAGACTGCAAATGGCACCATTCCAGGGCAGTCCTCGGGAAGTGCATATCTTACGAGACGGCATGCGCGAAAGTCTGATCGCCAATGCTGTTCAATCAAGTGATGGTGTCCGACAAGCAGTACAGGAAGCGCAGATCAGGCGGCGGGCTGCTGCTGCTGCTGAAGTCGACCGATGAGGGATTGTGTCGGACATACCGTTGCGTGGTTATGATCTTTCAAGACAGCCAAAGCTAGGTCACAGCAATAATGCTGTACGAAGTAGCAAATCTGGCCGAATCCGGTGCATGCTGGAAGCGAATATGTATAGCAACCCCTGGACGGATAGCCTAGCACCGTGTCTCGGTGCCTAGCTCCGGAGGGCAACTACCCGCGACATTAAAGCACCAGGCACACCCTACAGTAAGTTGTCGTTCTATTACGACTTACTCACGACCACTGCCGAATACGTTCGATCACATTTAACATCTTTTACTGTGCCTGCACCAAGCAACGACTGCTCGCAGAGGACGTCACTGGGTTTCTGGTCAATGTAAAAGTTGAACCGCATTCCAACAACAACGTTCGATGACGAATCTAACGGGTACCAACCTTGAGGCTAGGCTGTTCACGGCCCGGGAGACCCGCTTCTGCAGGTACCTAAGATCAATATTCGGCTGCCCAGGGGTCAGTCTTTGGGGGCTCTTTCGGGTAATCGGGGCTCAGCCTCCACAAACAATCAAACTGTCTACGCGTTGAAGTCGTTGGAATCTGCTCACCTGCGATGCGACCTCTCTTTCGCCTTCCTGGACACCTCTGTACGGTCCACGCCTGACGCGGGTCAGCGTCTGCGCCCATACCAGCATGCTGCTACTACGAGCTGGATCATCATCGCAGCACTCGCCTTCGCCTGCCATGCACAAATCACGACCACATTGTATTGGCCCACGAATACCTCCGATGCACAGGGCCAGACAGCTTTCAATGAAGGAGACACACTCATAGTAATGTGGAACGCAATGCAGGGCGGTCCGGACGATCTTTGGATTGCTGGCAGCGATGATCAGTACCATAACAGGATCGCATCGAATCAGATCATCGCAGAAGATGGCTCAATCACTTACAAGATCGCTATGGGCAACGAGGCCATCAGCGCGAATGCTGACGGCTCGTGGGGGCTATTCTTCATTCCTACCGGTGCCCAATTCGACAAGAGCGCCGAATCGACTTACAATGCTGGCCCCCGATTTCAGTTGTTCAAAGCAGGAGACCCTATCCCGAATAGTGAAGTGTCTGCCACGTCTACCACCACAAGCGCAGCATTTAGCCCCACGGCAACCTCCGTGGTCGTCTCCCCAACAAATGCGTCACAGCCTACAAGTAACGCAAGCGCAGACAACTCGCCAGGCCTGAGCCGCGGAGTCCTCACAGGGATCGCGATCGGCGGCATCGTCGGCGTATGTGCCATGCTTGGTCTTCTGTTTTGGGCACTTCGACTAAGAAGGAAAGTCAAAGCTGCCAACAATCATCGATCTTCCGGCATCATTCCACCGTCGGGTATCATGCCAGAGAAGAACGAGCCAAGATCACCGGGGATCAGGACAGTCAGTGGTCTTCACGAGGCTCATGGTGACCGACATCAGCCGATCGAGATGGAGGCTAAACGGAAATCGATGTATCACGTCCATGAGATGGCTGGATGAGAGCAGGTTGCCAGTTCTTCCGAGAAAGCATTTCGTATCCTAGCTTCAAGCAACCAGACACCTGCGTTCATTCTGGCGACGCGTCACAAACATTGGCCGGAGATCTAGCATTCCGACATGCAGAGCAAGACACAGAGTCCCTGGCACGAGGCACCATCGCCATTATGACGGCCATATAGGGAAGTCAGGACCTTCTAGCCACATCTTCTGCGGCCAGACTGATCAATTCTGCTCGGTCCTCTCTCGCAACAGGTCCATTGCTGTTGCCTGCGTCTGCGCGGAGCAGATCTCGTCCCAAATGCGCCGAGGCTGCGCGGCAGAATCAACATTCAATTAGAGCTTGCGAACAATGGCACTGCGATGTCTTGCATGACACCTACTATGGGCTTCGAATCTACTCAGATATCAGGCGGCAGATTGCTTGAAGTTGTAGGACACGTTCGGAGCTTATACCCGATTGGCTTGCCGAAAGACCTCGGCGATGACTTTTGTGTTTGTGGGGGCATCCGAGGAGCATCGCAAGGCAACCCCTCTTATCGTATCCCCCAGAACTTCGAGATGGAAAACGGCAGAATGCGAGGCCAGTCGCCTGTATCAGTGGATTACGAAAAGAATCTGCTTCTGCCCTGAAGGACGTCTCCTACACAAGACAGACTTATTGATAGACTCCGGGTGCAGCAAGGGCAGTCAAATCGATTAATGTTTCTCTCAAACCCTCAAGCATATCTCTAACAGCTTCACCTCTCGTTCTTGGACTCTTGCAGATCTTCCTCCCTCGACGGCCCGTCAACCATCGAATTGTCCTCCACCGATGCCATGGCACCCATCATCTACCAAAACACTGGCCCAACCCCTTGGGTTGACGTGCCTAACCTCGACTTGTTGACCTTGCTGTTCGGTAAATCTGCTCCTGCTCCTTTCCTTTTCCATCTCTCTATCTTTTCCCCGTACACAGCTCCATTTCAGACGGACGCGCCCAACCCACGGACCTTCAGCCTTGCTCACCAGCTTCACAGACAGCGAACACGCCCCCTTCCAACCCGAAACACCTTCGCACCTGGATTCCCAGTCCCCAACGAACTGCCTGACCAGAGCTCAACTCCTTACGCTGTCCCAACGCATCGCCCACGGCTTGCGCACCAATCATGGCCTAGGCGCCTCCGGCCTCAACACCGACGTCGTCACCGTCATCTCCTACGGTCAGATCTTGGTCCCGGCGCTGTTCTACGGCGTGTTAATCGCTGGTGGGGTCTATAGCGCCGCGAGTCCGAGCTCTACTGTCGGAGAGTTTGCTAGGCAGATTGAGCTCGGCAAGTCGAAACTGGTGGTCATCTCTCAGGAATTCGAGGCGTTGACGAGGGAGACGCTTCGGCTCCACGGACAACGACTAGGAATCGGGACGGAGAATGTGCTCGTGCTGGATTCTACACCCGACAAGTGGAGTCTACGCACGCTGGACTCGGGGGACAGCGCCATCTCCAGCCGACTGCTCGACTGGGAGCGCATCACGGACCCGAAGAAGTTGAAGGAGAGCCTCATCGTGATCCTCTGGTCCAGCGGTACGACAGGTCTGCCCAAGGGCGTCATGCTCTCTCACCAAAACCTCGTCTGCGAGACCTACCTGACGGCATTGTCCGGACGAGCGTGGGGCGAGAAACAGCTTCAACATGATCCCTCCTGGACGCCGACGCCGTACCGCACCCTCGCGCATCTGCCATTGAGCCATATCGCGGGCTTGTTCGGGTACATCATCGGGCCACTGTACTCCGGCGGGCTAGTGGTGTGGATGCGGAAATACAACTGGAAGCAGTTCTACGAAAGCGTGTCCAAGTTCCAGATCACATTCTTGTACACCGTGCCCAGCATCTTCCTGCGCATCGCGAAGAGTCCTGAAGTAGCCGACCACTTTCGGACAGTGGAGACAGCAAACACGGGCGCCGCGTCAATGGACGGGCCGCTGCAGCGCGCTGCGAACAGCAAATTGGGCAAACGCGTAGGTGGGGTGGGGAAAGAGGAGACATTTATTGGGCAGACCTGGGGGCTGAGCGAGACGACTGGTGCCATTACTGCGCAACCCAAGGGGGAGGTTGATGATACGGGCTGTATTGGATCTGTGCTCCCCAACGTCGAGATCAGGCAGATCGACACCGATACGCTGAGGGATGTTGAGCCGGGAACGCCGGGACATATGGTCGTGCGCAGCCCTCTTGTCACTCAAGGCTACTTCGGCAACCCTGAAGCGACGGAGAAGAGTTTTGTCGTGTTACCGGATACGCCGAAGGATCCGGGGGAGAAATGGTTCCTTACGGGGGATATTGCGGTGTATAGGGATGGGAAGTTCTACATCGTGGACAGGGAGAAGGAGATACTGAAGTACAAGGGTCAGCAGATCGCGCCGGCGGAGGTTGAGAATGTGCTGGCCACGCATGAGGCTGTAGGAGAGGCGGCGGTTGTGGGTGTGGAGGATGGTGGAGAGAGTGGTGCTGGGGAGGTGCCGAGGGCGTATGTGGTGAAGCGGCCTGGGGTGGAGGTCAGCGAGGACGAATTGAAGAGGTATGTGAAGGAGAGAATGGCAGAGTATAAGCAATTGAGGGGTGGCGTGGTGTTTGTGGATGAGATCCCGAAGAATGCCATTGGGAAGTATCTGAGGAGGGAGTTGAGAGAGAGGGCGAAGAGGGAAGTCGGTGGTGGTGTGAAGGCACGACTGTGAGGTGATGGCCGATGCTGCTGGGAAACAGCGAGAGTGTGCTTCCGGTCGACGAGAGAGGATCGTAGAAAGACAGACAACAACTCTGGAAGGCACATCTCCGGTGAAATTAGCTCGATAGTACTGGGCGAGCAAGTGCTGGCGCGGTCGCAGAACGTTCCTCAGGGTAGCGACTCCGTACCTAGGTACGTCTTGCTTCACCCGATCCTTGAAACAAGCGGAAGAGGAGTCCAAAGCAGCTCGTATCATGATCCCGTTGGCTCACGTTCTGTGTGTGTACCGCCTACCGACTTCTTGACAAAAGTACCTACATAGCAGTAGAAACTTCAGGTACAGACTTCAAAGACCTGCGTGCTGTCGCCTTCTCCAACAGGCAGTGACCAATGCCTCGGCACCCCCAACTGCCGCTATCAGTACCCTCCAATTACCTTACAAATCAAGATCCTTACATACCCTTGGCCGCACAACTCCTTCGGATTGAGCGTTGACGTGCTCGATAAGAGGTAAGACGTCAATCGTGAACAAGCTCTCTCTTTTCTGTGCATCTGTCAGGCGAGAAACGCGTGGACAGAGCAACGGTAAAGCGGACCGCGGGAGAGTTGACGGACGGCCTATTGAAAACTTACGAGCGTTTGCAGGATTCGTAAACCACACATCGCGCGAGGTTGCCACGGGCTTTATCATCAGGTCTAATCGCAGAGAACAGCGGTTCGAATCCAGCAAAGACCATCATAAAAGCTCGACGAACGTCACCTCCACCAGCAGCTCTCCTGGACACAGCCTCGACAGCATACGAGCATCGCAACACCAGCAGCAACCATGGCCACCAGGCTCGACACCTCGAACCCGCCCTACCCCAACATCCCCTACTTCACCCCCAAGCACCTACAAACCCCTGGCGCCCCGACCGCCTTGAAGTCCGCCTCTCCCAACAACGGCACCACCGACGCCACGCCCACCAATGGCACCACCGCCTCCCCGAAATCCGTCCCAACCCTCTTCAGCCCGCTCACAATCCGCAACACAACCCTCCGCAATCGCATCCTCGTCGCCCCAATGTGCCAATACTCCACCGCCCCCACGGGCCCAACCATCGGCCAACTCACCGACTACCACATCGCGACCCTAGGCCACTACGCCCTCAAAGGCGCCAGCCTGGTCTTCATCGAAGCCACTGGCGTTCAGCCACGGGGGCGCATCAGCCCGAACTGTCCTGGCTTGTGGTCGGATGACCAAATCCCTGGGGTGAGAAGGGTAGCGCAGTTCATCAAGTCCCAGGCTCGGTGCCAGGGATCCAGCTCGCGCATGCGGGAAGGAAGGCGGGTGTGGTGGCGCCGTGGGTTAGGGATATTGTGAAGGAGCGGCTTGGAGGGAAGGCGCCTAAGGCGGTGAGTTTCAGGGCGGGGGAGAGCGAGTGGTCGGGTCCGGAGAATGAGGTGTGGGGACCGATGGGTGGGGAAGGGGAGACTTGGGATGGGTTGGTTCCCGGGAAGGATGAGGCGAGTGGGTATGTGGTGCCGCATGGGATGACGGAAGAAGAGTGTCGGGAATTGGTGCTGGATTGGGGACGGGCGGCGAAGCGGGCGGTTGAGGCGGGGATCGAGGTTATTGAGATTCATGGCGCACATGGGTATTTGATTCATCAGTTTTTGAGTCCGGTGACGAATCGGAGGAGGGATGGGTATGGTGGAAGTTTTGAGGGAAGGACGAGGTTGTTGAGGGAGGTAGTTGCGGAGGTCAGGAGGAATATTCCGGAGACGATGCCGTTATTTTTGAGGGTTAGTGCGACAGAGTGGTTGGAGGGGACAGACGTGGAGAGGGATGTCGGAGATGGGGGAAAGAGTTGGACGGAGGAGGATACGACGAGGTTGGCGGGGTTGTTGCCGGGATGGGGGGTGGATTTGTTGGATGTGAGTTCGGGTGGGAACCACCCGAAGCAGAAGGTCGATATGTTCAAAAGCAAGGATTATCAGGTAAAGATTGCACAGAGGATTAGGAAGGAGATGAAGCGGCAGGGCAAGACGTTGTTGATTGGTGCGGTCGGGTTGATTACGGAGGCGGAGCAGGCGAAGGGCATCGTTGAGGAGGCGGAGGTCGCGGTCGCGATGACACAGAAGCCTGCCAACGGCGATGCGGATGGCGAGGCGATGGCCGACGTGATTCTTGTGGCTAGGCAGTTCATGAGGGAGCCGGAGTGGGTGCTGAAGGTGGCATGGCAGTTGGGAGTCGATGTCGCATGGCCAAATCAGTTCCTGAGGGTGAGGTTTCCTAAGCTTTGAGGGTGAGTGGCGCACATAGACAGACAATACATGAGAAGGAAAAGACAGAGATAGATCGAGAACATGGACAATAGAAGTGTCCAAATCATCCCACGAATTCGTCCTTTCTGCGAGATATTTCCTTATCAATGTGTGCAACAAATGCATTCGGGTATATAAGCTCGGACGGGCATCCGATGTCCATCATGTATTTGATTGTCCCAATCAGCAACTGGTATGGCTCGCAAGTAGAGCCCATAAATATATAACACTATAGCTGCCTGCAATATCTCCAAGATCTCAGTGACACAGCAGCGAAGAAAAGCAATGGGACCCGCCATCCAGAGATCCCAGATTCGAAGTCTTCTTAGTCCAGGAAAGTCGATATTCATCAGTTCCCCAATCTGAGGAACTGGTTCTGTAGTTGCCGCTTGATCTCAGCTGCAATGGCATCGTTGTCAACCGAGCCTCGAGGCGAAGCGATCGACGACTCGTCAGTAGTGTTGGAGTCGGAGCGCGAGGTCTTTTCGACAACCGGGATTTCGATGGCTTGCACGTTTGCTGTCTCAATGACCGATGCGGTCTGTGCTGGGGACGAGATCTTGGCTTCGATGCCAGTTGTAGGTGCTAGTGAGAGAAACTGCATGGTGGGCAATCGGTGTTTTGGTGCTTTGGTGTCGAGTATCTGGGTTGATGGACTCTTTAAATTGCTGGATGGAGGGCGAGCGTTGGTTGAGGTCGACTGAAGGTGATGGTTATGAGGCTTAGGTCTTGTCTTGGGCTGTTGCAGGAGGCTATATGCGCCGACAGGTTGCAGTCAATGTAGTGCTTGGTCAGACAGGTCCAAAAGCAAAGTCAGGCCGACGTTTGGCCACGTTCTGCACGTTCCAGTACCTTTGCTGTTTCGAGTATGCGTGCTTTGGTGGGTGGCGTGGGGTGCTGGTCTTTCAATATTCTAGCACTGGCATGTGGCAGCGTTTGTTATTGTGTGGGCTTGTTCAGCGCGTGACAGAGCGATTATTCACCACGTGCTATGGTATGCTCAGGTAAGCGCGTGGAGGTTTCAGTACGAGGCTGACAAGCGGTGTGCGTGGGATGCTCAACAGAATAGATACGACGTGTTCGAGATTCTCTTTCAACGACTTACTCTATATTTCCAGGAGCAGCGGAAGGTGAGGATGTATATAGTTCCTACCTGGACAGACATGACTCGGGGTAGGGACAGGTCTCGGAATATTTGGGGATGATTCAAGGCTGCTCCGATCGCAGAATTCCCAGTGGCCAGATTTCCAATCTTGGACGGGTGCATCCGGCACCACATGATGCGAAGTCGCAAGGTTTGGACTTGCTATCCGGTATGGAGTCGCTGGTTGGTGCGTTGGACTAGACAGAAGCATGGAGGAAGGGAATTGTTGTTGTTTGATAACCGTACCTCGGTATGGTCGTCTGAGGTGAAGATCAGATCCGCTTCCAGCCGGAGATGGTTTTCCAGCCCCACCTCATGAGGCGCACTTTCTCGTAGTTCAGGTTGCAAGGTCATGGGGAAGGCGCAAGTCACATGTGGATGCGATGGCCAGGCCTGACTCGGGGATCGTCCGATGTATTCACAGCCAGCATGGCAGTGTTGGGAGTTTGAGTTCTTCCCCAAGGATACCGTGGTGACAATGGCCCCGTGAAGTTGTCGATGACGCCCGGTTCGCGTTCTGCGACACTGACTCGCGAAACGTTGCCAACGACATCATACAACAACTCACTGGCAGCCGCGTTGGCGGAAGCGGCTTCTATGACATCGAGTCTGCCATGCTAATCGCGTTTTCTGGCGTGTTTCAAAGCAAGCCAGATCTCACCCTCGGCTGCTCGGACCAGCGGCTGGGGCTCTTTCGGCTATACTGTGACGTGCTTCCTGGATGGTGACATGGATCGCAGACTTTGTGAGCGGTCGCAGAGAACATTAATTATCACCATAACGTGCTGAAGGAGGATGGTAGAGAATGGTTGAGGCTCTGTTGAATGCGCTACAAAAATGTAGAAAAAAAAACCGCCGTTGCAGTTCAAGGCATAAGGCTGATTGCCGGCTAAAGTATTCTAGGCATCGCAGCCCCGGTGTCGGCGAGCTTTGATGTCATCGGCGTGCGAGCACCCCCAAAATCTGGGACAGGTACCTTGCCGTGGATGTGCCACGCGAAGAGCTTCTGACAAGCTTGACCCTGCGCATGACTTGCATGAACGTTGCTCAAACATTCCAGGTACCGTAGATCATCAGCCTCAGTTTCGTCCCGTAGGCCAGAATCAGCACGGCACCCACAATTCGAACGCGATGGCCTCCTTCAGCCTAGGCAACGTCCCACACTTCCGCCCATCCCACATTTTCCCACTGCTCGGAGGTGTTGGAATGGTGCTCGGCGCTGTTCTACCATTAACAAATCCACCCAATGCCATTCGAACATTTGGTCTGCCTGAGCACATTGCCCGCTCAGGGCCTGCACAAGCCTGCTTTACTATTTACGGCTCGAGGGCTGCATCCCTTGGCGCAGCGCTGTTCATTTTCTACTATCAGGGGAAACTCAAGGCGGTCGACACTATCCTATCGCTCCAGGCGTATGCAGGTATCGTCGACGCGTATGTATGCTGGAAGGAGGGCGTACCACGGAAAGCAGTTGCTAGACTCGCGACAGGGCTGCTCGTAGGTGCATGGGGTATCATGGGCTTGACAGCGGGAGACAGTACAGTCTAGAGTACGTGGTGGTCGTGCTTTGGAGAATTCGGCTGGCTTCTATGCACTCTGTCGGCTATTCTGGTCTCGAAGCACAATTTTGGCTGGCAGGCCAAGCCTGGGATGCGCTTTGATCTCTCGCTCGTTGCTCTCTTGATAGAGCTGTGAACCAAACAAAGGAGGTGCGTCCGATGGGTACTGCGGAACGATGTCCATATCCCTTATGGTCAATGCCAAAATCAGCCGGATCTCAGTCATGGCATGCTCCTGGCCGATACAATTTCTTGGACCTAGCTCGAATGGTCGATAGGTGTTCTTGCGCACATACAGCTCTTCGCCTTCTCTGGCAAGAAATCGTTCCGGAATGAATTCGTGTGGTCTAGGAAAATACTTTGCCATTCTCTGCTCGGCCGAAGAGGCAGACTGTAACATGAAGCCGTGTACTGGTAGCCTTGTACCTGTCTCCGGATGAATCAGGAAGAAGTCTTCCGGCGCCTGTCTGACAGACCCGACCGTCGGCTGGAGCCGAAGTGTTTCCTTGATCGCGGCAGTGGTGTAAGTCAGCTGGCTCAGAATCTCTGGAGAACGTGATATAATAGCGATACTGTCTTGCAGCCCAGATTTGCCCAGCACCAGGTTCATCTCTTCGCGTACGAGAGCCAACTTGGTCGGATTCTCGTTCAGATATGCATAGACGAAGCAAAGCGTGGCGGTAGTCGAATCGTGTCCAGCGAAGAAGAAGATCTTGAATTGAGATACCACGACATCAAGCCAGTGAGGATCCAAAGGTGCAATGGTCGAACAGTCCTTCGTGTAAGCAGCTATGACCAAGTCTGTCATGGTTTTGCTGGCACCTTTCGGAACTTGACTTTCGATGCCCGCGATCACGCCCGGGAGACAGACTTTCCGAAAAGCACGATCGTTTCTCCAGGTGAAGTAGTAGCGCATGGGATTGAGGAGTTTTTGGAGGCCCATTGGCGAAAAATGGGTTGCGGTCCACGAGACTTGGTTGCGAAGGGCTGTGTAGAGGGCGTTCTTCGCAGTAAGACTTTTCAATCTCACTCCTCTGACGACCATTAGCCTGTCGCAACTTTACTGTGGAGCAACGAACTCACAGGGCTACTCGGCCTATCACGTCAACAGTCAACTTCGTGGCCACGTCCTCGAGTATGAAGGTCTCTCCGGTCGCAGCTAAACCTTCAAGACACTGTCTGAAATCAAGGACCTCCTCCAACATAGCTGGCACAAGAGAAGTAATGTTCTTAGCAGAGAAGCCTGGGTTCAATATGCTTCTCCATTTCTTCCAGGCCTCACCGTGCTGTAGGGCTAGGTCGTTACCTTGCGTCCAGCTCCCGAATTGCCACTGAATGAGGTCGTGCTTTGGCAGTGATGGTTCTTGACAGAACTGGCGCATCATATCCGGGTTGAATACAAAGATGCTCGGAGGTACCACAGGCCACAAGTCCAGGTAGCAAGCATCATACTTGCAAACCTCTGGATGGTGCTTCATCAAAAGCGTCGGCATATACTGTCCGTGTATGTCTGAGGGGTACTGAGCCATCAGCTTGCCCAGCTCCGCCAGATGTCCCCATAGCATCGAATGCGGCAATGTGGGCTAAAGTTGTCAGTTGCTGGTCATGCACGAGGCTAGCCAGTAGAACATACAATGCCATATTTCTCAGGTATATCGTGCACTAGCTTCCTCACACGATAGCCTTTCAACACCGCCTGAGCGATTTTGATGCATGCAATAAATGCGAAGACCCAGAGCAGGTGCGACGCCAAGAAATTCGACATCTTGGTTGGCAGTTGCAACAGGAGCGCTCAACGGAAGTAAGAGACCTGCAAGACGTTCTTGAAAGAGACAAAATGGTGTCCATAGGTGGTTTCGTAAGATCCATGGCAGCTTGAGTCGACATGCCGCACATCATATAAGCTCGGGACTTATAAGTCCGCGCTATGCTGTGTTCTGGGGCGAAGAATTGATACAACACCCAGAGGTTGCCTCGCAAGAAGATTATGACGTATGTGATTGGCCAGTAGCCATAAGCGGAGCCATTTTCGAGATGGGTGCCACAACCCGAACGCAAGATCGTGTTCTGCTTCATCGTTCAGAAGACCAGTTTCCCATCAAGGACTGCAGCTTTTGGACGTTGGTTCCGAAGCACGCGTTCATGTCGGTAGACATTAATTGGGACACCATCACTGGTGGTTCTGATGGAGAAGCCCTTGCACTCAAAATTCGCGATTTCGTCCACGACAAGTTTCAGCAAATCGTGCTACCTCGCTTCATCAAATCAGTCAACGTCCACGAGTTCCACTTTGGATCGACATGTCCAGAGATAGAGATCAAGGACATCAGCGACCCACTGCCGGACTTCTATGAGGATGATGGTGACAGCAGTGACGATGAGAAAGATGCTACAGCGGAAGGAGGCGCGAGGCTATCAACCATGAGTAACTTACCCAGCCTGGACACTGCGCGCGCCAACACTGCATCTTACGTCGAGGCACAAGACCGTCACAACAACCGTTCTCATCCCGATAACCCATTTGCTGAGATGGCTCGTGCTGGCACTCCCGGCATACCTGGCGGCACATCTAACTTCAACTATTTCCACATGCCAATCAGCGGCCTTTCGGGAGCACAGACGCCTCTGGCAGCGGTAGCCAGTGGCACGCCATTCACGCCCGTCGGATGGCCCATCGATAGATCTCAGTCACCAGTGCTTAATCTGCCGCCAGGAAAGAGAGCGCAGCAGCAGTCCAGCCATGCTCATGAGCACAACGACCCATCCACGCGACCGTCGACAGCAAACACGTTGCTGACCCATGTCGAATACCCACCAGACAACTCTTCAGCGTTCTACGGCAGTCCCCAGAAAGTCGCTGATGATCCCTCATATGACGCAAGCTCTCCGATAGGGACACCGGGTATGCACAACGTCCAGCCGACCGACTTGCAAGTCGTGGCCCGGGTGAAGTACTCTGGAGACGTTAGTCTCATGCTCACGGCCGAAATTCTTCTCGACTACCCAATGCCCAGCTTTGTCGGTATTCCGCTCAAGCTATCGATTACAGGAATGACCTTCGACGGGGTTGCTATCATCGCCTACATCAAGAAGCGGATGCATTTCTGCTTTCTTGACCCGGAAGATGCAGACACATTGGTCGGTGACCATGTCATGCAGGACGAGCCATCACAAGATGGTGCTAACCGAGCCAAGCCGAAGAGTTCGCTTCTCGATCTGGGTCTGCTGAAGGACATCCAGATCGAGAGCGAAATTGGCCGTCAGGAAAGCGGCAAGCAAGTTCTCAAAAATGTTGGCAAGGTGGAAAGATTCGTTCTTGAGCAGATTCGAAAGATCTTCGAAGAGGAGTTTGTCTTTCCAAGCTTCTGGACTTTTCTCGTCTGAAGATGTGTATCGCCCGAAGCGAGCACCTCAGCATGCATACCCGCACTGTTGGGATCCTATCAGAAATTCTTTGTCACCAGGTCCGTCCCGGATCTTGAAGTCGGTCAGCCGGTTTACAACCCTGTCAGGCACCAAGCCAATCAGAAGCCGATAAAGCTTCCATGATCGGGGATGGCATGTGCCACGTTGCACACCCGTCTGTGACAGACAAGGATTCAACAAGAACATCTCATGACTTTCCATACTCGCGATCAACTTCGACGAATCGAGTCCGTGCAGAGAGTGATGTATGTCCTCATGGGCATCACCAAAGCCTTGTTTCATGCGAGCAGGTGACGTCGACGTCTTGGAGATCTCCCGGAGGCTTTATCCAAGCCCACCAAAAGAGACCCCGTGGCGCCGACAGAGTTTCAATTTCGCGGCTGATGGCGGGAGCATAAGTAGGTCCCTCCCGTTCGACCCATTGTTGTTCGCGATGCTGCGTCACTCTTCTGCATTGTACGATAGACCAACGGGTCCTTGCATACTATCTAGCTCTTCACGATGAAGCGCTTTCGGAGCTTCCTGAGCCGCAAGACATCACAGTCCGCTGACCAGGGTGCGCAGCAGGCCAACGCGGGTCCACCGCCTGCTGAACCACACCCCCAAGCACCACCACCAGAGGCTCAGCCTTCATCTGACGGTGACTTCAGTGTCCAGGCGACGTCCAACACGCTCAACATCGCTCTGGTCAACCAGTTCCCGGCTGGCTCAACAGTGTATGCTGTCGTTTCCGGCCGCGCCATCTCCAACAACAATGCTCTAGTGCTCCTCCGCTCCGATGGACGTACGCCCTACTATCCGGCCAGTCCTTCGCAACCCGGGTCTGCAGTCAATCCCAACGACGTCGCCATTCGCCTTGGCGCAACAGGAAGCACCACCAACTTGACAATTCCCTACATTGCCGGCGGCAGAATCTACCTCTCGCTGAACGAACCACTAAAGTTCTTCATCAACCCCGGTCCCGCTCTCGTCGAGCCTGCCGTCGCCAACCCATCAGACCCAAACATCGCTATCAACTGGGGCTTCTGCGAATTCACATTCAACCAAGACCAACTGTACGCCAACATCAGCTACGTCGACTTCGTTTCCAGCATTCCCATCGCCCTTGCACTGTCGACCGTCTCTTCCAACCCGCCACCAGCCGTCGGGGGTCTGAAGCCAGGCGGCCTCAACGGCATCGCCGAAGCGCTCCGCGCACAACGCCAAGCCGACGGTCAAGGATGGGACCAGCTCATCGTGCCCGGACCCAACAATAGTGCCCTGCGCGTCCTCTCGCCAAACATCGCACGCGTCACGAACAACTCCCTCTTCAATGGTTACTTCGAGCCCTACGTCAGCCAAGTCTGGTCACACTACTCTGGCTCCAGCGTCCTCAGGATCGACACACAAGCCCAATGGGGCGTCGTCACCGCCGATATCGCCAACGACGCCCTCGCCGTCTCCGAGGGCTCCAACGGCGGATCTCAAAAACCAATCGGTGGTGGAAGCGGAACCACATTCACCCGCCCCTCCACAGCCGACATCTTCTCCTGCAGCACCGGGCCCTTCGCCACAGGTTCCAACGCCCTCACCAACACCGTCATCCCGCGTCTCGCGGCGGCGTTCAATCGTAGTACGTTGCTGAAGACAGATCAACTGCCTGCGCCGCAAAGCACGTACTACCAAGAGGCGGTGACTAATCACTATAGTCGGGTGGTGCACGAATGGAACTACGATGGGAGAGGGTACGCTTTTCCGTATGATGATGTGCAGCCTAGCGGTGGCGGGTTGGAGCAGAGTGGGGAGGTGCATGCTGGGGATCCGAAGATTTGGACTGTCACTGTTGGTGGTGGGTCGTAGTGGTCACGAGATGATTGAGTTGATCGGAAGCGTGATGGCGCAAATCTCAACGGTTTGGCTCAGTGATAGATTTGGCATATGAGTAACGAATCTGCATTTTGCTCTTGCAGCTTGTGGTCACAATGATGGCGCCTTCTTGCTGTACGTGATGGTCGCGCTTGCCTGAACATTGCTCCTGCCGCTCCTAGTCTTGAGTTCGGAATCGTGACTGGCTCTTCTGGGCGTCAGTCGCTCCTTCCACAACTTTGAGATGGACGTCACCACTAAGCTAGATTAGCTGCAACTTCCACCCCTGCTCAGAGTAAGACTTATGTCCCAGCGCACAGAATGAGTGCAGGTATAAGAATGAGTCTATCAATGGTCGGGGCATCATCATCATACCAAAGCCGGCAGCTACTCGCCAGACTCGGACTGCCATGTCGCTTGCTAAAAATGCTACAGATCTATCGTTAAATGTCGCAAAAGGCCTTCACAGACACCAATGTCTCCTGATCCATCTCATCTCCCGCCAGTTCCGTCCTTATCTTGACCTTACAGCTCCTTCCTTGCACTCTTCCACTCCGCCACTAACCCGCGATAATCATCAATAGTATATGGCTCAAACAACTCCCTGAACCAATTCACAGGATTCCAGCCCCAGCTATTCTTCCCTCCATTTGACTTGCGGAATGTTCTCAAACCAAGGTCCTGCATCCACATATCCCACAACGGCACCTGGTCAAAGACAACATCAGGGTGATATCGTCCGTGACCGTATGGTGCGCGGAGATGCCAGTAGCGTGTCCAGAGGGCGGTTTCGGTGTAGATCTTCCTCGAAGCCGCTGCCTGAGACTCGAAGTCAGACCGATTGCTGTTCTTGTTGCTGAGAAGCGGCGTGTTTTCACTTTCTCTTTCTTTGTCGTCGTCGTTGTTCGATATCGGGCCGTCTGCGCCATGATGTTCGTCAAGCTTTTGCAATCCCTCCAGGTGACCGGTCAAATATGCCCACGCCCACAGGCACTGGATCTCAAGCTTGACCGTGTTGGCCAAATGTGTCATCATGCCCAGGAAGACCAGGTCGTACTGGCCTTGGCCGGTCGGACCAGGAGGTGCCATTCCGCGCCACAGTCGCCATGGCGTGAACGTCGCATTTGGGTCGTCTGTTGATTTGTATGGTCTAACAACGTCGCTCTTGGGCCCCTGGAATGGTCCACCTAAAAGCCTAGGGAACTTTGCACCAATAGTCTTGTCAGCAGTCGAATTGAGCTCATCCCAAAAGCTCGTCTGTTGAGGAGTCAGACTGTTCGAGGGAAGACCAAGACCAGCGTGAGAGATCGAGGGATGGAACTTGATACTGGGCTGAGCAGAGAAGCCGGTCGCTGTGATGAGGACATCTGAGGGAATGGTGGTCGAATAGGCGTCCGAGAGATGGATGCTATGTGAGGAGAATCCAGCGATATCGGCGCGATGTATTTGGACCTGACCAGTGCGAATGTAGTGATATACATCGTTCGGCTGCGGGTAGTTGTATACTCCGGTCGCTGTGCCGTACCAGAATGGGCTAGAGATGTATGTTAGCAGTGAAGTACATGGGGTTCTCAGCTTTCCGAGACTATGATGAATTCGTACCTTTGCTCTGGCTCAAGAACATTCAAGCATGCCTCCTTCTGGTATTGGCAGTCGTCCAGTGTCACATGATGGATATCGCCCCAGAATGCTTGGGTGACCTTTTTGCCAAGCCAACTGTTGTGAAGAAACGATCGCAGCCTCCCCATGCCGTCATCCCATATGTAGGGCGACAAGCATGAGATGAATCTCCTGACCACTAGTCGCTCTCTCAAGGCCTTGAAAGGCCCCAGACTTGCCAATGGAGGAAACACCCAGCCGGGTCCTTTGCCTGACTTACGAATTACCCAATGGACTTTCTTCCCGGAGGCTGCTGCCAGGTGAACGGCGTCGTAGGCTGATTTAGCACCACCCAGCACTGTGACAGCCTCGACAGTCTCGTTGATGATGGCGTCTGCCTTCTTGCCAAGATGCGTCGAGTGTAAGATAGGGCAGTTGTAGGTGGTCGAGTCCGGTAGCTCGGGGTAATGTGGTCGATTGGTGATCCCAGTTGCAACGATCAGCTTCGCTGTCTCGTACCTCTGCCTCGAGCCGTCGGATTTTCGAACTTGGACCTGCCAGCCATTTCCCGACTCGAGGCGAGCGATCTCTTCAACATACGTTTCGAAGTCGATGCGGCGATATAGGTCCCATTTCTTGGCATAACTATCAAGATATGCATACATCGCCTCGCCGCTTATCGGTGAATTGTCTGGTACACCGAATGATTCGTCCATGGGAAAGTCTGAGAAATCGAGTCCGCCTCTTTGGTTGTTGGTCCGGAGCCCCAAGTAGAGGTTCTCCTCCGCCCACACCCCGCCAACCGTCTTGTTCTGCGCATGGTCAGCATAGTAAACACGGACTATGATGGCGCATATACCCATCGACGAGTCTGAAGTCGACATTTTGGCCTTCGCATTCGATTATCGTTTTTGCTGCTACCAGACCGGCTGTCCCTACGGGGCCGTAAGTAGTCTGCTAAAAGGGCCGCGTTCGCTAGAACTTCGGGACACTCACCAGCACCGACAATGAGTACCTCCAGCATTTTCACAAAATCGTCAACACAGGCGTCGCTGAATCAAATAGAACAAGAAGAGAAGAGCAACAGGATATGTGAGGCAACATGAGTTCCTCGCATAGCTGTTTGCGCCGCAACACTGCCGACATGGCAACGACCCACCAAGGAGGGATGCCTGGCGGACGGCTCCAGGCGTAATCACTACTGCAAGAGATCTGGCGCTGTCAGCACCGAATGTGAGCCATCGTTCAGCGGCCAACCGATTCGCCTAAAGGACAAGGTTATCCTGGGCCGAGCATCATTGGTAGCAACTTGGATATCGTAAAAGCGGGCGCAGGATTCTGCCATATGCGTGGTCCCGGAGTCAATGCCACGCGTAGAACGGGACACAGTTTTCAGGGTCAGATAGCCTATGTGGCCACTGCTGGACCTGCCTGAAAGGTGTTTCAGCCGCAAGAGTTGCCCAATAAAGTCGTCAAGCAATATTCGTGAGCCATCAGCTGCTTTTTTGGCTTGGGTGGCCTGTGTTGCAGTAGAAAGTTGCTCATGACGAAGTCAACCGATGATCGCTGACTTCGTTCGGTTTTCGAGGAAGCGTGGGACGCGGCGTGATGTCTCAAGAGCATGAGATGCAATCAGAATCTTCCGAGTTGGGAAATGTATCTAGGAAAACGGGTTGGTGGATGTCAGCCCTAAGATGTGTTGGCGCAAAGATTTCAGGGCTTGGAGGGTCTATGCTGTCATTCAGCTGACGCATCTACCTGCTTCAAATTAATCAATGTTCTCTCACTGCCACAACTTATTATTGTGTCGATGACTCGCAGCATGAGACTTTGTGCACAAATCATTGCAGTGTGGTGAGTGATGCAAAGTTGAGCAACTTGATAATATTTCGAGGAAAGATCTTGAAGGTGGCTTGGGGAGGCGCCTGCCAGTTGAACGACAGAAACCGAGTAGTCGCATTAGCAGATTCACTTTCGAATTGTGTACGCTGGACTGCAGCAGCTAACAGTGCTTGATGCTCAATCGCACCTTCCGGATCTCCAGAGAACGCATAAGCGTACAAGCGACTCAGAAGGGAGGCGCGACGCTTTTGCGCCCACGGCGGTCTATCTCACCAATTCGAAACATCCTTCTGAGTCTTGTCATCCGGCTGCTTGCCCTCGCCACTACTAATGATCTCGTCGAGAACCTTCACCAGACCTTGCACTTCTTCTATAGTGTTATAGTGTAGCAATGAACACCGCACGACGCCATCATCCACATCAGGTATCCCCAGCACATCCTGGCACAATCGCTTCGAGTAGAAGTGGCCAGCACGACAGCCGTAATTCGACTTTGACTCGATCGCGTCTGTGATGCCGAATGACTTATGGCCCTTCACTCGGAAGCTGATGACGGGCACTCGTAGGCTTCTATCTGAGGACGCCTCGCCATAGATTTTGATGATGTCGGGTTTCGAGCGGAGATAGTCCAGCAGGACACCCTGGATGGCCTCTTCCTGTCTCGAAATGGCATCCCACCCTGTTGAATCGAGGTACTCAACGATTCTGGGCACGGTCTGGACCGATTCGTAATTGCCTGCTGCAAGACCCAGCATCTCCTCGAGAGTTGCGGTACTCTTGAAAAAATGTCCCAGACTCTCAATCTCAGAGCGTGCTCGATCGCTGATATATAGCATTGCCATATGTGGACCGTAGACCTTGTACCAGCTGAAGCTGTATATGTCGACACCGAAGTCTTTCACATCGATCTTTGCATGAGGCGCATATGCGACAGCATCAGCTGCGAAGAGTGCCCTTGGATTGGCAGCATGCACAACCTCGCTCAAGGCATTAAGATCTGTCACTGTTCCGAGAATGTTGGAGGTGTGAGTACACGCGACCAGCCGAGTCCGCTCGTTGACCAGCTTCTTCAGATCCTCGGGCACCAGCTTGGGGTTACTGGTTGTGTCCTTCGACGGCACCCACCAGTTGACCTTTAGACCTCGCCACTTCGCCATCTGTAGCCAGCCAGCAATGTTGGCTTCGTGGTCAAGTTTGCTCAGGACAATCTCGTCGCCAGGCTGGGTCTTCAGAGCCACAGAAACATTTCGGAAATGCTGCGTCGTCGAAGGCCCGAAGACGACCTGCTCGGGTGCTGCGTTGATATAGCGGGCGCCAGCATTGTGACCTTCGGAGAAGAGTTTCGTTGATTTTTGAGCCACTGGGTAGGATGCACCGAGCTGTACGTTATGATTATTGAGATAAGTATTGATGCTGTCAATAACGGTTCCTAGTACTTGACTGCCGCCTGCATTGTCCATCTGAGCGTCTCGCGTTAGTCATGGCATTGAATCTGAGAGTTGGTCCCGTACAAAGACTTGCTTCTGGTTGAGCGCGGGGAACGCTCCTCGCACGGCGTCGACATTCATCCCCGCGGAGCCCATGACTACTTCGGTATGCTCTCGCCTAGGTGGATTCAGTTTCTTAGCTCGTTCACTGAGTATGCTGTGACTGTAGGTGACCTCTTTAATTTCTGTCTGATGGTCGAAGGTCAGTAGCGACTATTCTGGCCAATATCATCATCGATAGCTGAAGGTGGGCAAGGAGGATTTGTCCGCCGGTAACGTTACAACAGGGTCCAATCACGCCCGCCGGCGTACCTGACTTTCTAGGCTAGAAGAGGAAGTTGACCGACCATCCAGGCCTGGCGCCGGCTGACTGGGTGCTCCGCAGATTTAGAAGTTATGTTATTGAGTGAAGTTGAGACAGAGAGTACTTAAGTATCGACATACGACAAAGCTACACCTTAATCCGAATTTTGCCTTTCTTCCTGCTAACACACCAACGACCGGCTGCCATCAAAAAGCCACCCAGCAAGATGGTTGTTCCCGCCCAAATCCTCGCGCCATCCCAATTACCATCAGCATTCCGACTGCCAATGATCGTTCCTGTGACTGGCGTGCCCACAAGACTTCCCACCGCCATAAATACAAAGCACAGTCCCATGCGCTGCCCGAAGTGAGTCATGTCTTCCGTCAGACTCGCCACGGCGGCCGGTGGAAGCGCGAGCATCCCGCCGCTGAAGAAGCCGTATAGAACACAGATGACGAGCAGTGATGGCAGCGAGTCAACGCCAATCCAGGCATATGCGAGGGTAGCGGAGAGAATGGCGCATGGGATCTGGACATTGAGTGGTCCCAGCGTGTCAGATATGAAAGCTGGCAGGAAACGACCGAATGCCGATGCTGCATTTATGATGGGAAGATAGTAAATCGGATCGAGACTGGACACATTAATCGCTTCCGCCCACTGAAACCACAAGGTCAGTGTATTGTGCAGTGAAAGCTCAAAGGGAATACATACGCTCTGGACGAATTGCATGAACACATAGAAACCCAGCAAAGCCACCAACATGCCAGAGCAGTAGCACAGGAATGGTCCTTCCTTCAGTGCACTGAACGCAAAGAAACCGCCTCTTTTGCGTGGAGGCAGTCTCGGTCTTAATACGGCTATGCTCACACTCAGGGTCGCCAGTGATACAAACCCTAGTATCCGCAAAGTCCAGCCGAATCCGACGATAGGCAGCAATTTCTGACAGATGATGGGCAGAATAATCCCACCAACAGCACTCCCACTTGTCACGATACCGACAGCCATGCCGCGGTGCTTGACGAACCACGTGCTTGCTGTGCCAACACTCGGAACAAGCAGACAGCCCATGCCAAGTCCAACGCAGAATCCCTGTGATAAGAGTGCTTGCCAGTATGTATGCACTAGCGAGGCGAGCATAAGTCCAACGACAATTAGACCCGTGCCAGTAAGCAGGAGGAAGCGCAGATAGCCTGCGTCAAAAAGTCGACCACAGATACCGCCCATGAAGAGGAGCAAGAACGCCTGAATTGAGCCGATCCATGCTGCAGTAGAGGGAGACGCAGTGAACGGTGGAGGATGTCTGGCAGAGGGCGTCTCGTAGTATGCTTGAAATGCTCCGTATGCTAATATCAGTCCCCAAGTGTTGAACATGAGGAGAAAGCCACCCAGTATCTGCAGCCAAGCGATGAGGCCAACATCGGGGGGCGGGATTGTTGTCGTCGGTTGCTTCTCCTCAATGCCACTGTTTGCGGCTTCTGCCCCCCTCGTTGAAGGGTCATGTTCTGCGTCGGCTAGAGTCGACTTGTCGTCTATCTCCTCCGGCATTGTATTGATGTCGGTGTCCTGTGATGACCTCCCTCACGACGTTGCGCCAAGTACCATGTGCTAAGTCGAAGGGCTTGTGCCTCAGAAGTACAATGGACCTCAAGTCTCATGTGATTCCTGTGTATACCAAAGGGGACCGAGTGGTTAAGAGCCGGTTATTTAAGACTCTATGCTTCATTTCAAGGACACTTTGACCGTGCTGCACGCGTGCTCTTTGTCTGCTTCAAGTAGACTCAAGTAGGTGCTGCTCCACATGGTCCGCGGGCCGCACCAGTGAGTGATTGCCTTCGTCACTGCCTGGTGTAATATGCTTGCATCTCCGCGGACAGCTTTGATTCAAAGTCTCTCGGGTACGCCGCTGGTCACTCGTGCCTTATAATTATGATGGAAAGATCCAGCGGCTCTCTGAGAGTATGACATTGCTAAAGAAACCGAGGTCGCGATGGTGAGGTGTCTGTCATTTGGAGAAGGCACGGAGAACACCGACAGCGACATTTTGTGTTGGGGAAAGCACCAGCGGTGACGATGACAGCAGGAGCCAACGTCGCACTTCGGCTACAGCAGCAGCACTTATAGTCCTGCCTACAATGCAGTCAGTCCGTACTTTTGGTGCGCTCAGGCAGCACCAAGATTACCCCAATCCGACGATTCCCACGATAAGGGCAATCTCAAGTACAGCACCCACCGGCTGTGCCTGCATTGATAATGGCCGTACGACGCCCCATGGGCTGGCTGATAAGATGTGATTGCCAAGTTTCTGTACAGTACACAATCACACTTGTGCCTGGCCCTCCGCTGTTGTTGGTTGAGCCAGCTCAAGCGGAGCGGAACCTTACCTGGCATTGACATTCGGATGAAACCAGACTTTGTCAGTTCTTGGAAACCGGGATTTAGCAGACATGTTACCTCCATTGCCATTAATGTAGTACCCAATCTGGGCATGCAGACTGTCTGCGAGGTTTCGCGGACGGCATATATGCCACGGCAGTGACCCGACGCGTCCCTCTTGCTGAGGGCGCTCCCGTTACATGCCAGACAGACTGGTTGAGGACTGGTGCCTGAACCATCAAGCGACGAGTACCTTCAGAGTACCTTAGATCGAGGTTTGGTATATGACGCGATGTCTTCTGTGCTCTGCATCCCTTTCCCTACCTCTTCGTTTCTCACCACACTCAGTACAAGACCACGGCTTCTGCATTAGCAGCCTGCATCAACACACGACCAAACAAGGAAAGATCAACTTGCAGACGTATATCACCAACATCACCATAGCCGACACTATCATGTCTGTACGACCAATTTATGCGCCAATAGGCGCCGGCAACTTATCTTTGGCTGATTTCGCATCAACGCCTGCTGTATTTCAGAAGGTACAGCCCCCTGAGCCGTCCGAAGCGGCAGCGGCATTGAGACGTCTGCTATCGCAACAGCCGGGCACAACCACCGCGGCGAACACAAGCCTCGATGATCGATCAACTTGCTGGGAAAACGCCCGTCGAAATTGCAACCAGAAGTTGCAGCTCTGCCTCCAGAAAGTCGCAATAATAGCCAATAAACTCAATCCATTTGGGCCTCCGGAACCGCTTCTGACCGACGAAATGGCTGCTGCAGTCGATGTAGCGTACAGAGATGCCCAGGCTACTTACAGGCGACAAACAGAGAAGTGGGAAGCAAGCCACGAAGCAGAGCGGAAATTTGAGAGGCGGGAGTCAGAGCGACAAGCATCACTGCGAAGCTCATCGTCAGCATCAGATCGATCTGGCAGTCCGGAGGCGAAATCAATAACCTGGGCGACACAGATCAATTGTCCTTGTACGGCTCTCGGAACTGTACAGTCTTGTACGCTGCCGATCCCAATACCCCAAAGGAATCCTGACAAAGAATGGGAGGAGAGACGGAGAGCTCGTCACAGACCTAAAGAAACGCAAAGAGTCGAGAAACTTCGTCAGCTCAACGAAGACAGGCGTAGGCGCGAAGCACATGCCGCGTCTTTGGGGCGGCGACGAGTCGAAACGCTTCGTCAGCTCAATGAAGAGAGGCGTGGGCGCGAATTACATGCCGCACCCATGATGGTCTCGTGCTAGTCATGGCGTCAGGAAAGGGTTACAGCTTCCTCCGGGGCTCTGATCGAGTTGCTAGTGTGCTTGCAGAGCGAAGACATCGCAGCATCGAGTGTTGCTCTGCGAGGAACGATGGGGGTCTGGGAATGGGGAATGAGAGGCAAGTGTTAGTATGCCTGTGCGCGAAATTTCAGCTTGAATCAATTATGCATGTACGCCTGAGGTGCCAAGTGGAAGGCTGCAGCGAAGCACGAAGTATGCAGCGGAATCGTGGATCATGGCAAGGTGGAAGCTCAGTATCGGTTTAGTGGACGGTGAATGATGTTGCGGAAAGTAGTTCCTGCGGGTCGATGTCGCCAGGCATGTTGGCTAGCAGTGTGTATCGATATGAAGTACCTAAATCGTAAGAGTTTCTGTCCTCGTAAGCAATATGGCGAGACTTTGCTGTAACGGTGCTGCTCATGCGCCGTTGGGTGGAGGCAGGTCGGGTGATAACGACGTGGAAAAGGCTCCATTGGGAGTAAGGAGTTTGCCTTCTGCACTTCTCTTTGACTTATAGGGCATGCATCGCCGGAATGTGTCGAGACTTTCGCGAGAACTCTTCTTTCGGATGGTCCTTACACCCCAAAAACCCACCTTCGACGAAAATCGGTACAACCTGCGACGCTTTCGTAGAGCAGCTCTGACCCTCAGCTCGTTCGGTGGTACGTTGTGCAAGTTAGCTGCATGCGGCTTCAAGCCACTTACCAACGCATCGGTACCAGGCACGCCAGGGAAGGCAATGCCACATCCGCAGAGAAGATTTGTATGCACAGAAGATGAAGCATGCCGTTGCAGACGCATGGCTCACCGCCGCGCGTGAGAACAGCGCCCATCTGCCCCACCACTGCTCATCGAAAACGATTCTGGATGTTGCGTACGCCACCAGTTGGAAGCCGAGGTCGAGTTCATCAGGTTCTCGTAGCAAAACTCGCGGGCTAGGACATTCCCGCTGTTCCCGAAAGACTAGAACCTACTATGGCAGCATCAAAAAGGGCAGACTTGTGGGACCACATAGTTTTGCGAACCGTAAAGATCAAGTTTTTCAACCAAAAGTACATGATTGAGAAGCTGAACTGAGATTCCTTGGACAGAATCAGCAATGCAATGGCCACTGGCGGTAGGAGTGAAAATCGAGAGTCGAGCAGACTTGCCCTTCCCACCCAGGGCTTGTCCCGCAGACTCCCTTGTGGATGCCATGCAGTGGCTGTCTTGCATCGGAAGACACGTCGCAAGTCGTAGGTTTATAGCAGACATTCGTTGAGTCGTAAGTTCAGCGGAGAAGTATCTTACAGTTGTTGCGGAGATCAGAGTGTGCGCGACATTTGAACTGTGTGTAGAAGCGACGGTCTGACGTGCTATTTAGCTATGCTACATGATGTTGTTGCACACGCAAGTACGCACCTCTGAAAGCGGACAGCTTTGTGGGGTAGAAGTGCTCAAAAGCATTAGGGTTGGTGATGAGGAATTGAAATTATGGCGAAGGCATGTCGAGACGGATCATCTATGTACGGACGCCTATCGGTGCCGATATTGGAAGAGCGGCAGGCAAGGAGGCATGAGCTTGCCGGATGCGTTAAAGGCGCTTCGACTCGTCGATGAGTTGTCGGCATCGATGATTGATAGCAGATGGTATGGCGACTGAGCCTCGCGGAAGTTCGCCTGGGAACAAGTCGTGCGGACTGTGATTTTGTCCTGAACGATTGCATTGTGGTTGATGTTGACAGTGGTGACACTTGACAGCCAGAGTGTTGGACAGCGGCCCGTTGAACCGTTGATAAACTCAGCAGTAGCTTCTTTCGGGGGCGTTGAACTCTCCTCGACGAGAACGGACAGCTTGAGACGGAACGGCACATGGCATCTCCCACAAGTGGAAAGATGAGCCGCACGTTTTTACTTCTGCCAAAGTATGAAAACCGAGAATGTAAAAGTCTTTCCCCAACTGACGTCGTCAACTACCACGAAAGGTGAGTGAGTCAAGTCACCGCGGACAGCAAGCAAAAGGTATAGATCGGCAACAGTCTGAGTCGAGCCAGCGGAGGAGCATCATCACCTCGAGTCATGGATGGTGATATTTGGCGGAATCCCGACAAAATATTGTCCACGTATGAGACTAGTACGCGCAACCTCGCTTGAGCTGTTGAAACGCTGGCGACTTTTTCCAGCACCTCCTTCCTCGACATGCCTGTTGGGTTGATTGCTTCTGATGAGTCTATTTCGGAGGACGCCGCCAGCGACTGAGAGGACTAGGTCAGGATCTGTGAATGAAATTTCAGAGGCAAAGGACTCGAAGGAGCGCTTGACAAATTACATCCTAGTTCGCCGCGCATAGGGCTGCTCTCTGTGAATAGGGACCAGCCAGGTAGTGTTGTCCGTCGTCATGTCTCTCTCTCTCTTACTGATCTAATGTTTCTGCGGCGAGAGAATACGAGACCGAATCGGCCTTTGAGATTGGGTTCGATGCATCGAGATCTCGATTGCTTTGGGAGACCAGGAGCCACGCACTGCATCGTTACCAAAATGAACACTTGGTATCTCGATAAATCTGAATCGTGCAACTGACTCGATCAACGCGAGATACAGTTTCGCTTTTCTGACCACAGATCTGGGACACTCCCTAGCAACGTCGTACGGAACTGGTGACTTGCATTAGTGCGCGTTGGACCCTGTCACCCTCTAAACCCCCAATGTCGTTATTTCTGGATGGCTCTTGTGTGCAAGGACTGAGGAGAGCACCCTGTGGCACTACAGCCTGGCCCGTTTGGTGAGGAGACACCCATTCAAGCCCTAGTGTCGTGTGACGACCCCCTGTGGAATCCCGGTGGTGCCGGCAGGCCAGAGCACGCAGACTGTACTACAATGTGATCATTCCAGGCTCATGGACAGGTACATAACCTCGCCTCATCTCACGTGGACGTAGATCGTCTCGCGTGCAAATCGAGATGAGCCTGTCAGCAGCCCTGTTCGTTGCTGATCGCAACGTGTGGAAGTGATGCTGGTCGCGTAGGCATTCTGCTGCGGCGTCATGTCAGGGGCAACACTGCGATACGGGTTGATCACCATGTTGAAACCGAAAACGATGAGATCGACGGGTGAGGCTTCGAATGACGAACTGCGACGGTTGAAGCGTACTGTTCGCGCTAGGCTACGGATCGTTGGCGAGCGGCGGCTGATAGCGAAACTCTCTCTATGCAGCTCCCGAACTCAAGCGATTTTCACCAGCGTTCTGCAAGGTATGGAACTCAGCGTCGAGCTTCCCCGCCGTGGCTTTAAGCAGGTCATTCAACGGCAATAGGCTGCCTGGCGTCTTTTCAATATTGATTCCCAATCTTGGCCGCGAACTCCGACCTCACTCACTTTTCCGACAGAGCTACAGCGACTATCTACACAGGGCTTCCTTGCTAGTGACTCGTGCTTCTGTACCTATTCCCACATCGTCTGTATCCATTAGCATCCCACGCTGCAACCGGCTACTTTCGCTTATGCTGAATCTGCGACATCCTTAGATATTTGGTCACACCTACCGGAAACACACGCCTGGCACTTCAGATCTGAGAGGCCAGCAATGGTCCAATCGGCGCATCGCCAATCCTAGTCAGAAGCCCTCAGATGTCTGCCAGGTCGCGACCTCGCGATCGAGGTCCAGGTCTCTGATGGGCTGCACGCATCTCACCCCCGACCATGTCCACATCTCCACCGCAAGATTCTGTCACTTCCACATCTCCTCCACTCATTGTATGACATTCTGCCAATGTTGGCTCTCAGCTGTCATCGTTCTCAATCAAAGCGTACAGCGCTCGAACTCGTGCGGAGCTCGCCAGTCATGAAGACGTTTGTGCCTTTTGAGATGGCAGCTGAGCATGAGACCGTCGCATTCCATTCGACTTACAATATCGAATCCGAAATTTCTATCGAATACCCTGCCCAGCCCACATCTCTACATTCTCTTAGCCTCAAGCTTACGCCATCCCTGTCAAACTCTGCCATCGCCAGTATTTGGAAAGAACCAGCCACTATTACTATTCGAACAAGCACGATGACTCGAGGCTCTAAATGGACCCATCTGAGGCAGATTGCGCAGTATTCGTGTGGGCAGCATACCACCATCATTTTTGCTTGTCCCATTTTGTCTTGGCCCAATCGACCATCGCCCTTTCCAGTTGCTGCTTCGCCACGGAACGGCGCTCCCGCCACTGCCGGCTAGTCTAGTACCAACCTGACCAGAGACCATCGCCAAGGGATCGTTCTTTTCTGCTTGAGTATCCCAGAGCCTCAGATCGGACTGGTTCTTAACCCCCACCGAATCTCACTATAGCGCGCTGGACATCCCTGCGCTGGAATCCCTGTTTGTGATTGACCTAGCTCTTTCCACAAGATGATATAGATCTGTATACTTCGTCTATTTCGAATTATGCTGCAGATCTGGACTACACTATTCGCCTTACTCTGCAGTGCTACAGTACTTCCTGCTCTAGAACAAGTACATCCACCATACTGCTCAAAGCGTTTCTCACGGTGCTGGAAGACTGACACTAGCCACAACCACTGTCTTCTTTGCCCGCTACTTGGCAGGGTCTGATCGACCGTCTGGGACGCGAGGCAAGTATAGCATTGAGCAACTTCCGCCATATTCCCCGTTGTCGACAACTTTACATGGACCGCATGTGCAATGACGGTCCTGTCTCGTCACAGGCAAATGAACTGTTTCTCATACACTGCCCACCCTGAACTTGGACATCTTGGACACCTGAGAAAGCAACGGCTGGGCACAAGCAAGACGATGCCTCCTCAGAGGCTGAAGGGGAAACTCAACCGGAGGCCAGGAGCTTGTGAACCGTGCAGGAAGCACAAGATCAAGGTAGGTCACCTTGTTCCAGGATGGTGTCAAGTGCTCTTCTCACTCGACAACAGTGTACAGGAGGAGAACCGTGCGTCCAGTGTGAGAAAAAGAAGAGAGGCAAGATCAAGGAGCCCTGCTACTATGATCCGAAACATCTCTCGGGCAACAAGACCAGGAAAGATCGTGCCGGTAAAGTAAAGAGAAGGATATCACGAGGGCTCGAGAATGAACAGCTTTGGATCCTGCACGAGGAGTCCTCAGGTGAGGAGTCAGTATCAACGCCACCAGCCAGCGACCATGCATATGCCGAAGAGTTGGGCCCATATGGGATGTACAGATGTATCGATCAGGCAAGTCTTCTCGCGCAGTTGCCGTCCTAGGGGCTAACACTCCTCAGTTCTACTGCCTATCTGGTGCTGCGCATAGTCTCTCCTCATCTCGTGCCACAAGACCTTGCAGCGGGCTTGAGTTCTTCGAGCCCAGCTCCGGATCACTAGTCGAAGCTGCGCAACTCTCGGAGAGCCAATCGGACCACAGTCTGCAGTATATGCTGCCCGATACGGACCTCGAGAACATATCTCCAGACATGCAGCGCATAGCCTGGCACGCTATCAACATCGTAGGTCGTCGTCTGGACAAAGGTCGCATCCATGAAGCAGCCACTTTCTCAAATGTCCCGTCACTGATTGGGAATTATCACGCATGTGAGTTCAATCCTTGCAGAGACATGAATGCAGGAAGTGACTGACCCACCCACCCAGTGAAGGCGAAGAAGTCTAGGAACAGCGCTCGGGGCAAGGAGAAATCTTCCGCGGCGGTTGAGAACACAATTCACGGACTCATTGTCGACATTGAGATACGAGTAAAGATGCACCTCGGACGCCCACTTGAGCCACAGATCAAGCCACCAGCTGGCATGATACCCGCTTGTGCAACAGTCACAACATCTAAGGACCCCTTTGCCCAGCTACAAGCGGCGAGGGCAGAATATCGGCAGACAGCAGTGCGAGCATTGACACTGCTACCAGATTACGACACTGACTCGCCATCAGCCGAACAGTACGCGGATCTATGCAGTCTCTTCGACCAACTCCGGGTCCAAGAATCCTCCTTCGCCGAGATCAACAGCCTTGCCGGCGATAAACGAGCTCTTATTGCCGTTACCGATTACCAAATTGAGCACTTGTCCATGGCAATGATACTCGCGTGTCACCTTGGTAGCAGTCGTTTGCCGGACACGAAGTATCAACCTTCCCAGTTCACCACAGATCTCAATGGTGACTCGCAAAGCGCATCGTCCGGCGTCACCGAGTACGTATGGGACACTGTCATCATTACTGGGATCTGCCGTCGACTCCTCCAGGTCTTCTCCTGTTTCACTCTGCATGCGAGTGACCCAGAATCGGAGACCTGGACACGATCGTTTGCGGCATACTCTGCGGCGACCATAATGTGTGTCTCTCTGATGCATTCGACCTCGCCGGCGGCTACGGATCTGGCACTTGTGGAGACCACCATGGACTACTTCCGCACGGTCAAGGTCAACGAGGAGTCTTCTTTCACCAACTTAGCTCATGCCAAGCTGGAAGAACTTCACGCTCAGGTCACAGAGGTGGTCGGCGATACCGTTGTCAACGCTGCCAATTTGATCAAGCAGGAGGTATCCGAGACTCACATGAAGACAATCTCACGCGCCACAACGCCGGTCAGAGGCGGGCTCAAGCGTAAACGGGGAGGCCGATCGGCATCTGCTCCCAGATCTGCCAAGCGGACGAAGGCTGAGGTGGACTTTCACCATCAGCCACCGTCAGCCGCCCTCGACTACGGACAGGTGCTCCCCACAAATACTGTTGACACGACATGGACGAATCTTGAACAACCTCCAAGATATCCGCATGCGTACGAGTCATCTGTACCAACGTCAGCAAGCTCCTCCTTCGGGGGCAGCTCATTGCCGTTGGAGCAGGTTCCCACTTATTATATTCCAGTGTTCGACACGGATGTGTATTTGAACAACTCTCTGCCACCGGCACCGGAAGATTCCGAACCTCGCTATCAGTTCCATCCCCCTGAACTCGTTCCATGGCCTCCTCGAGAGCCGAGCTATTACTTGCAGCCTCAGTCATCCGGATACTGGCCGGCTCCAAGCAGGGCAAACGACAGTGCGATGCCCGCCGCAGCGCAACTGCAGACGCCCGATTTCAATTCACCCATGACGTCATTGCAACAGAGCCCATGGCAGTCCACGCAACCCATTCCGCAGTGGACTGGACAACCTCATCCCGAATCACGACGGAGTTCATCAGTTGGCATCACATCACGAATGACTTCTTATGTTCCTGAATTCACGCAGGACACGCACTTCATGTCCTCAGCACCATATCAGCATATTTACGGCGGTACAAGCACGCATATTGATGTCATGGGGAAGTCACCTGAGTACTACAATGCGCCCCATCACACTCACGGCAGTCATGGCGATACATGGGTCCACGTAGATCCGTATGCCCACGACGAGAGCACCCACACACATTGGTAGGTAGACCAACATCAGCATCAGCATCAGCATCCGCATCAGCATCAGCATCAGCATCAGCATCAGCATCAGCATCAATCTCGGTGGTCGCATTGACGACGACATGGAAAGACAACGTTTGCCATGAGGCTCAAAAGGCTTCCGCTCTTCCAACAAAAGTAAATCATGTACTTGTACGATAACCTACGAATTGGGACGACAGAACAGACCATGGTCTGATTCGAACAGACCAAGCTTACAGCACAGGAGCACAAAGGCGGCAGCGATGAGCCGGTTGCATATGGTCGGTGGCACATACATCAAGAGCTGATGTATATATTTCCGGGGTATTCTGTGTTCAGTTTCTAGTTCAAATAGTCTGCGCAAGTCGGACAGCAAGCGGCAGCACTGTCGTTTTCGGGCGGCGCCCTCTCGGGCATCTATATCCCTACAAGATTCATTGTCCCATCATCAGACGTTTCCTTCTTGTAGTGCGTTTCCGGGCACAGAAGGCGACTATCTGCGCTTGCTTTGCCGTCGCTGCTTTTCGTTTACCATCGTTCGCGACATGCGCCAGCATATGCCCCGTGCACCACAATAAGGATTGACACGCCCGTAATAGCCCCTTCGTGTCGTCGGAAGCAACACGACCACACTGACTACTCCTGCTCAGCGTCATGGAGCAACAACAATGTGATGCTCGCTCCAATGACTTACCCAAAAGCTACAGAGGATCGCCGCCAACACAGCAAGGTTCAATTCTGAGCACACCCACAGGATCGTTGGTCGCAGAGTGTTGCGGCAGAGATGGAGGGACTGACGATCGCTCTTCTGGTCGTGGGGAAGCGGTTGACAGAGGAGGCGACGTTGGACATGCATGTTGTGGAAGAGGCTGAGAGAGGATGTCGTGGTCTATGAGCAGATTGATGTCGATCAGTATATGGAGGATGGTGAAAAGTGCTAGCGTGATCAGTTGCCTGCTTGACTTGATGTCTTGCCTGTGGGTTGCCACAATTCACACACTACCCTTCACCTTGCCTGCTTCACGTGATCTCTGCTGCCTCTGATAGCCGGACCATGGCTGCGTGACAAACGCGTGACTCTGTGATGACTCTGTTTGTTTGCCTAGCACCTGCGCCAAATCTACACGAGGGCCGCCTCAGCCCACCCGAAAGTTGTTGGTATTACTTACCTATCATCACACAAGGAGGACTCCAGCGCACCTGCAGCTGAGACACACAGCGAGTTGCCAGATGACAGAAGCTGCGGCAAAACCTGCGATGGCAGCACCGACCACGAAATGGCTACAGCTCACTGCTGACCCGATCTCAACCGCGAGTGTGCCAGCGCAGCAGAGTCCACGAGCGACTCCAAAGCTGCCACTGCCAACAACTCAAAGTCCGAACTGAAGCCAATCACTGCCAATGGAAAGCAGTCAACGAAGCCGCTGTGGTCGCAGATCATGGCCAGACCACCACCTCCAGCACCCTCGTCGACAGCTACTGCACCATCAGCAGAAGCTAATATCACCCCTGCATCCATCAAAACCACTGGCACAGTCGACAATGCTGCAAAGCAAAACTTGGGCATCAACATCAACGGGAGCACTCCTGGAACTCACAAGTCGACGACGAACTCCGACGTACCCAAGCGCGTTGCACCCGCCGCTAAGCAAGAATCTCCAGTTACACCTACCATGACCAAAGACCAAGCCCTCGCCCTACCAACATCTCATTTCGTTGACAGAGTCTCTCGGACCAATGACCTCATCGAAGACATCTACAACTCCCCTATCTCCCTGTCTGCTGCTGCCAGGAAACACGGCTTCGCTTCCGCCGAAGATGCTGGTGTCGCGCTCGCTGTCTTCGCACATCAGTCCAAACGCTTGTTACAGAGCCGTCGCGTGTACAAAGACACTATGCTGTTGACAATGGCCAAGGACAAGGACGGATATAGCGGACAAGACATCGGCGAACTGTATACTGAAGCTTGGAATGAGAGGAAGGAGCAAGACAAGGAGAAGCAAGTGCAAGGTGTCAAGAGAAATGAGGGGCAGTTGCGTGCGAGGCAACGCGATCGTGAGATGAAGCGTGAAGGACCGACGCCGGGACTGAATAGTGCTGCAAATGCTGGTAGGAAGAGCATCGGCAGTGGGCGTAAATCTGCTGCTTGAAGTGGTATACATTCGGAGAACCTTCGCATATGGTTGTCGGAATTGGGAAAGTGGCACCGTTTGTCAGACGAGCTGGCGTGCATGAGAGGGCGAGCAGCAAGCCACGAAGCAATGCGACAAGTATTCTCGATGCCCATCATGCGTTCGACGCGACGACATGCGGTCCAGTCAGGATTCATGGGTGACAAGCGGATGGGTCTATGGTGATAGTTGAACTCAAGACACAGATCACCTGGGCTTGAGTTGCCAGAAGAGGAGAACCTGGCGTTGTGTCGGAAGGCTTTCGCATGTTGGTACATGCGATATACATTCCCCTCGTACCATTTGGGGCAGTCCACGAATTGGACATGAGGACCTGTACTGGCTTGGATCAAAGCTTGGGACCAGGCCGTGGTGGACGGTCGAACGATGCCTTTGCAGCGCTGCGGCGACTCGAGTGTACCTAAATGGAGGTAGCGACAATATGATGGTCTCCTTGACCCGCTCATCAACTTGCCAGGCGCACTAACTTCGGTAGAAGCACGAATACAGGCCAGCAAGTCGTGAGGTCTGGTCACAACGCAGAGTTGATGGCAACATTGGTGTATGGCATGTGTAGTTGCCGACAAAGACGCACCGTTGCTGATGCGACACGCTCTATGTCGCAGCGAATCTGATGAAGTTGAAGATGGAAGCAAAATTGAAGTAATAAAAAGCCTTCGGCGAGAGAGTCGCACCCGTAAGCCTATTCTGCCCTATTTGCGACAGCCATGTTGGGGTAAGAGCTGAGAGTGGCCACTGCCTTTTCCCTTTCTTGCCTACTCCTTCCTTCTCTCTATTCAACTCTCCTGCGCACTGCCACTGCTGTCAGTGTAAAAGGTAAGCACATCGCCCCGTGGAACCTACGATGGAGTGCTTCGTCGATTCTGATTCATCGCCCGGAAGAGTCAATGTCAACTGCTGCCGAGCTCTCACAATTTTGGCAGTGCCAACCGCTGTGCTTCGTATGGCTCTCGCTTAGGCACGAACTAGCGGGCTGCAAAGCCGAGTAACCTGTGCACATCCTTATGACGGCTGTTCGCCGACTTGATGACCCATAATCTTGGCTTCTCAGTCTAAAAAGCCTGGCGGAATGGCTCATATCTCTGTTGATCATCGCGGAGCTCATATCACCCGAAACTTCGCTTCCCACTCAATCTGACAACTAAAACCGACACATGACACTCACTTAGGTCCCAAAAGCCTGATATGTTGGCACGGGTCCATGAGCGGGGGCCATAGCCTCTGTACGGCCACGTCATAAATGGCGACCATTGACTCGCCCACTATGCTGGACGGCCTCGTGCAGCAGCCGACACCACCAGACTTGGAAACCGCCGGCGCCAAACCCTGGGCTAGCGGTCGCGTTCTGAGCAAGGCACAGAGAGATCGGAAGCGGGAGGTAGACCGTATCAGCAAGGCAAAAAGGCGACGCGACAACACCGAGAGTCGCGACACCGTTGAACACCTGAAGAAGCAAGTCGAAGAGTTGACTCTGAAAGTCAAGACACTAGAGCACGAAGAATGGCAACGACTTGAACGGACCGAGATCAACACAAGGCAGCTTCAACATGACTTTGCACCCCACGCATACCACTTCCATCAGCACTCTGTGCATTCGACGTCTGCATCGTTTGTCGCTGCGGCACCAGCCTCATCGGGTTTCTTTCATTCCACGCTCGACAATTTACAGACCTTACCTTCATTCACACCTGAGTCGACGGACTACGTTCAAGCGGCTGCTCATGAGTCGTCGGCAATAGATGCGTCGCCTACGATCCAACCACCACCACTACTACCTGGAGAAGTAGCTGCTACATCTCCGCTCGCTGCGGGAAGCACGTCGGTGCCCTTGGTCAAGGATATGTTCAACATGCTGGTGCACGAGGCTCGGTCGGCTGTGAATTCAAGCACTCGTCACCTGGTTGTGACAGACACTGTGCTGACACAGGACGCTCTGATAAGAGGCGTCTTACATGGCTGGCCGTCGGTGCTTGACTTTTCCTCAGACAACAACTCAAACAGCCCGTCGAGCTTGCTCTGTTGTCCCATCCTCCGGACTGTCTCGAAGCTAGATGGAGTTATATTCTCCTTCTCGTCTGTATCTACACGACTCATCAGCCTGCGAGCTATTCATCTGATGTTCCTATACGTCACGTCTTGCATCCCAATATCAGAGCTACCACCTTGGTATCGACCACGTCCAACACAGCGGCGTTGGGAACATGATCCTGTCATCGACTTGCTACCCTGGCCCGGCCTACGTGAGAGAGCCATTATCGAGACAGATCTCATCAAACAGAACCATCTATGGCGTTCGATAGTAAGCCTGTTCAGCTTCAATTGGCCATATGCCCAAGAACTGGCGGTGGTCCAACTCGGTCCAGATGCATCTAGTCCGACCACTGCCGTTGCTGCACACTCGCAATCGCAAGCTATCACAACAACGGGCGGCCTCAACAGCCGATACATTTTCTCCGATGCCTACAATGCCCAGATGTGGGACATCCGGATGTGGAATATCTCGCTGGAGTTCTTCGAGTCCTTCCCACAACTTTACGATGACATCGTTCCCAAAGCATACGTTGCGCCTCTCTATCTGCGTCCGTCAGGCTCAGGCTCGTCGGCAGCTGGACTGACGGCCGCAAGTATGTCTCCATCAGCAGTCCGCCAGTGGCATCAGCCGCCGCGTCAGCTCACGCAGGGGGGATTCGTCCCGAACAAGAGGAAGATGCAGCGGAATTTGACAGTGGCAACAATGCCGTCATCGTACGGGCCATCTCAGAGCCCTACGCCAACTTTGTCCGCGACTAATACTGAGGGAAGTAGTGATAACACGGAGGAAGATCACGGCTAGAGGCTTCGACGACGACCCGATGCAGCGGACGACAGCTGTACCTGCTTACAGATGTTGTTGTCGGGTGTTTAAATGTGAGCTAGACCATGATCAAGGCCGATCTGCAAGAACGCGGAATAATAATTACCATTAACATTCTTGGATATTACCTACCAGCTCTTCTCGCCTGGTTCACACCGAAGATCCATAGTGCTCAATAGTCTTCATCATCGTTCTCATCAGCATCATCCTCGATAGCAGCCACCGCGGTTGCCCTTTCCGGTCCATTCAGCTCTGTCCTGTCGCTCTCTCGCATCGTTCAAGCCGATTAAGATCTCCACCAAATAGCCTTCTTCCCATCGCCAAGAACAGCACCACCGGTCTCGCTCGCCAACGGCGGCGCACTCGCCGTATGTGTGGTATTCGCGTTACCAGACGTACTGAGATCTTCGGTGACCTTCTTCGTTCCCGTGGCGGTATCGAAGCCGAAAATCGTGCGATTGAAGAGCTGGAGAGCGGCAATGGGTTGGTAGTAGGGAACTTCATGACCTGCTTCGCTGATTGTGGTGAAAGAGGGATGGTCAGCTGTGCTCGCACAAAGAATAGCTTTGTGGGTGAGGGTGTGGACGTGAACGAGCGTTCGAGCGGGGCAAAGTCAGACTTACTAGATGCGAGTGAAGGAGAAGTTGCCATACTCCCTCGTCTCTCCATACTGCACGCCATCCACCACCATAGGTGTATAGCCCGCCGCATTGAACTCCTCGGTATTGGTGTATTGTACTCCCTTACTCACTGCCTCTCCACCGAACCAATTGCAGATATAGTCCGCATCGCCATAGATCATCGATACTCTGACAGAAGCATTCAGGATTGCTTCCAAATCTTCCTTGAAATTTGGGTAGACGAAATCACCGGTCTGCTGGAAAGCGTAGTAGATGTCGTTGTTACTGAACGAGGTGTAATTTGTGTCGACGCCGAGTGCTGCTTGCGTCTCGGGCAGGTTGAGAAAGTCGACCATACAGTCGGGTGGGGTAGGATCATCGTAGGGATGGCGGATATCGTAGACGCCGCGCTCTTGAAGGACTTCGTAGGGTCCTTCCACCTGTGGGTCGATTTGTGTCAGTTGCCTGTCTGTGGGAAGTTGAGTTGGAGAGACATTGGGGCCTTACATTGTCTCTGCACATCAAGGCTGCTTCTGCGCAAACAGCTTGGCCAACAGCTGTGCTTTGGTTCGCGACGTTGCAGTAGGTGAGTTGGTCGAGACAGCCATTCGGCATCACTACTGCCCAAGAAGCATAGTTATACATGGTATCGTTGAGAGCCTTGATGCCGTAGGTGTTGTAGTTGGCAAATTCCTGCGGCTTGGTTAGCGTATGCCTGCGGTCTTCACCATGCTGCAGGACTCACTGGGTAGTACGGTGCCTGAATTGCTTCGTCGATAATGGCGTTGATCAGAGTGAGAGAGCTGAACTCCAGTTCTTGTCCCTGAATGGTACCGTTCTTGATGAGCTCGTTCTGATCGTAGAAGTATTTGAAGAAGGCTGGACCATAGTGGCCGCCATACGACTCGGTAGCCAAGTTGAATGTCGTTGAGCTGACGTTGCTGTCGAGCTGAGGGAGAGCAGAGTAAAAGCCCTGTACCACTTCCCACGCCGCGATTGCGGCAAGATCAGTCGTGTCGATAGCAGAAGGGTCGAACGTAGGATATCTTCCATCTGGTTCGGCTTCGTCTGCTGGAATGAATTCTCCGAATATGCCCTTCGATGCCTCTGCTTTGCCGCCGTAGCTGAAGCCTACACCAATTGGCTGACTCAAAAACAGCATGTTCGAGACTTCGTTCCAGGCGTATGGATTCAGTGCTGTCACCAGGTCTTCCGTTACGTTGCAGGGCCCAAGTTCTGCTGCTTGTTAGCTCGGCTCAATCGATACAGGAGTAATGCTTACCTTGGAACAGGCCGATCAAGCTGTCGCTACCAGGACCACCATTCAGCCAAAGTGTCAGAGGGTCGTTGGCTGGGTCCCTTCGCGATTCGAAGAACCAGAAAAAGCTATGCACGTCTTGACCGAGGTTGATGAAGCCGGCATAAGAGTTGACACCTGGAGTTGTTTCGCAGATTCCCTCCTTCCCTGGCTCCTTGTAGGTGATGTTCGCGCCACTCGGGCTGATGATAGTCTGAACACCTTCAGGCTCTGCTGGGAACTGTCGTGGCAGGACTTGGATGGCAGGACCTTTGCGATCACGACTCCGAGGTTGGACCACGGGGCCGGGCTTGAATGCGTCTGCGGAGGCAGCTAGAAGTGCCAACGAGGCAGCTGCTGTTGTGAACTTCATGATGGTCTAGTACTGCGCATCTGTAGTCATAAAACAACAAAAGGGTGGTTGCTGCAGAAGAACAGGTCTGTACCGGCACGCAAAGGTCTGCTACTCGGACTGTGTATGGAAGAGAGACAAACCTGGAATCGCTTGCGGACACGCGACTTCTTTCAAATAACGCGACCAGCCTACCTGCATTGACCTCATAGCCTTCCGCGGCGCAGCTTCCCATGTTCGGTGTACCCAGTCTGGGTCAATCACAATTGCAGTCGTATGTCTGCCTGTCGAGCTAAGAGATAGCTAGGTGGCGAGCTTGAAGCTCACAAGCTCACCAAGCCAGAAAATGCATTTCCATGACGTTGATGGGATTCGAGTGCAACATCGCGGTGAGCTAGCCAGGGAAATCGCCTTGCCGATTGGAAGTTGGCCAATCAGTAGGTCCCGGTGACTACTGGTCAGCCGTTGGACGAAGCTTGATATGGCTAGTAACATGTAGGTACCAGCTCGATCCTAGTCCCCATGCAGACCTCGGTAATGCAAGCAGTTGTCTCGATATCATTGTTGAGGACCTTCGGAAAGTGTGCGGACCATTTTGTTGCCGCCGGAGTCAATGTGTAGCAAAGTTCAGCATCATATCAAAAGGACCCCTCGCAACTTCCGGATCTCTCGCCAGTGGCAGTGACTGATCGAAATTCAGCGTTTGATACCTCTCGGCCGGCTCCCAGGTCGACCATGAATCTCCGAACCATTGTTTGACACAATCCGGGAGGACCGACTGAGAGGACAGACAAGCACCTCAAGCACTCGTGCAAAGATTGCGCCACCAGGGCTTATCTGTGTCCCCGCATGTTAGTGGTTCGGAGCTAGGTACTTAACGGAAGGAGAGTTAGGGCTCGGCGGAACATTGTCACATCGTCGAGAACGTAAATTTAGTGATCGACCGGTGCTAATACCCGTTGGGCAGTCCTCGGCCTTTGAGAGTGTGGGCGCAAGATCGTTCTGGAAAAAGGCTGGCATGTCTGTGGCGTTGATAGCAGACGATATCTGGGTTGCACCAGAAGCAGGCCGGCTTAGCGATCGAGAAATCAGGAATGAGTAATGAGGTAAATGTTCTTGCAGATGATGCAACGTTATCGAGTTGCTGCCACCGGGCTTCAACAATGTGTATTGCAGTAGGTGGCAGACGATCGACGTACAGGCATGTTGTGAACTTAGTGCTTCGGAACTCTCGAAGCGCTTCGTATTTCTCGCAAGATGTGTAACCGTCAGTATCCGCAAGCAGGCTGTAGTGTGCACTGTGGAAGCGGTGGTCGAATCTGTGTCGATCAAGCAGTTCAAGGATAGGCGTGATGGTTACAACCCTGCCAGTTCTTCGCGAATGTGATTTGGGAAGGCACGAAGCTGGGAGAAGAAGAGGCAGTCGCTAACAATTACATGCTCATTGGGATGATATGCCAGTCTATATACCTGTCCATCCGTATTGGGAATCTCCTCATTGAGAAAGTAAGCTCAGCCATGCGAAGGGTCCTTAGCCGTCCGGCCATACCATTGATCCACAACTCCTCTGCGCCAACTGAGAATCGCTCTCGTCCTGTGCTTCAATCCTTCATAACATTGTCCCTAAAAAGCAGAGATGGCAACAGCAATAGCCTGCGTCTCGCTATGGCTGATGCTGACATTGACGTTCTTGACGCCAACCGACTTGGCGGCTTTCAGCGCCTCACCATGTAGCGTGACAGTCGGCGCACCGTTGTCATCGCTGAGAATTTCGATGTCGGCGAGGGGAGCTCCAGCACCCTTGCTGCTAACTCCCAGCGCCTTGAAGACGGCCTCCTTCGCCGACCACCGACCGGCAAACGATGCCTGTGGTGAGGCTGCCTTGCGGCAATACTCTTGTTCTGATTGTGTGAAATTTCTCTTCACAAATGTGTCGTTCTCGATGTTGATAGCGTGAATCTCCTCAACATCAACACCAACCTGCGAGCCTTCTGCTGCAGTCGCCTTGCTCAAAGACTCGAGCATGATCTTGGTCTGTTCTGCATCTTTGCTAACAGCCTTCTTGGGCAGAGTTGGCGAGTAAGTCAGCTCGCCTGTCTTCTTGTCTGCCTGGACACGCTGATCAGGGTTTAGGAAGACCTTCTGCATGATGTTGTCTGCGTATGGGGACGAGGTCTTGGCCACGAACAGCGTGTTATTGATCATGCCGTTGTGGAAGTAGCGATAGGCCTTCTTCTGACGAGCGTCGACCTTGAGCTTGTAGCGTTGGAACTCGGCCTGGTCGAGAGTCGCGTACAAGTATTTCGGATGAATGCCGATAGCTTGAGCACCCCTGAAACAATGTTAGTACGAGCTTCTGAGGATGAGGGGATGTGTGACTCACTTTTGACCGAAACCGAATGAGGTCACCGAGAAGGCTTTGATGCCGTCGGTTTGTAGTGATCGGCTGGGATATACGATGTGATCGAACTTCTCCATCACAGCGTCAACATTGTCGGCGTTGCGATTACCTGGAACAAGACCAGAGTTGAGCACTTGCAAGCACCCGTTAAACATCCAGGCACCAGCGGCACCCTTAGGATGACCAGTGAGGTACTTCTGAAAGATGCCGAGGAGAGCATTGCCCTTCTTGCGTCCGAGATGCTCTAGCTGTTTGCAAATAACCTCTGATTCGTTCTTGTCGTTGGCAACCGTGGATGTGCCGTGGAAGGAGGCGACTCCAAGGTCATCGATGGTCAAGCCCCAGGTTGCGAGAGCACCACGTAGAGGTGCGATGGTAGAATCTTGCTTCCAAAAGTTGTTGCCGAGGCTGTACTGCGCTTCCTTCTCCTGACGCTTGGCATCCTTCTCGATGTGGGCCATGCGCTCAGCCATGTACTCCTGCTCATCGAAGCCGAAGCCAGCCTGAGCTTTCATTGCAGCGGCTTCCTCGTTGAGGTACAGTAGCTCTGACTCTTGCCAGTTCTTGATGGCCCTGCGGCGCAGGTCGAGCTGACGACGGCGGTAGTTGATATCGAGAAGTGGCGATGGGAACTTGCCAGGATTCTCACGAGCAGTGGTGAGCACACCCTGACCAGGTGCGGGTACCGAGCGACCGATCTTGTCAGTGGCAGTAGTGGTCAGGCCCAAGATACCGTATATTGGCGTGCCCATGTCGAGAGCAAGACGCGCAGACATGATGATCTGCATACCGCAACCCTGAGACTCCATGAAGCCAGATCGGGTTGTGGTGGTAGGGCGCGACATCTCCTTGGGAGTGCGACCGTGTTTGAACTCTTCCTCGGCATTACTTGTTGCTTTCATGTTGGCGAACTCGTACGAACCTTCCTCCTGGAAGTCATCGAAACCACCAACGAAGCAGACACGAGCCTTGCCTTCCACGATCGTCTCGTAGCCGATGTCGATAGACTCGACAGCAGTGGCACAGGCACCGACGGGTGTCTTGATGGGACCAGTGGACGACAAGAGCAACATATTTACCCAAGCAGCCATGGTGTTGATGAAGGACTCTTGGAGAATATCCTTCTGTACTGGCTTGTCCATGAAACGGTCCTTGTACATACCGCGCAGAGCGGTTGTACCACCAATACCGGAGCCGACGCAGTTGCCGACTTCAGTCAGGTGGACGTACTTGTAGAACTCGTAAGGATCGGTGATACCAGAAGCGAGCAGAGCCTCGGCAGTACAGACCAGCACAAACAAAGTGACTTGGTCGACCTGCTCGATGATGTCGTCAGGGACACCATAGTGTTTGGCATTCCAGCCAGTCGGAATTTGACCAGCAACCAGGCGATCGAAGCGAAGAGCCTTGGGAATCAGTAGAGTGGCACCCTTCTTCAAGCGAACGGTGAATTCGCCAGACTCGAGCTCGAAGACCTCAACCTTCTCGCCATGTTGGCGTTTGAACTCGGAGGCAGTCTCAGCAGAGGCCTCGAAAGGATCTAAGTCTTCTTCGATCTGGATCTCTTGCAACAACTGCTTCTTCTTGGGATCGTAACCGTTGAACAGCTCAGGCTCAATGAGGCGGATGCCTGAGTGCTCCAGGATCTGCTTCTCGTACTTGGCCTTGACATCCTTGTCGTCGACAGGCTCTTGCGTCTTGGAATCGATCCAGCCGGAGTACGATTTGCCCTTCAGTGGACCGTTGTGGTTCTTAATGAGGCCCATGAGCCAGGCCATCTCCACGCAGCCTTCAAGAGAGAACTTGCCATACGCTTCCATCTCCCATCGCGTGCGTGAGTTACCCCAAGGACCAACTTCAGAAAAGCCGGTGACGACGACGACCTTGTCGAGGTCGACCATACCTTTGAGATTGCCGTTGAGAGGCTCGATCTCTTTCTCCCAGTCTGGCAGAGGAGGGAACTCGAATTTGAGATTTGCACGAGGCTCAATGTTGGTCTTCTTGTACAGAGCCTCGCTGTCGTCGCCATTCACGATCTTGTTCTCAATGGCGGTCTCCTTGGTGACGGCCTGGCGGACGGCGCTAGTCTCCATGATCTCGGCACGGAGCTTGGTCATCATGTCCTTGAGATCTGGCAAGAACTGCAAGCCACCGTTGAGGTCAGCCCAGACAGGCTCTTCCTGGCACAGATCAACAATAGCTGGCGACATCAAGCCGAGCAGGTTGAATGCCATCTCTTGCTGAGAGAACGTTCGCACCCCATACTTCTCCACACCATCGGCAACGATGTTGTTGCCGCTCATAAGACCAGTTCCACGAGTCCAACCAATGACGGCGCCGCAAATGGTGAGGTAGTCACCCCAGTTCTCTGAGTGCCATCGATTGAAAAGTGTCTCCAGTGCCAGTTTTGACTCAGAGTAGAGACCGTCGTTGCCGAATGTGCCGTGATTGGGCGACAGAGGCAGGATAGCTTGTGCGGGACGTGTGTTAAAGCCGTGTTCGGCCTTCTTGGACTTGACAGCACCCAGGAGACGAACCACGTTAGTCAACATGATACGGTGAGCAAGCTCCGACTTGGAATCAATACTGTCGATCTCGCGGCCGTTCTCGGGAATGGCAGCAAAAGGGACGATGAAGTCAAGATCCCAGCCGAGACCCTTCTTGGAGTCGTAGATGTACTCGATGAGTGCCTCAACATCTTGCTTGCTGCCACCGTTGAACGGCACGACGACCAGTTGGGAGCCACGAGCGCCGAAACGGGCATACATGGATTGATAGTATTCGGTGACCTCACGAGAGTAGCGGCTAGTTGTGACCACGACCTTCGCGCCACCACTGATCAGGCCCTGGAGGACTTCAGCACCGATGGAGCCAGCGCCAGCACCGGTCATGAGAGCCATCTTGCCCTGAAAGGTGATGCCGGACTTTGCTGCGTTCTCGAGGCCTTCCAAGTAGACGCCTGTAAGCTTCTTGCTGTAGTCCCAACCGTGAGCATCCTTCTTCTTCAGATGGAGGAATGGAATCGTCTCGGTCTTGCCAGTCTTGATGCCGTTGACCGTGGGCTTGAGGATTGAGCCGTTGCGGCCAGGTTTTTTGACATCGCCGTTCTCTTGAGGCATGATCTGCGACTCGTTCATGGCAAGAGCACGCACAACCTCCTTGTACAGAGAGTTAAATTGCAGCTGAGACGACTTCGACAGCTTGTGTTGCTTGCGAATGAGCTTGTAAACGTTCCGAAGATCGTTCTGAACCTTGGTGCGATTGCTGTATTCCGAGATCTTGCCGCCATCGGCCATTGCCTGGACGTAGTGCTCAAGTTTGCGGGCACTCTGTCGTGGAACCTCCTGGTAGTCCAAATTGCCACGGGCGTCAATGGTCGTTTGAGGACCTGTTGGCACTGCGACATCCTTGTAAACGGGAGCTTCGTTCAGGACATCTTTGCAGTTCTCAATCAGCTGCTCACCAAGTTCCTTAGCAAGCTTGTAGGTCTCGCCGCGTTCGGTTGGGCAGTTGTCGATATGGTACTGCATGTACTGGATGAGGGTGGGGTTGGATCGATTCATGATGCGGATGCACTGGCTGACAATCTCACGATCGACGGCTTGAAGACGGCCGAAAATGATGTCGTAGTACATGCTGAGGGCATCTTGACGAGCCCAATTCCAGGCAGAGTCGTAGACACGAGCCTTGAGAGGATCAAACGAGGGCTCGATGCCGCTCGCATAAACTTCACCATGCTCAACATTCCAAAGATCGAGTTGAGCTTGGAGAGCCTTGTTGGACTCTGCTTGCCCGAGAGCCGCCTTGTCGCCAGCTCGGAGGTCCATCTTCAGATATCTTGCAAACAGCTCCAATTGCTGCTTGAACAGAGCGCGCTGATCCTTGGTCAAAGCGTCGATAGCCGCGGGGTCCATCATCATGCCACCGCCACCTCCGCCAGCCGCGGCGCCTGCAGCAGGTGCAGACAGGCTAATTCCAGCTGCCGTTGCGTACTTCTGAGCGACATCGTCTAGATATGTCTTCGCGTCATTCTCGGATCCTAAGCGGGCAGCTGGCTCCATAGTCAGAGCTAGCAGGAGAACGCCGTCTTGTCTGCCAGAGCCGAGGCCGAACTTGGTCTCGAGGTGCTTGCGCACAGCTGTGATATTGAAGCCACCAGGCATTTTGGACGACACCAATCGCGCAATGAGAGATTGAGACTGCTTGCCGAGCTGACCGTTAAAGGTCGACTGCATTGATGCACCCAACTCATCGAGAGGTGTATCTTCTGGCTTTTCGGGTGTCGACCCGAACTCTTTGCCCAAGTCACCCAGAATCTCGTTTTGTAGAGTGGATTTTCCGCCGACCAAATCCTTGATCGCTTTTGAGAGAGGAATGTCGGCCAAAGGCTTTTTCAATTTCTGTGCAACGAGAGCTCGAAGAATGTCCACAGCACCGACTGGCGCATCTGCGACAGCAGCCGCAGGACCAGCCGACGCCGCGGGAGCTGCTGCAACTGGCGTTGCTGCTGCTGCTGCCGGCGCCGATGAGGCGGCCGGAGCAGAGTCTGAGGAGGTGGCGGCCGGTTCGGGCTCGTCGGCAACAGGGTCTACGTCGTAGTAGATCTCCTTGACATCTTTGCTGTAGGCCAGGACTTGACGCTCCATGGATGTAGCAGCATCGTAGGCTTCGTATTTGGAGGCGAGCGTCCGCTTTGCCATTCCACCAAGTGTGTCTGCAGGACCGATTTCAACGATCCTCTCCGTCCTGTTCTTCTCCAAGATGACATCCTGAGTCTCGATCCACCTCACAGGAGAGGCGAATTGGTATGCCAGCAGCTCAACGAGGAGCGTGTGGGCGAGCTCTTGCTCGACTTCGGGACGCATTGTGGCGGGATGCGTGTATTGATGGGTGAGAGGTGTAGGAAGGTGAGCGTAGAGGAAGCCGTTCCCCTCAGTACTATGAACTTAATCAGAGCACTGGCGGCGGCAGAGTCTGCTCGGTTAGTGAGAAAGAGTGTGTGTCGTCGAGCAACAGCTTAGACTCGATTTGTGACTTTAGCAAAGGAAGGGAAGGTATGCAGTGTTGAAGGAGTTGAGACGTATGAGCGAAGAATGACGGTGTCAAGAATTGTGCTGGATAAAGCAGCTGCTACTTTTTTTCAATGAGGCATTCGAGCATTCTTCGGGAACGTCGCTGCTCACCAGCATGCACAGACTACGACACACGCGGAGCAGGACCCGTTGGGCCTGAATGCCTGCAGCCAGCCAAGCTTCTAACCCCAGCTCTGTTGGAAGTTTCAAGCCTCAGCGGCCTTGCTCCCAACGAGCCCGAACAGTGCACCGGCGCAAAGGGAAGAGCCTACAGTGGAGTGTTCTAGGCTACCCCAGGACTCGCCCGATAGGCTGAGGCTGCCCAAATTCTCGGTCAAAAAATCGCCGGGAATATTTGGAGTGAAGATGCGAAAGCTGCTGAGCGTACTTGACATCACTCTGCGCTGGCCTACATCACACTGATCAGTAATTGATCCTGTTCAGTAAACACAAGGTCACCGCGTACACCGTTCATCGCTCTTCGCGGACCGTATGCTGCTGCCTACGCTAGCATATCAAGCAGAAGTTGGCAGGAGGGAATGATCGAATGCTGATATCTGAAAAATGTTGGAGAAATCATGACGCCGGGCCCGCCTCCTCGTGTCCCTGCAGGTCGTCGCGAGGGAAAGCGCGACCCGCCAAACCCAACGTATTTTCTGTGCTGCCTCATTCGCTGATGCCCCTTTCCGGACCCCGCTGACCCATAACTTTTTCTCTCATCGCTCACGGCCTCAACAGAGACTCGGAGGTGCCAGTGAGGTGTGGCACGCCGCTCACATCCAACCCGATCAGCTCCAGCATTGATCGCATTCTCTGGTCGGTGACAGATCAAAAGTGAATTTGCTGTCAACGCTGCCTGCACTCTACCATACCACCCTCTCATAACACCCTGCAGTCGTCTTTGCGACTTACACAATCACTTCCTCATACTACCGAAGACACTCACACTCATTGCACTCGTTTCCGCAGTTGAAGTCCCTCCAACAGCTGCTCGCTTGTGCCTGCTATCGACACTACCAAAGGGTTCCCTCATCCTTCGCTGTCGACTATACCAAACGGTGGCATTAGCTTGCTCACCCACACATCACGTTCATTTTGTACCACCGCCAACATGTACTCCGGTGGTGCTACTGGCACTCACACCCCTCGATCATCCCAGAATCTCCGTCCCCTCATCCTATCCCACGGCTCTCTCGAATATGCCTTCCTCATTCCCACAGCTCTCCACTTCCCAGCATCCCAGCTAAAGGAAGCTTTCACGACCTCTCTTCCAGAGCCGACTGATGAGCTAGCTCAAGATGACGAGCCCTCATCCAACGCAGAGCTTGTGGCTCGGTATATTGGCTTCATTGCAGCGGAGGTCGAGGAGGATGACGAGGCAACGTCTTTTGCGGAGGTCCTCAAGGTTGCTCTAACAGAATTCGAACGTGCTTTCATGCACGCCAATGATGTCCACGCCTTAGCTGCCAGTTTGCCTGGAATCACGGCGAAGAAGCTCAAGGTTGTGCAGTCATACTACGCCGGCAGGTCTGCTATTGCTAGGCCCATCAAACCTCACGACTCCGCGCTCTTCCGAGCGGCCGACGACGAGGACGCGAGCATCTACACAGTTTTCGGTGGTCAAGGCAACATCGAGGAGTACTTTGATGAGCTAAGAGAAGTTTACACCACATACCCGTCGTTCACCAAAGAGCTGGTCGAGTCGTCTGCTGTGCTGCTGCAATCGCTGGCAGCCGAGCCGAAGGCCGATAAGTTCTACTCGAAAGGCCTGGACATCATGAGCTGGCTGCGCAACCCCGATACCCAGCCAGATACCGACTACCTGGTATCTGCGCCAGTGAGTCTACCACTGATTGGACTTGTGCAATTGGCGCATTATCAGGTCACATGTCGAGCGCTCGGCAAGACACCAGGAGAGATCAATGAGCGCTTCAGCGGCACCACTGGGCACTCGCAGGGTGTCGTGACCGCCGCTGCCGTGGCCACTGCAACTTCATGGGAAAGCTTTGCAAAGGCTGCCAAGGACGCTATCACCATGCTCTTCTGGATTGGCATGCGCAGTCAACAGGCCTATCCTCGCACCAGCATCGCACCTTCCATCTTGCAGGACTCAGTTGAGGCTGGCGAAGGCACACCCACGCCCATGTTGAGTGTGCGCGACCTGTCGAGGAAGCAGCTCCAAGCTCATATCGATGCGACCAACGAGCATCTTCCAACAGACCGTCATGTCAACATCTCGCTGATCAACAGCTCTCGCAATTTTGTAATTACCGGTGCTCCCATTTCGCTGCACGGTCTCAACCTGCGCCTTCGCAAAGTCAAGGCTCCGACAGGCCTCGATCAGAATCGTGTACCGTTCACCGAGCGTAAGCAGCGATTCGTCAACCGATTTCTGCCAATCACTGCTCCGTTCCATAGCCCGCTCCTGATTCAGGCTGAGAAACAGATTCTTGAGGACCTTCAAAGCATCAAAATTCCTGCCTCTAGGCTCACAATTCCTGTCTATGACACCAACTCAGGTGAAGATCTGCGATCGCAGCAGTCCAAGGACGTGGTTCCTGATTTAGTCCGCATGATCACCCAAGATCCAGTTCACTGGGAGCAAGCCACTGTCTTCGATGGCGCGACTCACATTCTCGACTTTGGTCCTGGCGGCATCTCTGGTCTTGGTGTTCTCACCAAGCGCAACAAGGATGGCACTGGTGTTCATGTCATCTTGGCCGGTACCATGGATGGTACCAACACCGAGATTGGCTACAAGCCAGAACTCTTCGATCGTGATGAGGAGCACGCTGTCAAATATGCCGTTGACTGGCTCAAGGCCCACGGGCCAAAGCTGGCTAAGACTTCTGGTGGTCAGACTTTTGTCGATACCAAGATGTCTCGCCTTCTCGGCACCCCTCCCCTGATGGTCGCGGGTATGACTCCTTGCACAGTGCCGTGGGACTTTGTTGCCGCAACCATGAACGCAGGCTACCAGATCGAGCTCGCCGGTGGTGGCTACTACAACGCCAAGAGCATGACTGCTGCGCTCAACAAGATTGAGAAGGCAATTCCTCCTGGACGTGGTATCAGTGTCAACTTGATCTACGTCAACCCCCGTGCTATGGCATGGCAGATTCCTCTGCTTGCTCAGCTGCGTGCTGATGGTGTGCCCATCGAAGGTCTGACTATTGGTGCTGGTGTGCCTTCCATCGAGGTTGCACAAGAGTACATCGATACTCTCGGGATCAAGCATATCAGCTTCAAGCCAGGTTCCATGGATGCGATCCAGCAAGTCATCAACATCGCCAAAGCCAACCCGACTTTCCCTGTCTGTCTGCAGTGGACTGGTGGGCGTGGTGGTGGTCATCACTCTTTCGAGGATTTCCATCAGCCTATCATCCAAATGTATGGACGCATCCGCAAGTGCGACAATATTGTCCTTGTTGCTGGTTCTGGCTTCGGTGGGTCTGAAGATACATATCCCTACCTCACCGGAAAGTGGGCTCACAAGTTCGGCTATGCGCCAATGCCCTTCGATGGCTGTCTATTTGGCAGCAGAATGATGACGGCAAAGGAGGCGCACACCTCTCCCAACGCGAAACAAGCTATTGTCGACGCTCCCGGTGCCGAAGACAGCGAATGGGAGAAGTCATACAAGACTCCTGTTGGCGGCGTCATCACTGTTCGCTCTGAGATGGGTGAGCCTATTCACAAGCTCGCAACTCGTGGCGTTATGCTCTGGTCGGAAATGGACAACAAGATCTTCAGCTTGGACAAGAAGAAACGCGTTGCTGAACTCAAGAAGCAGCGCGAATACATCATCAAGAAACTCAACGATGATTTCCAGAAGGTCTGGTTCGGCCGCAACACTGCTGGTGAAACCGTCGACCTCGAGGATATGACTTATGCTGAAGTCGTTCGGCGTATGGTCGATCTGATGTACATCAAGCATCAGTCGAGGTGGATCGAGGTCTCCTTGCGAAACCTTACTGTTGACTTCATTCGACGTGTCGAGGATCGCTTCACTGCTGCCGCCAACAAGCCATCTTTGATTCAGAGCTACGCCGACTTCGAGAAGCCATATGATGTCGTCGAGAAAGTCTTGGCTGCGTACCCTGAGGCCGAGTCTCAGCTCATCAACGCTCAGGATGTTCAGCATTTCCTACTGCTGTGTCAGAGACGTGGTCAGAAGCCGGTACCTTTCGTCCCCTCCCTGGATGAGAACTTCGAGTTCTGGTTCAAGAAGGATTCGCTCTGGCAGTCGGAAGATCTGGAGGCTGTGATTGACCAGGATGTTGGCAGAACCTGTATCTTGCAAGGGCCTATGGCTGCCAAGTTCTCGACCAAGGTTGATGAGCCAATCAAGGAGATCCTCGACAACATCCATAATGACCACATCGCGGCTCTTATCGAAGACGTCTACGGTGGCTCCGAGGCCAACGTGCCTGTCATGGAGTATTTCGGCGGCAAGGTCCTGACCCCGGCCGAAAGCGTCACCGAGCTCGAGGGCGTGCAGGTTATTCCCGATGGCTCGCGCATCACCTACAAATTGCCAATCAGCGCTCAGGCACCGCTGCCTGACACCGACGCCTGGTTGCAAGAGCTTGCTGGTCGCAACTACTCCTGGCGCCACGCCATGTTCACGACGGACGTCTATGTTCAGGGCGCTCGCTACCAGAACAACCCTCTCCGACGCGTGGTGGCGCCTACTCGGGGCATGCAGGTTGAGATTGCGCATCCTAAAGACCCATCCAAGACTACGATCACAGTCAAAGAGCAGCATGCCTCCGGCAAGCTGGTCAAGACCTTGGACATCAGCCTCGTCGGCAAGAGCGAAATCTTGATGAACATGTGGGAAGACAGAACTGCCGAGGGTGACTCTGTGCCTCTCCCTTTCCGCTTTGTCTACCGGCCTGAGATTGGCTATGCACCTATTCATGAAGTCATGGAAGGGCGCAATGACCGAATCAAGGAATTCTACTATCGCATCTGGTTCGGGGAGAAGAATGTTCCTTTCGACACTCCTACCACCAACACTTTCGACGGTGGTAAGGCCACTGTTGTCACCCAGGATGTTGTCGACTTCGTTCACGCTGTCGGCAACACTGCCGAAGCCTTTGTCGATCGCCCTGGTAAGGAAGTCTTTGCGCCCATGGACTTCGCAATCGTTGTTGGCTGGAAGGCGATCACTAAGCCCATCTTCCCGCGCTCGATTGACGGTGACCTGCTCAAACTCGTCCATCTTTCCAACGGGTTCCGTATGCTGCCTGGCGCGGAGCCACTGAAAGTCGGTGATGAGGTTCACACCTCTGCTCGCATCAACGCAGTCATCAACCAGGAATCTGGCAAGATGGTCGAGGTCTGCGGAACAATCACTCGCAAGGGGCAGCCAATCATGGAAGTTACTTCTCAGTTCTTGTATCGCGGGACCTACACCGACTACGAGAACACCTTCCAGCGAAAGGAAGAAACACCCATGCAGGTCACCTTGGCTTCGTCTAAGGATGTGGCTGTTCTCCGCTCGAAAGAGTGGTTCCATATCGATGAGCCTGACATTGACCTTCTTGGTCAGACCTTGACCTTCCGTCTCCAGTCCCTTGTCCGATTCAAGGATAAGACTATCTTCGATGAGGTCGAGACTATTGGCCAGGTACTTCTCGAGTTGCCCACAAAGGAGGTCATTCAGGTTGCATCAGTCGAGTATGATGCAGGTGTCTCTCATGGCAACCCAGTTGTCGACTATCTTCAACGACATGGCTCTTCTATTGAGCAGCCTGTCAATTTCGAGAACGCCATTCCTCTCAGTGGCAAGACTCCGTTGACACTGAAGGCACCTTCGTCGAACGAGACATATGCTCGTGTGTCTGGCGACTACAATCCCATCCACGTCTCTCGCATCTTTGCCAGCTATGCCAACCTTCCTGGCACCATAACCCACGGCATGTACTCCAGTGCCGCAGTGCGAAGCTTGGTCGAGACTTGGGCCGCCGAGAACAACATTGGTCGTGTCCGAAGCTACCACGTTTCACTAGTGGGCATGGTCCTGCCCAATGACGATCTTGAGGTCAAGCTTGAGCACGTCGGTATGGTAGCTGGCCGCAAGATCATCAAGATCGAGACTAGCAACAAGGAAACGGGCGACAAAGTCTTGCTCGCTGAGGCCGAAGTCGAACAGCCAGTGTCATCATATGTCTTCACTGGCCAAGGTTCCCAGGAGCAGGGTATGGGTATGGAGCTATATGCCAGCAGCCCTGTTGCTAAGGAGGTCTGGGACCGTGCTGATCGTCACTTCATGGACAACTACGGTCTCTCGATCATCAACATCGTCAAGAACAATCCCAAGGAACTAACGATCCACTTCGGTGGACCTCGCGGCAAGGCCATCCGCCAGAACTACATGGCCATGACTTTCGAGACTGTCAACGCGGATGGATCGATCAAGTCGGAGAAGATCTTCAAGGAGATCAACGACAACACAACATCCTACACGTACCGATCACCCACTGGCTTGCTGTCAGCGACTCAATTCACCCAGCCCGCCTTGACTCTGATGGAGAAGGCCAGCTTTGAGGACATGCGATCCAAGGGCTTGATTCAGCGCGATAGCAGTTTCGCTGGTCACTCTCTTGGCGAGTACTCTGCGTTGGCCTCAATTGCGGAGGTCATGCCTATTGAGAGCTTGGTGTCCGTGGTTTTCTACCGTGGCTTGACTATGCAAGTCGCTGTCGAGCGTGACGAGCAGGGTCGGTCAAACTATTCGATGTGCGCTGTTAACCCAAGCCGCATCTCCAAGACCTTCAACGAGCAGGCTCTGCAATTTGTCGTCAAGAACATCGCCGAGAGCACCGGCTGGTTGGTTGAGATTGTCAACTTCAACGTCGCCAACATGCAGTACGTGTGTGCTGGTGATCTCCGAGCACTCGACTGCATGACGAATGTTCTAAACGTGCTCAAGATGCAAAAGATCGACATTCAACAGCTCATGAATGAGATGTCGATTGAGGATGTCCAGGAACATCTTGTTGAGATCATCAACGAGTGCAGGAAGAAGACCGAGGCCAAGCCTCAGCCAATTGAGCTTGAGCGTGGTTTCGCAGTCATTCCTCTGCGAGGCATTGATGGTGAGTTCTCCTATACCTTTTCTCTTGACATCGCTGACAATCTCAGTGCCCTTCCACTCGACTTTCCTACGATCTGGCGTCAAACCATTCCGAAATTTCCTGCTCAAGAAGATTCACAAGTCCAGCATCGATCCGCAGAAGTTGGTCGGCGCTTACATTCCCAATGTGACTGCCAAGCCCTTCGCTATCACGAAGGAGTACTTCCAGGAGGTGTATGAGTTGACCAACTCGCCGAGGATCGCGAAGGTGTTGGAGGATTGGGACAAGTATGAGAATGCTGGCGACTCGAGACGTCTCAGCACGGCTGCCGTTGCGTAATGGGGAGGATGACCTGTTGCTTTTCGTCTTGCATCATTAGCGGGCGTTATGGGATGCATGGAGGACTTCAATGTGCATTCGAAGCATTTTCGCTGTACAGCATGAAGCTGATGTACGTTGTTGTCATGAGTACGGCTTAGATACCATAGAACCTAGCTACTTAGCCAGCTTGCGATCGTGCATGCGCCGACGCCTTGAGGGAGGTTTGTCAGTCATGTCATGGTCCGCACAATAGAGATCTGCTCGAACTTAGCCGGCGGTTCTGGTCTGCGGGAAGTCTTCGTTGATGGCAGTGTTGAGGTCGAGGCGCCCTTTGTGCTGCGGTTGCCTTCAGTGCCCTCCTCATCGGGAAATTTGCAGGTGGCACGAGTTGCCTTGCAATATCACTAATCCAGCCTTGGCGCCAAGCTGCTTCGTTCAACTTCTAAAATGTGCTTGCGTTCGCAACCTCTTGGACTCGCTCTTTCTTCAAGGACAACTTCACCAGTATTGCCGCCGCGATGACGTTCAAGCAATTCTTCAAGTGCAAGTTTCTTCAATGCTTTCAGCGCAACCACATGCGCGTGAAAAGCCAAGGTTCTCGTCTACCTGACGTTAACCAACAAGACCATCCGGCCAGTCCCAAGCCGTCAGTGGACGCGCGAGGCCCCAATGGTGCTCTACAGTCATCAAGCCGCGATGGTGACCAGAGTCATCTTGACAGCGCCGCTCCCGGCAATGTCAATGAGCCTCCTGACGGTCTGAAATCATCAGTTGATGACCAGACCGAAGCTGACAGCGCCGCTCCTGTCAACTTCAATGAGCCTCCTGGCGGTCTGAAACCATCAGTCCATGACCAGACCAAAGCTGACAGCGCCGCTCCCGGCAACGTCAACGAGCCTCCTGGCGACGATCCTTCCTCTGGCCCACAAGGAAATGGTCTTGCTGAGAATGAGAGAGAGCTCAAGTGGTGTCTGATACACTCCAGTCCTGAACATATGGAAGTTTTCGGAGATGACGCCTGCTTCGGTAAGAGTGGGGTGTCTAGCGGTTTGTCCAACCGCTTGTACAACTCCAAGCTCAAGCCCATATCCTTCTGGAGGCGGTCCGCTAACGTGCAAGCGCCTCGCTATCATGGTCCTGGATACGTGGTCCACATCACGGAGCAACCCACTACCGTTCATGAGCTGCTGTCTCACATCCACATTATGTGTACGTGGTTTCGTGGCTACAATGCGCACGTTCGGACTCGTGATCTTGTCATGCGAGATTGCTGCCGCTATATCGGTCTTGCTCATGGTGACGAAGTCGCAGACCACTTCAACCAACTTTGTGTCCTCTCCAACACCCTTGAGGAGTACATGCTGACATCCGTTGCAGACATACTGGTCTCGATACGTGATGATGTGGCTCTTGCGGACGGCTTAGACTATGCCAGCAGGTCTCAAACGATCGACACGGGTGAGGATCCTGCATGGCGCGATGCAGTCACCGACTGGCTTCTTGAGAATGAGTGGCACGGCTCATGCACCTCGAGTTCGCGGCCTACACCACGCAGTGCACAAAGTTGCATGAACTTCTCAGACGGGTCAAGACCAAGCGCTCGTACTTCATCGATCGTGGCGTACTTTCTTTCGGGAAGAAGTATTCCGCAGCTCGGAACGACACTGTCGTGGTCGCCGCTCTGAAATGGATTGCCGCCTCGCGCATTGAGATTCGTGATTGCCCCTACCACGACGAGTGTGATTATGGGATCCATCTCCTTGAGCGGCCATCGCTCGACAAGGCAGCGGCTGAGATGCGGAGCTTCATTGCCAACGCCTCAGCAGCGCTGCCGTCAGCCTCCTCGTAATGCCTCCCTACGAGCCCATACCCCATGGCCGGCCGGCGCGGCCGTGGTGGTAAAGATGTTCAGCCCAACTGGCGGGTTGATTCGTTCGGTGCGCAGTCTTGTGCTTGCGTACACCAAAAATGTCTGCCATCAGACATTCTGCGGGTTGCCATAATGCTCGCGAGGCGGCTGCTCAAGGGTATAAGACCCGAGACAGATCCGCCTCAGGTCGACTAAGAAGCTTCCACCTCCACGTGGTGTCGACTGGGAACTGCGCTGCCTGCGCAGGCGAAGAGAAGCATCAACTACCAATTATCGGTATCAGAGACTGACCTTGTATAGTGCCTTCCACGCCGCGCCCGCAACATCTACTAAATCCACCGCTAACGAACAGTCCGAGCTTACAACAACACATAAGAGAAGGCAGCGAGATAATACCAGCACAAGACACAAGAAAAAGAAGGAGCCGTTGCATAGCAAGAAAGGAGGGAGAGCTCGTGCGCCAGTGGCGACGGGCAGCAGGCAAGTGCCACAAACAACGTTAACCACGACACCGATGCTCAGTCCCCGAGTCATCTGACAACCGCATTTTCATCACGCTGTCGCTCAAGCTTCCTCCTCATCTCCTATTCAACCCTGCCAGCCTATGCTCGAAGTCCTCCTGTGGGATGTCTCTCACCTTCTCCGTCTTGTTCAACTCCACGCCCGACCTCTCCTCCCAGCCACGGATGCACTCAGTGTGATCCGCCGTCTTATTCCTCGGCTCGCCAATCACATCCATTGAATGGCTTAGATACCTCCTCAACACGCCCGGCAGCTGCGTTTCGAATTCACTATACCTCATGAAGTCCTCCGTAATGCCCAGATCCTTTACCAACAACGCCAGGCCAAATCCGCTATCAAACCTCCGCGTCAGGCCATCCCGTCGAAACGTGTCCATTGTCGGAAAGTTCACCCCGGTGCCCACATTTAGACAGTCGATCATCTGCTGCGGATCCAGTCCATATTTCTGCCCGGTCACCAACGAATCCGATAGTGCGCAGATCGAGGAGGCCATGATGTAGTTATTTAGCGTCTTCATCGCATGTCCGGATCCGAGCGGGCCCATATGGAAGATGTAGGTCGCCATGCAGCTGAGGACAGGCTTGATCAGCTCGAAATGCTCCTTGGAACCGCCAACCATGAGCGTCGACCGCCCGTCGTCGGTGGCATGCATGTACGTCTGCGTGATGGGGCTGTCTAGTAAGATGAGTTTGTGGGAGGCGAGCTCCTCGCCTAGCTTCTTGGTGTCGAAGGGGGATGATGAGGAGGTGTCAACGACGATGGTGCCAGGCTGCAGGTGTGGCTGATGTCCTGGAGGACGCTGCGGACAATGCCGCCATGGGCAAGCATGGTGATGATGGCATCGCATTTCTCGAATGCCGATGGGTCGTATGAGCCGGAGATTGTTGCGGACGTTGTGTTCTGCCATTTGGTGGCTCGTTGGACTTTCTCGGCGTCTAGATCGTGCACGACTAGGTGATAGCCGTTCTTGGGCAGGTTGCTGGACATAGAAATGCCGGCATTGCCAAGGCCGATATAGCCGATGGTCTTGATCGGTCGTGCCATGATTCGGGTCGTGTACTGAAGGGTCTGAGGATACCGTGGCCTGTGAAGCCGATCATAAGCATTGTATAGCGTAGGACTTTGGTAAAGTTTGCGGGGAATCCGGGGAGAATGACGAGAATGACCTCATGCAGAGGACGAGCGGAATCGGCTCGCCTGAGTCGACAACTGAGACTCTTGAAATGCGTTAGCATCGATCAACCTACACTTGCGAATACACGGTCTGACAGAACGCTGGTGTCCTAAGCTGCCTGTCTGATAGCCTGTACCTGATCGCCTCGTGATCGCTCCCTGACGCCTCGCCGCCAAGATGTCTCAACCCGCTATTGCGGAAGAACGGGCTTTCCGCGAGCCATGTCTTCGTGCATTTTCTTATGAAGACTTTCTCGGAGTAAAGACCAACTCAAGGGTACCAATCGTGACCGTGAAGTTGTCCGCGCTGCCATATAATAACCTGTGCCCATCCTCTCCCTTCGCCAACGCAACCTCGAATGCCGAGACCAGCCTCGCAGCGACAGTACGCATCTCGTTATAAGCCAACTGCCGACCGATGCAGGCGTAAGGACCGATCAAGAACGGTGCAAAGACCTTCCGATTGGCAATCAGCTCTGGCTGAGTAGTCCAACGCTCTGGTATGAATTCTTCGGGCTTCTTGAAAGCGTCCGATCGATGCAGGCTATACAGCGGCGTGTAGACCGTGACATCACCAGGAATCGAGATGTCCCCAACCTTGAGGCCCTCAGCTGAGGTGTCTCGAGGGGGCATGCTGGGAACTGGCGGATGCAGGCGAAGAGTTTCGTTGATCAGTGCGTTGAGGTATGGCAGGTCTTGTACGGTCTGTACGTTGACCTCCAGGTCCTTGATCTCCTGGTACAGCTTCTTCTGTAATGTTGTGTTGAGCGCGAGTTGGTAGAACAAGAAGGCAAGCGCTGTTGCAGTCGTGTCGCTTCCCGCTATCACCAATAGTCGAACGTCTCCGGTAAACAGATGATACTCCTGAGCCGGGTCCTTGAAGAAGGGTTCGTCCTGATCCAACAGGTGCGACATGATGTCTGGTTCTGCAGGGTGAAGCTGTTTCCGCTTATCAACCTGCTCATTGGAGAACGTGATCAGCTTCTGCATCGGATTGAGAGCGTCCGGAAGCTTCGTCATCAGATGGATCAGCCACGGGACTGGTCCTAAAATGCCGAGAGCAGCATTAGACTCCCGTATGCTGGTGATAGCCCAGTGAGTCTTTTCGGACGCTAGTCCATCGAAGGAGTGCCCGAACGACAGATCGCTCATGACATCGAAACTATACCGACTGATGCGCTCGGAGAAGTTGATCGATTTATTGGCCGAAGCACGGATTGACTTCTCGAGCAAGCTCGCATATTTCAGCAAGCGCTGGTCATAGTCGCGTAGTGCTGCGAAAGTCAGCTTGCTCACGCGATGGCGATCTACTTACATCTTGCCGTGAATGCGTCGTCCCAGCCGAACCTGCGACGTCTGTCGTGCATTGAGCGGTCGCGCATCTGCTGCAATGTAGTCATCGGCAGACCAAGATCGTACATTACAGACTTCGTACACTTCGAGCGTGCGCCGTGGATAGTTTCGACGGCATCTGGGTGGCATATCGATAGTGTGCTAGGTCCTAGTTGTCCGTAAGCATTCGTCGATCCCGTCTGAATGCTACGCACCAATTCTTACGACCGGACCGTATGTCTTGTGGAGGTCATCCAGCCAACGATACTGATCAAGCCTGCGTACAGACCATGAGTGGTAGATTTGAGAGAGTCTGGCGGCGAATGGACCGGGAAAGCGTCCTAGGCGATGGAAAAATGCTCGATAGATCAATATGCTTGTCCAGCTTCCGGCCAGGAAGGCAGCACACAGTCTTGCGAAGAACAGACCGCTATCTAGCAGAGACAGCCTCGTCGTCAAACTCAGAGTTGCAATGCCTGCCACTAACGACAATGCCACATATCGTAGGATCACCGGGATGTCGGTCAGATGCTCGCCGCGGATGAAGTAGCATGGTGACAGAAGACACCTGTGCCTGCAGCGATAATTGATGCCACTGGGAGTGCCATTGTTGGTAGACAGCGAAATTGAAAGCTGCTAGGCAGGCCATGGCGATATAGGTCTTAGATCACGACCCGAACTGTTAAAAAGAGCCTCGTATTAGGCCAGCAGAGCTGAACAGCTTTGGCTTGCAGGGCGAGGCCGCACTGGCTTGAGTAACCATGCAAACAGAACTCAGAGCTTATAGCTGCCATTTCGTGAAGCTGAAAGCATGCAGGCGCAAGCCACTCTAGGGATCGAGAGCGTGAGGTGGCTTGCCAGCAACCCTACCTAGGTAAATTCTGCTGAAACTGGGATGAGCTCGCGGGCAATCTTTGGTTTTGCCAGTCTCCAGTGCGCACGTTCTGGCCCCCAACTCGCGGCGGAAGAGTGCTTGCCGAAAAGCTTAGCCCAGATGCAATCTGACCTCAACCCTCGCAAGTCGCGACTCAACCACTCTCTTCCTTGGTATTTCAATGCACCATCCACCTATATCTAAGGAAGCCAGTTTTCGGAATTCGCTGATCGCATCCCTCTGTCGCACATCACTCAGCTCGTTGTTCGCGCTTGCTTATGCTCATATCGTTGGATGCGGGCGTACGCTGACGAGCTCGGGTAGAATAAGTCCTTTGCCCGGCTCTATCTTGCCAGCAAAGACAAGGAAGAAATAGCCAAGCCCCAGGCAGGGCAGCTACGATTAGTCAGCCTATGTCTCCTATCCATCTCGGATGAAGCAAGTCAGACCAGTTAGATTTCCCTCACCATCAGTGGACTTTACAAAGAGCTATAGTCGTCAGGTGCGCCGGATCTACATCAAGTCGCTCGCTCCAGCTACCTCCAAGCGGTTCGCTGGTGACCATGGACCGACATGCCTGCCACAGATCCGCCGGCGGACTTTTCCTTCGTCCCGTTGTATAATGGTCCAGAAGTTTCCAAGCCTAACAGACAATTCATCAACGCTCATCTCAGTCGCCTTGCGGCTAAGAAGCGTTCACATGGCGCTGGCAACAGGCTGCAGAAGAAGGTTGTGCTGCCGGTCAGGCAACCCGACAGGCCGAAGGTACTTATCGAGAGAATCGCCCGAGTCTCGGGAGTGGGCAGCACTTGCGCTCATGGCAAGGCAGGAGCGCCTGATTGCGACTTCTGCCGTGGTGTCAATGGAACAGTCGCCTCACGATCACAACTCCTAGTCGCATCTTCCGGAAGGACTGAGTCTGTCAACATCACTACACTTTTGGACACCAGCAACGATCCGTTCAGCTCAACGCTCGTTCCGATCGATCGGACAGTCCGCAAGCTCTTAGGCTTCGAGCAGGAAGCATTCTTTCCCTGGAGTGCGGGTATCGAAAAAGGCGCCAACAAGGGCGGAGCTTTCCGGAACAAATTCGTCCAAACGATTCCCGAGGCTTTCAACGATCTCTGCACAGGCTACGCCAATCTGGCCCGCCTTGCGGCTATGACTGCCACCATTACATCTGATCCGCTCATGGCAGCTACTGCCCTCAAGTACAAAGTATTAGCGTACGAGAACATGCGAAAGAGCGTCGCCGCACATACTGACAACTACGAAACCCACGAGCTGGCCATGGTCCAGACCTTCTCGCTGATGAGTATGGAAGTTGCCGAAGGCAACTCGGAAAGCAGCGCCATCCACAGCCGCGCCCTCCTGCGCATGATGACCAACTCCTCCGCCTCCGCTGCCCCTCTCACTGACAAAACCACCCATATCAAACCTAGTCAGCTCCTCAACGCGGTCCTCTGGCACGAATGCGTCCGTGGCGGCACCACAGGCCGCCAACACGTCTTCAACCCCAAGAAACTGGTCCATCACAAGTCCCTCGGCGCAACCCTTTCCTCCGCCAAACGCACACTCTCCTCGCTGGGCCACTGGCCCCGCCGCCCCGAGATCACCGACGGCTTCAGCCACTCCGACCTCCCACCCCATCTCATCCTCCGCCTCCGTGAAGTCCGATTCTTGGCGGAAATCAACACCGCCCTCACCCACGCCCCCGAACTCATCGACCTGCACCTCATGAACGCCTTTGCCTTCCGCGCCAGTCTCATGTGCAGTCAGCTGATCGGCGCTAGCCACGCGGCCGAGCAAGTCATCAACGAATCCTCCCATCAACGCTCACAATACGGACACGAATTCCAGGAGGATGAGATCGACTATCGTCGAGTTTACCAAGCCCATCAATCACGCGCCACCGCCCTCGCAGCACAATTCGCGCTTCGCGTCGTCACGTCCCACGAAGCCGTCGACATTCCCGCGAGCACGCCAGCACAGCTGTTCAAGATCTACGGAACGCACAAGAGGGTGCTGCAGGAGATCAGGGTGGCATTCGAGCAGTGCCGCCACCGCAGCTCAGCAGATCCAGATGGTGATGACCAAGTCAGTCGGCAGCCGGAGCTATGGCTGTGGATTCTGTGGATTGGCTCGCTGGCGGAACGGGCGGATTTGTATCCTTGCTACGTACCTAGCAAGATCGTGGGGGCGTCCTTCAATCGTGCGTTTGTGGCGCATGCACTGGGGCTGTACCTGCACGAATGGGAGACAGTCAGGGCGACGCTGACGAGGTTCATGTACTTTGAACGGAACACTTGGCAGAGTCAGTATTGGTTTGAGCAGACGCTGTGGGAAATGGCTGGGCTGAAGCAGGAGGATGCTTGAGTAGCGTGACCAGACCTTAGACCCGGTCGCCGGTGGGATGGTAGGTTATATTTGCCGCGCGAGCGGTACCACCGTACGGGAAGATGTATGCCTAGCTACCATCAGGAGGCGGAGAACCGCGACTCGGATTTTCTCAACGGTAGAAGCGGTCTTCATGCTGCAGAACCAGTGATCTGACCCACTCTTGGACCTGCCGAGCCTTACGATGCGTGGCTGGAGCAAGGACCTGTATCGTCCGCTTCGCGAAGGACTCCGCGGTGCAGTTCTGGCCAGGGTCAGGCTGGACGAGTGAGCCCTGTGGGAATCGTGGAGGTGGGTCACGGTGCCGAACAGGGTTCGCTAGGCTAGGCAAGGGTGATAGTTGGAGCGGGGCTACTTTAGGGAGAGACAGGAACAGTGCCGGCAGGCGCGAGCGCGTTTGTGCCGACGGGGCCCCTCCAATGGACTTAAGGGCAAGTGCGGGACGAAGCGATTCCAACGGCTGCGCGGCACGGGAGGAAGGGCAGCTGCTGTTGACAGCATCACGGCAGTCTGAAAAAGCGAGGTAGAGCCTCGTCATCATGCCAACTCGATACAGCACGTTGGTCACTGATCTCGGTCTTTGAGCTTGGTCAACCGGAGCATCCGCGCCTGAATCTGGGCAACCCTCGAACCCATCCCAAGCAAGTTTCCTGCTCACAGAGAGCAAAGACTGTGCATCTTGGTGCTGCCCAATCTCCCTGGTTCCTCTGACACTCCGATGTCATGGTCTTGTTCAAAACGTCCAGTCTGGCGCAAGGAGCGCTGTTGAGCGAGAGCTCGAAAACGAGCTGCAAGCGTCGCAAAGAGCTACGCATTGCGAGTCAGATCAAGAAAAGTGTGGGCAGCTTCATGTCCATACTGAATCTGCGCTGCGTTGCTGTGAAGCAGTGAGTGCACCCGACTTCAAGGCCTCTATTGATCTCCCTTTATCAAGGATATGTGTGCTGCACTTTCCGACACCTGCCTCTCTCCACGACTCTGTCAATGCTTGCACTTGAACCAGCATTTCATCGCCTTTGCCTGCTTGTAGTTCACTACAGTACATTCGCCTACCCCCGCAATTATGTTCCCGGTGTCTGCGATCTGGTTGTTGCAGTCCTCATCGCTGTATAGCTGACATGATGTGCCGTAAGTCCCGTCGCCTGCAACGCTGACGCTTGCTATCGTGGCTGTTAGAAACTCTGTAAGAGACGAGGAGGAGCATGGTCGAACATACTAAAGCCGGCAGGGTGCTTAAAGCACACACCATCGCAGTGAGGCTTCCAATGCTCTGTGAATGTGCCCTGGCAGAAGGGTGATTTCTCATAATACCTCACGCATTCTCCTTTATAAGTTCCGGGTAGGCTCTCGCATTGATTTGCAGATACTATGGGTAGGAACACAAGCACGTTGCTTAGGTTCGACATCGAGAATCGCATTGTTGTACGACAAATACCTGGAAATTGTCTGAATTGATCTGGCTCGCAAACAGCGGCTTGCAGTGGGAAGAGGAAGCGACCTTTATATACTTAATGGCAGGAGGATCAGATGTTGTACGCGTGTCGTTGAGCCGCCACTACGACCACCGCAATGTAGTAGTCTCAGTAGAGCTAGTCCTCCATTGTCGTTATGACCTCAAGCGATTACAGGATTACAGTGAGACGGAGTCATGAGAGTCGTCTAAGATTGATGTGTCCTACCATCCAGGCGATGATCTTCGCGCAGAGCTCTGCACGCAGCAGAACTGTCAACAAGGCCAAATTTGAATGGGCAGGGAATCGAGCACTTCCGTAGCAGCTCCGTCATCGCCATTGATTCTTCTTCGTAGAGCCTGCAGCTTCACCTTGCAAGTGATGGACACAGTGCGCAGCCTTTCCCACATCACGGACCAGCACAGAGGCAGTCAGACAGACAGGAGGCGGTACCGAGGGTTTGAATTATACGTGTTCGGTTCCCTTCGCGGACCAGCGCAAGCATTTCTCGTAGATACCCCGGTGGTTATGTACGAATGGGCTGTATCAAGTAGACCCTGTGTAAGAATTGATTGGTCGTGGACTGGCAGGAGGACGGAACAGTACTAGTTTGTCTGACTTACGATGGGCTTGCTTGCCGTCGGTGGCGAACGCTGTATGACTTCTCGGTGGACTCCGTGAGAGACTATGGGCTTGGCTTCCGTCCCCCAAGCTCGCAAGTTATGCTTGATATCATTTTCGAGGTTCAAGCTCGGAATATCGTTTTCGGGAGGATGAGATCGTTGCTAGTGGCGAAGTGTTGGATACTTGGATTGTGTTTCGACTTGTCCACCGGCTTTGCGAATGGCCTACCGAATATCATGCAATGCGCGTCGCCGTCTTGGATCATTGTCGGGCACACCTGTCCTGATTGTTGTTGACTTATGAAAGGCCCAAACGGAACGGCCCCGCGCGAGCTATGTTTGACGTCATCTCGCTCGTCCTCCGCATGTCATCCGGCTTCGCGAATGACCCGCCGGCTGCAATCTCGTGCGACGACCTGCGTCATGTTCTCGCCACCTCCTCCTCCGCTTCATCACAAAAAAGATCTGCGACGCGGTGAGCACTTCTGGTCAGGGTCATGCTGAGCAAGGCAAGGCTGAGAAGGCTTTTCTCGTGAACAGAGTCCTCCGATTTGGGCGGCATGATCGTTCTCAAAGGGAGAAATACAAGGAGCACTTCATAGAAGGAGGAAACTTGGGATTGAGGTGCCCGGATCCTGTTGTGGGGAGGGTCTTGCAGTACCGGATTTCATAGTCATGAGGAGGAGCAGTGGGCTGGTAAACGATCGACTAATGCTACCGGGCGTTGTTGTGTTGTGATTTTGTTGCCTCGTGTCTGCGGGCAGCCTCTTTTTTACAGCAACAGCCTCTTCCGATCATCAGAACCAAGACAAGGGGTAACTCAATCCCTTCGGGGGAGTTAAGCAGAGATAACCAAAGTAAGGGGATCTCACCAAATTTCCTATACATTTTCCTTCAACACAGTCTCAACTCCTTATTATCCTTACACTAGTATTAAGAGTATTTATATCACTTTATCTTAGGTTATAGATTAACCTTATATACAAAGAGATATCTATTTTTAGACTTTATCTCTTAATTTCCTTATCTTATAGATAAGATACTAAGTTAGTTATAAACTATATAAATATATTAGAATATACTCTATTAAAAGCACTAGATAGTAAGTCTATAGAATAAGTACTTATAGAGTGACTTTAGAAAATTCATAATTAATTATCTTAAAAATTCTACTTAATTTAATAGATTTATTTAAGATCTATACTTATACTATAACTTTATCTATATCTATATCTATATCTATATCTATATCTATATTCAACTTATTATCTATCTATACTACTCTATAAAAATTAGAGTGTCTTATCTTTAAAGAGTATATTAAATCACTTAATAAATTAATTATAAAGCCTTCTATAGATAACTGTTTTTAGAGCTTATAAGAACACCTTAATTAACTAAATAGATTTAGCTTTAATATAGACTATTAATTTACTACTATATAAGGATTAAGTATTAAGAATATTATACTATTTTATTAGTTTAACTACTACTTTTATAGTAAATCATTAGCTAACTAGAGAGTCTTAGAGCTTTAAAAGATTATTAATAAACAAGATTATATTATAACTAATTGATAGTGAGATATCTCTTATTCTTAATTTAACTATAAGATTATCTATAAGGTTTAATAATTATAAGATCTAGATATAAGAGAGTAATAAATTTAAATAGAGTACTAGCTAATAAATAAATCTAGCTAGGAATTTAGCTATACTAGTTATAAACACCCTATTAACCTATTCTAGTTTTAAAAGTATCTTTAATTAATACTAGAGTATTAGGCCTTACTATAGACTATAGCTATATATTAATATAGTAATAAAAAGTTTAGTATAGTAAACAGGTTATTAGCTTTATAGTAACTTAATCTATAGATTAATTTAAAAATATACTATAATCTAGTCTCTTATAACTAGCTAAATATTAATAAGTCTAAAATAATTATTAGACTACTAGAGGATCTTAAGGAAGATAGATTCAAGTCTTACTATAGTGTGAGAGAAGAGAAGGATTTAGAAGATTAATAATAACTATATAGTATATTCTTTTATAATAAAATTAGCTATAAAATAGTATAGTAGTTTACAGTAGGATCTCTCTATATAATTAACACTATATTCTAGATAAATAATAAAGCTATATCTCTACTCTACACTATAGATATAAATAATAAGGGTAATATATTTCTAATTATCTTTATCTTTATATTAAGTAAATCTTCTAGAGTCTACAAGTTCTTCTTTAACTATATAAAAGAAGAGATCTTTAATAGTAATATCCTTAAGCTAGCTATATATTAAGATAATATAATAGCAGATCTAGTGAAAGCTATTAACAAGCTATAGACTATTCTAAATAGTATACTCACCTTCTATACCTTCTATATCTACTAGATAATCTATAAAAACCTTAATTCTACTTTTAAGAGTAATAAAAAGAAAGATCTATAGAGGACTATCTAGAGATATATTAAATCTACTATATTTATAAATCTTATATATAATTAAATAGCACTATATAATATATTACTAAATAATAAGCTATATATCTATCTTAATAGCTATATAAATAAGGAGTACTAATTTATCTATATCTATATAAATCAGCTCTCTATATCTAGATATCTACAGTATAGACTATATTAAGTAGTAGTATTATAACATATATAATATAGTCTATTACTAATTAATAATTAAGTAGTCTACTTACTAGCTAGTTTAAAAGCTGAATTAAATATATAATATCTAACTTATAGATAATTAAAAAGTAAGACTATAATACTATATAGTACTTAATAAAGATAAATAGCCTATCTTTATCTTGCTTATTAGCTATATTAATTAATTTACCCTTAAAAGAGTAGGAGACACTTAGAAGTAAATTACTAAACTCTATAGTAAAA